CTTGCGTTATAATTTCCATTGTTTTTCTCTAAAGCTAAGAATTTTTCCCTTTCTAGAGATTTGCAATAAAGAAACCCGTATTTCACACCAGGACAAGCCGACACCAAGGTGCCAATGAACCTTGCCCAGTCGCGAATTCTACATCTCGATTGGTTCAAATAATATGAGGCTAACCTGAGGATGTGATTTTTCTTTTCGGCAGGAAGTTCAATTGTTAAATTAACACTATCTATCAGAAAGCCGAGGAATCTTATACGAGTAGTGGGTACCAGAATGCTTTTGCTGTTATTGATGATAAGACCCAATGAGCTTAAAAACCGAATGGTTGTGCTAACATTATTAAGGCAGGATTCATAGGCAACTCCAAAGATTAGAAAATCGTCTAAATAATTGACTGTAGAGATGCCTAAATTGCGGAGAAAAGAGACGACTGGCTTCATAAGCTTTGTGAAACATAACGGAGCTGTACATAACCCAAACGGTAGGCAAGTGAATTGATACAATTGGCCATCAAAGTAGAATTTTAGAAATTGTTGATGGTCGCTGTGGACAGGTACTAAAAAATACGCATCTCTCAAGTCGATTGTGCACATGTACACGTTTTTATGAGTCAATTTTATAGCCGTACGAAGGTCCTCCATTTTGAAATGCGGGCATTCCACATATTCATTTAACTGTTTCAGGTTTAATATAAATCTTTTTCCCCCGTTGGATTTATCTGCAAGAAAATATGGAGAGATAAATTGATCGGGCCTTGACTCAGATTTGATTATGGCCCCGGACTTCTGCAAGTCGCGTATAGCTACTCGAACTAGCGATGTTTCTGTCGAAGAAAAATTATTTGTGCCCAAAGGTTGACGTAATGGAGGTGTGCATTTAAAGGGAATCCGGTAACCTTGAATCCAGGATAAGACTATCGGATTTGAAGTTAGTTTTGACCAAGAGTTGAGGTAAAATTGTAGCCGACCAGCAAATAGAACTTGTTTTACCTTCAACGTTTTCTGGACTGCTGTTGTCTGTTCGGAGCAAACTGTTTTGAGGAATTGCCCTTGTGCTGCCTCACCTCCCTCTTGCGGTAAGACGGGCGATACCTGTTTAAAGCGCCTACATTCTTTGACGAGTTGCCTCCCCCCCCTCTTCTTTCAGGATTACTGAAAGACCGAGTCACTTGAGAGCTACTGCGTGAGGGGATAGAGGACAAACGTAGGTCCTGTCCGGCCTTCTCCAAAGATTTCAAATTTTTCGCCCGCTCACCTAAATCTGGCCCGAATAAGAACTCCCCTGGTAAGGTGTTTTCAGTCAGTTCTTTAACTGATTTGTTGAGTACTGGGCTGATCAGGTACTTTCTAGTTTTAGAGATGTCGTGAAAGAGTGCCGCCAAGATTCGCGCAGAATCTGTCAAATTCGATAAAATCTTTTCCTTGGTATCCTTGGGAATCTGGGTTTCTTCTTCCAAAATGACGTTAAAAGCTTTCCCCATGGCGGTCAGTCCGGTACCAATGTTCAATTGGTACCCGGAATGGGTGGCATCTCTCGTTAAATGAGTAGAAGAGAGAATGGCTTTCACTTCGGGGTTTATCTTCGGAGGGTGTAAAGAGGCACAGTTAGAAGGCACAATGTGTTTTTCTCTAATGATGGTGGTGTCCTCGGTGGAAAGTCCGTTGGCCAAAATGTGGGACCATCGAGAAGCTAAGGCACCGTGTAGTTGGAAGTTAGACCTATTGGCTTTTTTAGGATCTACACCCAGGATATTTAATATGTCTTCCGATAATGGGAGACACTCACCTTCACTAAGCATCAAAACATCCTCCATATCATTTTTCTCAGTTGGTACCGTTCCCAAGTCCGGCCCTGTCAGAATCTGAGCTTCCGCCTCGCACGGAGAACGGCCAGCCGAGTCTACCTGACGCTGTACCTTATCAGATGGGCTGCCTGAGTTTTTCTCTTGACGCAAATATTCCCGTCTCTCTCTACGTCGCCTCGACACGCTCGGTGATCGACTGCGACTGTTACTACTCCTAGAACGTGACCTTGAACGCCTACGGCTGATGCGAGAGCGGGAGCGTCTAAAATGATGAGGTGAATTGGTACGAGACATGGATCTGCTGTGTCGACTCTTTCGGGATAAACTTCTCGAATTAGTGCGAGAACGATAACCACCTGACCTTGCCTCGAGCTCCTCCTGTAAAATGGCCCGAATCATGTCTCTCAAGGAGCTGGGTGAATTGGCCTCCGAAATTCCTGATTTTTCCATGGTTTCTGTTAAACAAGTATAACCATTGGTTAACGTATTCAATCTGGTTGAATACGCCAATCAATTATGTAACAGACTGCTAAGTGGTATCAAAAAGAATAGCCTTGTTGTGAACTTACCTACCTACTCACTGAGCACTATGTACCGAAAAGAGAAATCGCACGCGTTTTCTGAACTGAAGCAGGCCGGGCGACTGCACGGATCGCGCACCAAAAAGCGAATGATTCAACGCGAGTGGCCAGGGCGCGGCGAGGAGGTGGGGATTCTCGTCTTTCAACTTGGTGCGCGGATCGTACTCCAGGGGCGGACTACATAGTGAATAAACAAAGTGATGTCTTCGGACTGGACCCAAAGTATAATCCCAATTATAGCAATCTGATACTCGTGTCTCACTGTTTTTTCGCTGAATGTGATGAAAACATTTGAAAAAGGTTCGCTTATTGAAATAAATCTACACCAGTTAGTACTTCGATTTCCAGGTAAAGGGAAAAGGCTCATTATCTGCCATATTGGCAGTGAGGATGGATTTGTTGTTGACGGTCTGTGGTGCTTTGAGTCTAAGAAAACTGGAGATTACCACGAGGAAATGAATGGCGAATCGTTTGAACAGTGGTTTTCAAAAATTTTACCGAACTTAGAGGAAAACGCAGTAATTGTGTTGGATAATGCGCCTTATCATTCTCGAAGAATGGAGAAGGTCCCAACAACGGCTTCAAGGAAAGTTGATGTTCAAAATTGGCTCCGCTCGAAAAATATCGACTTTGAAGAAGCAATGCTGAAAGTACAATTATTAAGAATTGTCAAGAATCACAAGGCGGAATATCAAAAATACGCCAATGACGAAATGGCAGCAAGTCAAAATAAAACTGTGCTCCGTTTACCTCCATACCATTGCGAGCTCAATCCCATTGAGCTCATATGGGCAGAGGTTAAAAATTATATAGCTAAGCACAATGCAACTTTTAAATTTTGTGACCTCAAAGGACTTTTCAAAGAAGCACTAGAATTAATAACAGCGCAAAAATGGGAAAACTGTATTAAGCACGTGAAAGACAAAGTTGAAAAGAGAATATGGGAACTGGACAATATTTTAGAGGAACAAGTCGAGCCATTCATTATTGACGTTGGTGCTTCAGGCAGTAGCGATGATGAAAGCTCATCAAGCTCATCTTTCCAATAAAAGATGTCGTTCATCAAATTCGGTAAGTTAGAAGTAATTATAAAGCTACTGTATTTTTTAATTAATAATTGACATTTTTGAACCCATTTTGGCAAAACCTATTCAAGAATCTACTTTCTGACAATGTTCAACCATGCACATTTTTTACGTTTTGAACGTTTTAATTTGGTTACATATTTACCTAGAAATCAAAAAATATACTAATCAATATTATAAAAGCAATTTTAAGAGATATACGATTATTTTTAATTTAGGCTAATTTAAACGCCATTTTGAGATTATATTCGACTGTATTTCACCAAACATCAGGCGGCATCCGAAGCTGGAAATCGAAGCGAAAATTTTGAAACCCTTATGTATATTTACATCATTATATATTTCTTACCCCACCCCCACATGATCCTATATCCATCACCAATCGTATACACATCGAATTGTGCTAATTTACTACAAAGTTACGCAAAGCAGCATCTACTATCTAAAATATGTACTGCGTGACTCTTAATACGTCCCTGCCGAATGTTACAGCGTTCGATGATCACGTGGTCTTGTTTATGTCCGGTCTATCTCTTATCTGAATATACTGTAGGATCCAGTGAAAATTCGCTACCTCACTCTCCTCAAAAAGTTTTTGGGAGTCATATTCAATATCCTCTGATGGAGTTGTTTCTTCCTGTTCAAATAATTTCCAGCACATTCGTATGCTTGTACCGGTTCTCCTGGGAAGTAATTCCTACGGGCAAAAATGGTGATTGGTAGGATAGTTGTCAAATAGTTGGTGACCGATACATTTACTCAAAGAACCTAGATGAATCAACCCTATATATAGCCGTCGTTTGAAACCACCGGAGCTGGATTGATGTCAAGAAGAACCTGAAGGTTCAGAAAACAATCACAAGATGAGCTTCAAAAGTTACGCCAAGCAAATCACGGTTGCCACGAAAATCAAAATTTGGGCTATTTGACCATACGCCTGACTTTAACGAACGCCAGAGAAATCTCAACATCGTTTTGCTCGATGAGCGAAGATTATCCTGGATCAATCTCGAAATCGTTGCTATGACTTGGTTTTTTTTTAATCAAACCACCATACTAAGCGATAAGTTAGAACCGAATGGAAGGAATGGCTAAAATAAAAGAAAGAAGTTTACCGGTTCGAAACTTTAAGATATTTAATGCGATATCTAAGAATTTCCAAGAAAATCAGAGCCATGTTTTCCTTCTCAGAATCAAACTCATTTGGGACATTCCTTTTTATTTTGATAAATCAATTTTACCTCTATAACGTTGGAGGAAAAATGAATATGATGTTTGTCCAAATGGTTGAATTATGCAGGAGCACTCGTTCAACTTAACTTTTCGTTCTTCAACAGCTATCGAATGGGTATCAACACACGGGTGCATTACAAAACTGCAGAAATATCTGTATCCGCTGCTGCAAATTTTTCATCTAATTACCAATCAACAATTTAACACAATTAAACTCAATTCTCATGCCGCTGCTAGCATGCATCTCATTAAAAATAGCGCGTCTAAATCAACGGTCTAAATATACTCTTACCGTATACACAACGTACGGGATCACAAAAAATAAAAATAGAGCATACCACATATCGTATATAATGTCTGAAAAGGCCGGTTCGAACATCGGTCACAGCGAATTCCAAAAGTGCTGTCAAAAAGTGATCGGTCAGTTAACACCTGAAACTCTAGATAAGCTGAACGAAAGTAAAGATGAAGAGACTAGAGTTCGGTTACTATACGAAGCGGTTACGAAGATCGAGATAACACCAGACAAAGATAGGGGGAAGTCTTATGAACTTGCTCTAGAAGGAAAAAATGTCGGAAATTCGTTTTTTGCAAAAAAGGAGCACCAAAAAGCTTTAAAGACTTATAACATGGCGATTGTGCTCTGTCCGCAGGATACAAGTAAGTACCTAGGAGACTGGTATCATCGTTTCGTTCCATTCCGTTCATCGTTTTATCAAGCAACAGTTTCATTTGGCTTAATGTTTGTCTGTTCATTAATAAATAATTGAATCGGTCACTTCAACATAAGTCGGAGACTGGTTTCTGCATGCACTAGTTGACGCCAGGTACATGAATGGGTCATTATACAAACAGTACCAGGATGCTTTATTTGCTTTGTTTTAATATTTGTGTGCTATGAGCACCAAAATACTAATTTTAGATAAACTAACTACAAAAGTAAGGCTATTTTAATATTGTGTTTTTATGTTTAAGCTTTATCTCACACAATTTTGGTGCTGTAATTGTTATGTTTTTAAATGGCGATGTTTGCAAGTGACTGCTGCACGATGTCTGTAAATTACTTGATGAAATTGATCTTTTTTTCAATTTTTATATCAAATATAATTGAAATTATTTCGCCCTCAAAATAAATTCCGTCACGCAGCGCTGGAAACGGTTCTTCCACTCTTTCGACTGTCCCAAAATGAGCTAGCTCCCTTGACCTGATTTTTCAACTTCGGGAAGAGAAAAAAAATCACAAGGTCTTAAGTCGTTCGGATAAGGAGGCTAGGGAAAAACAGGATTTTTTTTACTGGGCAATCGGTTCTTGAAGATGAACGCTTTCTGCTTCGTGGTTCATCTTCAGTCGACTCTCTCCCTTCTGAAAATGCCTTAAACCACCGAACTCTTGACAAGACACTATCTCCGTAGCCCTGCTGAAGTTCACCAGGAGTTTCCGTTGCACTGTGCTCAAATCTGAAGAAAAACCTAATAGCACACCGTTGCTTGAAATTGATGGCATTCGCTACGTTGCCAGTTTCATCACTTAATTTACAGACCTCATATATAATAGTTTTTAAAAACATTATATGTCATCTACATATGATTTTTTGAATAGAGCTCATTCCTTCTTCTTCTTGTTCTTCTTCTACAATCCTCCTCATTTGTATGACTGGAAAAGTCCTTTAAATATACGCAAAATATTTTAAAATGCTGTCCGTTTATATACGAGCCCCTTCCCACTTCAGTTGGCCCACTTCAAGATTTGTACCAAAATATGGCTTTATAAACTAAACATGACGAAGCTATTTACATCTAAAACAATTTATTTTCTCAAAAACATTTTAGATATACCCTAGCCGTAAAAAATACATATTTGAAATCACATAGACCTATAACTAATAGAACATCTGAACAAATAAACAATGTGCGAATAAATGAGCGAAGTTATTGAAAGATTACCATTTTGTAACATCACCTTTATTTTTTATTACGGCTGAGATTCTTTGGGGCATAGTGTTAACCAAGTTTTGGCAAAAATTTGGTGTAAAACAATCCTATATTTCTTGAAGCTTTTGTCTCAGTTCGGTGATTGTACGAGCAGGATGTTGTCGTAGAACCTTTTTCATCTCGTGTCACAAAGTTTCAATAGGTGACAGATCTGGACTGCTAGAAACCCATTCCAAAAGTGGTACATTATTTTCTTCCATCCATTTCATAGCCTTTTTTGAGGTATGGCATGCTGCACCATCTTGCTGAAACACAAAATCTTGGCCAGATGTCAAACATTCTTCCATCACTGGTAAAAGCGATTCTTCTAAAATTGCCAAATATTTGTTTGTATCCGCATTTCCATCAATAAAATGAAGTTTTCCTACTCCTTTTGATGACATACTGCCCCAGACCATAATGGATGCTGGAAATTTCACTTTCTCTTCATGGAATGCTTAATTTTTTTGCGAATAACTCTACTGCGACTGTCACCAACACAAAATTCGAATCAGGCCTCATCACTCCATTGTATTGCTCACCATTGTTGAGGTGTCCATTGTCTATGATCTTTAGCCCATCTAAGCCGATTTTTCTTTTGCAGTTGAGTTAATAGTGGCTTTTCTTTAGCTTATAAACAAGTTGTGCAACTTTAGGGTTTTTACTTCACTTTTCTATAAGAAAATTTATCTTGCAAGTGCTAACTCCCAGTTTGTGGGCCTCTCTATGAGTTGTGGACCTCGAAATTCTCCTTCTAACAGCGTCACTCCACAGAGCACTTAATTGTAAATAATTGGCACGCCTGTTTTTCACGATTATTCTTCTTAATGCTCTTTGGTCGGCATTTGTGATATTACTTTTTTTCACATATCGTGGCTTAATATTAACTCTACCAGTTACGTTATATGTTTCTAACAATATTTCTCACACTGTACCGCGGTAAGTCTAACAAAGTTGCAATTTCTGAGTTTGATTTCCCAGAATTAAAAAATTTAATTATTTCTCACTAATAACCTTTCCTCTACCCATTTTGAAAACCTTAACTACCCAAAACTATTTTAACCGTATTCTGACCGCTGTGATTAATAGAAGCAATTGTCATGGCTTTTATTTTTTACAGCCACCTATGCGTTATAGACTTATTTTGCATTGAAATGAAAATAGGTTGATATGCTGTAATTGCAACATGTGTTATTTTTATGCTGCAAATTTGGTTAGGGAGTGATAAAGTTGGTGTTTTCTACTATATATTATTAAAATATTCATTGTCAATATTTTAAACTAATAACACCCTGCTACATTTTTATTATTTGTGTTTGATAAGAAAAAAACTAAGATTTCAATAGTTGGGCCAATTGAAGTGGGAAGGGGCTCGTATATATCTTACCTTGCAAAATCAATGTTGTTGTTGAAAAAACAAATTTTTCTGACTAGTAGCCGAATAAGCACGTGGTTTCTTCTACAACCAATCGCCGATCAATGAAGAAGTTTAAACGAATATATTTATGTGCCTTTTTAAGGATTTGCGATACATTGTTTAAATGTTAAATGGCAACTTTTAAATTTTGCCCTATGTTCCTTAAAGATGTTAGAACATGCAAAATTAATACATGTGACAATATTGAACTGAAATTTACAATAAGAAGCAATAAAATATGAATGGTATTATATTACTGTACTTGAGTCATATATCGCTAACCCTATTCCCTGCTGAAACAACGTAAGTCCAGAACAGCTTTTCGGGCTTTCTCTGATTACTAGTAAACTATGCAGGTTATTAGAAATTTCAATGTATAAAAATTCAAATGCTATACTAAGCACCATTTCAGTCTTTCATTCATATTGTAGATGTCAATCTCAAACTGCTTTCTTAATGTATTTCAACACAAATCCTGTCTGCATTTCACTTAGCAAAGATTACTGATAGTGATCACTCTTCCAGATGAATCCAGAGAACTACTGACAATCCTCATATCAAACAGGAGTGCAACTTACTTCGAACTCAAAGAATATAAAAAAGTTCTGAACGATATAGACTACCTCATCGAAGTAGGGAACTACCCTCAACATCTACAGTACAAGGTATGGCTGCGCAAAGCAAAATCTTACGATGCTCTCGGGAACGAAAGATTGTCTTCGGATGCTTTTAACCAAGCGGTAGAGAGTTTGAAGCACAGCAAGCTGGATGAGGAGGCTATGGAAGCAAAGTTGAAGGAAATTGATACCGCAAGAAAAACGAAGGTATGCAAATACTTAAAATAAATATATATATATATATATATATATATATATATATATATATATATATATATGTATATACTAAGTGACATATAAATCCGAACACCCAGTTTAAATGGTTTTATTTTAATAAAATTTTGTATAAGTACTTAATGAAGCATAATAAGTAAATGATAAAAATTTCAAAGTGATTGCACTGCTTTAAAGCCCTTTGACTTTTAATAATGTGTGGATGCACCCTGATGTGCTACGCATTCTCCAACGCGCCTAGGCATGCTTCTGATCAGGTGGTCAATGTCCTCCTGTGGTATCTCATTCCAGGCAAACCACCAACTCCTCTCGAAGTGCTTCTAGAGTCTGAGGACGACGTTGCAAATTGAGCAATCTCCTACCCATCATATCCCACACGTGCTCACTTGGGGATAAGTCGGGAGATCTTGGTGGCCATGGTAACAATGTGACATCATTATGTTGAAAGAAGTCTATTGTGACTCTTGCAACATGTGGTCGGGCATTATCTTGTTGGAAAGTTGGATATGCCAGGGTGTCAAGATAGGGTAAAAGATGGGGTTCTTGAACTTCGTGGTTATAACGCTGCGCGTTCATGTTACCTCTGATGAAGATTAAAGGTGACCTGGAACCATAAGCTATAGCACCCCAAACCATAACTCCAACAGTGTGATGAACATGTCTTTCAACAAAAAACTGTGGATTCCTCCTTTCACCACGTCGCCTTCTAACCCTGGCACGACCATCGTGCATGCCTAAACAAAATCGAGACTCGTCACTAAAGACAATACTGTTCCATTCCTGATCCCAGAGTGTCCGTTGTCTGCACCACTCAAGGCGGCGATTACGTCGGTGTTCTCGAGTTAAAGGGAGGACCCAGTGTGGCCGGTATGAAAACAAGCCAAAACTTCTCATTCGTCGGTAAACACTTCGCATGCCAATAGGTCTTCCGTGTTCTGCAAACCATTCATTTGCAATGGACCTGGTAGTGGAGAAACGGTCCCTTAAGGCCAATAACTTAGGCGGCGATCTTCACGGTCTGTTGTTCTACGGCGGCGTCCAGTACCCCTTGCTCTTTGCGTACGGACTTCTCGAAGCCATGCCTGACAACACCTAACCACAGTGTCTACACTTCTTTGCACTCTAACTGCAATTGCCCGAAAAGAAGGTCCAGCTTCCCGAAGTCCCACTATACGGCCCCTATCAAACTCACTAAGTTGACGAAATCGTACAGGTCTCCGTCTCCGCCAAATCGCTCGCTTCAGTCCTCCGTTTGTTGTGAGATATGAGGATGCGCATTGTCGCGGAGCAGTCTAACACTTTGCACAGTTTTCCCCTACGATGATTTTGGAATCTCAACCGCCTGACTTCGGATCGCGATAGTTTATAAGATATATTGACACCCTTTATGCAAGCTAGGTCCATGCCCTTAGAAAATACCGCTTGTACTTCTCCACACATCGCGGAGGTCTCAAGATAACAGCGATGAGTCACTGCCAACAATTTTGGTCTTCAGATATAAGTTCTTAGACCGGTATCAACAGATATCATCATATAAAAAAGTGTGCTGATTTCAGGTGAATAAGGTGGACAAGCACGGTTTAGAACTGGTCCCAAGCTCCAGCCCGGAGATCTTCGTTGGAGCCAAGGAATACATTGCTGCCCATCCCAAGGTGGCATTCGAACAGGACGCTTACCAGGGCAGATTTGCAATCGCTGCAGAAGACATTGAAGCAGGCACTGTTATCGTTGAAGAAAATCCCCACTGCTCAGTGGTAGATTCTGAGCATGCTCTGAATAACTGTCAGTACTGCTTCGTGTCTGTCGAACAACCAATAGCATGCCCTATGTGTGCACACGTTGTTTTTTGTAGCACGATATGCGAGAGGCTTGCCAATAAAGGTTTTCATAGAGTCGAATGTCCTGTTTTAGAGGTGATTACCAAGAAACCACATACCTTTTCGGTCTAATTAAATTTTAACGAATGCTACGATAGCCCTTCATGGAAATATGTTTTGTTAAAAAGTAGGTACTCAAAACAGGGACACTTGTTGAAGAATTGTTAAGTTAAAAGGTTTTTGAAGGGATACTCATGAAGAATCAAGTTATTTGTAGCATCACTTTGAATCAAGAAACAGATTTAACTATTATTATTGGTTAACGTATTCTACCACAGCTGTTTCTGTCCTTACTATATATACTTTTAAAAGGTCAGTGTCTCATAGATGGCGCTGAAGTCACCTATATGCTTATACAGGGTGTTTCACAACTTATCCAACAAATTTTAACCACATACGCACTGTTACGAAAGTAGTTGAAATCTCAAAAAAATTTAATAAAATACCTGCAGAAATCGAGATAAGAAAATAATACAGTTTAACAGTTCACTTACTTATAACAGCTGTTCAAAATTGTTTCCATTGACTGCAATGCAAGCCTGGGCACGTCTAATCTCCACCAGCACGGGCACGTAAAACAATTGAACTAAATGTTTCGTGGTGTGGTATGTGCCTATTCGGAAATCGGTGAGCATACAAACGATAAGCCGCTCGCGAATTTTGGCCTGCATCTCCGTACGCTAAAACCAATGTCCACTAACTCCTCATTAGTGTACCCATGTGCCATTTTTATTAATAAGTAACTAAAAATATAAACTCGCAAAATACTTTATTATTAAACTTCACAAAAATCGACCATTCTTCATTCAGATCACCCACGATACAGATTAGACCTTATTTACACGTTCTTATCAGTATGAAAAAACAAAAAATTCCTGGTGTTTTGTTTTCGTCAGTTGTTTGGTAAAACATTTGTCAAAATAAATTATCAATGCGTGTTGTAATATCACAACGATGAAAGCAAAATACAGATATTTATTTTTCAATTTATTATTGACACAGGTTTATAACTTAATTTCTGTAGGACTTTTATTACATTCAACTTCTTCCGTAACAGTGCATAAGTCGTTAAAATTTGTAGTATAAGTTGTGAAACAGCCTGTATACGCACATATAGACAGCGCCATCTATGCGACAATAACCATAAATACATAAATATTAAATAGCGAACCAGCTATGACAATTTCTTATGGAAAATACACTACGTGTCAGATTACACTTGTCCCGTGTCAGCGTCAGCGCTCTCCTATTGTGAAGATACCTTTTCCTTTTAAATTGTAGGAAATTTCAGGCTGATAAAACATAAAATATAACTCAAAACCAAGCACAATTTGATGCAAATAGATGTTTGTGACATAACCTCAAAATAGAGCACTGGCATGGAAAAATAGAAAACTATGACAATCAAGAAGGCCATAAAGGCGCCCTACAATTGTAGGGACGACGATGCGGGCCTAAGAGAATATATACGGTATCTCATTTTATGTTGGGTAATGTTTTGGATACAGGAACATAGCGTTAGGTTTGCTATCTTCAAGTAGAATACGTTAATCACTGCTATTATATACCGGGTGTAACAGAAGTAAAGGAATGGCTCTTTATTTATCCGTGTAAAATATTTGTGAAAAAGCTCGAAATGATCTTGGATTTGATCTTGAGTTTTCGCTTCAAAGTCATTTAATGTCAACTCTTGCTTTTTAAATGGGAGTACCGGCAATCGAAAGGGAGAGAGCTTCTATGACCAAATGTGAATTAAAATGTAAGATAAAGGTCACCTCTAAGGGTTAGTCAAATCTGTGGGGATAGGGAAAATTCCTGAAAGCTCTGCGGCATTGTTTATGACAAAGTCTAGGTCAGATTGTTATAGTAACGATCAACATCTGTTCCAATATTGACAGGTTTGACCTCGCCTACTAAGCTAGTAGGAATTTTTCCTAGCCTGACGTAATTGACTTTCAGTTGATCTTTAGATGTGACCTTGATCTTAAGAAATAATACATATTCGAACGTAGAAGCTTCCGTGTCTCGATTGTCAGTGTCAAAAAGAGGGGCTTTCCATTTATAGATATTTGACCTTAAAGTAACCTTGGTCCCCGACGGTCACCATTATACCTACTCCTTGTTAAAAGTTAGGGTAGAATTTCACAAATACCTTATCTGAAGAAATACAGAACCAGCCCGTTACCTTTTTGATACACTCGGTATGAATAATTTAATCTTGTAGGTCTTATTCAAGAATGGTGCATCAGTAAATTGCCTCCTAGCGATGAGGATTGTCAGCCAAAGGCACTATTCCTTCTTCAACGACAAAAAGAATAAACTAAAAGACTACCTAAGGGACAATTGCAAGAAGAGCATTATAAAAAAGAAGAACTATAGATTCGACGACTACGACAATGTGTTCTTCCTTTGTCGCAATGAACATCTCAGAAGCAGGAACGACTTGTTACACTACACCTGCATGTCAATTTACTTGCTGCGACTGTTGAAGACTACAAAGTACTTTCCGTTTGAGGTCACAGATGAGGCTCTAACGGATGACGAGGCATACATCGGAGGTTTAATCTTGAGGCATTTGCAGTTACTGCAATTCAATGCGCACGAAATTTCAGAACTGGCAAATAATGAAAAGGTCGTTATGCAGGTGGGATTTCAAGCTAGGTATGAGAATGTTACTATCGGAGCTGGATTGTATCCCACTTTGGCGCTGTTTAACCATTCCTGTGATCCTTCAATTGTCAGGTAAGTTTAAATCCCACAACTTACTAACTATCGATTGCTATATATGCTTTAAAACAATATTCGCCAGCTCTTGGCCCTCTTAATAATATTAATAATAATAATAATAATAATAATAATAATAATAATAATAATAATAATAATAATAATAGTAATAAAATAATAATAATAATAGAGGGCTTTTGCCCAACAGTTTCACACTATTTACGGAGCAATCTACTAAAAATAAGAAATCACGATTAAGGTATTTTGAAAAAAATACAAGTTCCGTAACTCAAGACAAAATGGTAGCTATGACTAAACAATAAGAAAGGTAAGAAAAATCACAACTGAGCTCACAGTTTGTACTTCAGTACACCTAAGCTACAAAAGAATATGTCGCAGAAAATCGGCTATTTTATTAGCAATCACACACACCATGTTAATAGGCGCGTTTGACAGTAAATTCGTTTGTGCTCTGTGGCATAAGAAAGAAACAGTGTATCTTGAAGGTACTCGTGTTACCAGAAACTTTATTTGAGAAAGTATTGAAGGACTGAAAACTAAATTTATAGAGGAAAATATTGCATTCTGTAGATAAATCAATGTATACCATATCCACTTGTCCTCTGCTGTCCAGTCTGTTGCACAAATTTCGGCTAAATACCACCAATTTATTAAGGTTGAGCAAATTTCCCTATACAGAGCTCTAGAAGCAGCAAAACCTTTTTGGTCTTCAAACCATACACGAGACAGTGTGAAGGCAGTAACCTCGTCAGTGACCTCAGAATTGTAAATTTGGTCGTAACGCTGAAAAGATTGTCCATCATGAAGCAATATCAACTGGATAAGAGAGATATACTTCTTTTTGACTTCGTATTACTTTAGGGTTTTTCCCGCTTTTAAAGAATTTTATTAAGAAAGAAGGCTAGTTGACCAGAGGAAGCAACGAATCCATAATCGGCTGTTTCTCCAATTTGTAGCTGTATTTTGCCTTACCTAAAATTACGTTTCAGGTACAATGTAAAAAACAAGATGGTCGTGAGGACTATAAAGCCCATAAAAGCGGGTGAAATAATCTACGAGAACTACGGTCCTTTATACATGACCCAATCAACAGAACAACGACAGGAGGTGTTGAAGAAAAGCTATTGGTTCGAGTGCCTGTGCATACCATGCGTTGAGATGTGGCCGACCTTCAACGAAATGCATGAAAACGAACTAAGGATACCTTGCGCTACCGAAAAATGTCCTTTTGTATTCAGTGTCAGAACTGAGGATGATCCATTTTTGACTTGCGATTACTGTAAGAAGATTACTTCTATTTTGCCTGCTGTCAAAGGACTAATGGTAAGAGCACACTATACCTCAAGGTTCAAGTGTCAAAAAACTTAAACAGCACTGATAACTCGAGTCCGACCGAAGCTTCGACATCGGCTAAAGCCATATTGGACCAAAACTACAATTTCGGCCATACATTAGACCTTCGGCCAAAAAGGCAGAGGGTTTGACCGAAAGGCGAAACTTTTAAAAAACCTATAAGTATAGATATTTTCGCAAAACTTCTTGTAAGTACAAGAAGTTTTGCGAAAATATCGCATACAAGGTAAAAATGCACAAAATCTTGGTCAGCGAATTTAGAAACAATTGCAACACTTTTCAAAAGTTACTAAGAATGTTAGAGTATCCGAGTATGGACTTTTAGTTTATTCTTTTCTGTTGAAAGCGATTAGAGTACTGTGAAATATCTTTTAGTTACCAGTTAGTTCCAGTGTACATTCTTAGACAGGATTTGAGAATATTTATTTTAAATAACTTTATTGCAAGTTATAATTATTTTAAAAATGTTCCATGGATTCGGATGTTTCATAAGTAGCTCTATCAACACTCAGCTGTTTTTAAATACCTACATCAAACGAAGTCGTTTTTTTAAATAAACTATAAATTAAGTATCTTCTTAACCAAAGTCGATGAGGATTCCATTTTTATTACCAAAACCGTACGTATGCCAGAAAAATGAGGGGTCTGGGAATTTTCTAGTTATTTCCGAAAATACTTGACTTCCAAAAGTTTCTACTCGCCGCTTTTTGATATACCTACTTGCAACTTCTATATCTTAATTAAACGTTGCCCCAGTTTGGCTAACTTCGTATCTCTTTATTCACAACATTTTTAACCGGATGCAACAACATTTTATTGAAAGTAGATATTCATAATCGTCAACTTATCATAAGGTCATCTAATTTGAACAAGATTCTATGCAATATTGCATTAGGATGGAGGTCATAACAACGAAGAGGTGTACAAATAAAACAAATTTGTGCGATGTCATCAATCTCTTTTGCGTAACCCCGATAGCAAGAAATATTTATTAAATATTTATAAAAAAAAAATAGTTAAATATTTGTAACGATTTTTTAATATTTAATAAATATATTTTTTATATATTCATTATAGATAAAATATATATAAAAAACTTGAGGTAATGAAATTGATGTGTGAATTTCATACTTTAGAGTAAAATTGACAGATGAAAATGTCAAGATGGCCGCTGGGCGCCATCTTAGAAAGAAAATATATGAAAACTGCGGTTTTGTGGCACGTCATTTTGAAGCTCCTGACGAGTACTTTATAACCCTAGAATATAAAGCCAATACCTTTAAATACTACAAAATAGTGGTACATTTAATAATAATTACTAGAACACAAACCCACTAACATGCAGATATCTACAAATAATTGTAATTCCCTGCCGTATCCACAGCAACAGCGATAAAAACTTGTTTTGTTATTTTGTGTTGACGGTGACAAGAATATCAGTACGAAAACAAACATCATTGTACAGTTAAAATATTCATATTTAGTTTTCGGTTTTAGTGCTAGATACTGTTTGAACTATTTTTAAAATGGTCAATTCTCGTCCATTGGATGAAAAAGTCGTAGCGATTTTTATTTATGGTGCGACACCTAACTTTCACGAGACCGAAAGGATTTTTATTGATCGTTTCCCTAATCGTCCTATCTGTAGAAAATATTTAAGGGAACTTGTACCTAAATTTACAGCTACTGGTAGTGTAAACAACAAAAAGCCCCCAGGTCATCCGACCATCCCGGAAGAAAAGAAAGTTCAAATAATTGGTCAGATCATAGTCAATCCCCAACAGTCTACTTCCTCTACCGTGAATGTATGTGAGGCTTGTCCTCCTACTGTATGGAGACTTTTGAAAAAAAAATAAGTATCACCCATACAAAATTCAAATGGTACATCAGCTAACTGAAGATGACCCTGATCGAAGAACAGAATTCTGCGAGACTATGACGGAAACCATTGCACGGCATCCTACCTATATCCAAAATAATTGTTTTAGTGATGAATGTACATTTTTTCTCAACGGTAATGTGCATTGACAAAATTATCGTTACTGGAGTGACACCAATCCTCACGTCTTCCGGGACACTCATACTCAATATTCACAAAAAAATTAACGTTTGGGCTGGGATATAGGGAAATCATATTGTGGGGCCTCTATTCATCAAACAAACTTTAACCGGGGAACTGTATTTGGTTATGCTGGAAAATACTATTGACTCTTTAATCACCGAAATCGTCGAAGCGAATCCTAATGAATTCGATACTGATATTGTATTCCAGCAAGATGGTGCTCCACCGCTCTACTACAGACAAGTTAGGAATTATTTAGATAACAATTTCCCCGGTCGTTGGATTGGCCGTGGAGATCCTGTGAAATGGCCAGCTCGCTCGCCAGATTTGACACCTGTAAACTTTTTTTATGGGGCCATTTGAAGACAAAAGTTGTACGAAACTGAACCTGCTTCAATATTGGATATACGCTGAGAATAACAAATATTTGTAGAAATATCGATGTTACTATGTTTGAAAATGTTTCCAGCATCTTCTAAACTGAACTCAACGTATTTATTCGAATTATCAAGTTAAATGTCAATTTATTCCGGTAATTTTTAAATGCACCACCATTTTGTAGTAGGTAAAGGTATTGACTTTATATTCTGGGGTTATTAAGTACTCATCAGGAGTTTCAACATGATGTGTCACAAGACCCCCGTTTTCATATAATTTTTTTTCCATTTTCATCTGTCAATTTTACTCTGAAATATGGTATCCACGCATCAGTTTCATTACTCAAGTTTTAATTTTTTGAATTGATCTGTCCAGAAAATCAAAGGGCAGGGGGACATTAAAGAAGAGCTGTATGAGGAAAGATTTTTTAATATCTAATATTTTTCGTAATAATAAAATAATGGACTTTTGATATTTTTCATTAATTGAAAAATAAATGTGCAATGGATAGTATAAAAGAAATATTGCATTTAAAACATATAAAAGATATTGAGAAAATAAGTAATAAAAATATTATAAATAATAATCTGAATATTTTCCAAGCAGATGTGAAGATACTTCCTCGACTATTACGGCAGGTAAAGAATAGAGATGATCGCATCCAAATCTGTTTTTTTGTTACTAAAGTGATCTTCTACTGGTAACTTTGTATTCTTTGGAAGTAGCAGTAGAAAATTGTTATTGGTCAAATTCTATGCAGCATAGATTGACCAAATCTGGTTTTACATTATTTCACTCCGACTCTCTTACAGATTTTAGATGAAATATTACCCGAAGCAGAAGAACTGTTTGGCAATGGAGACCTAGAAAATGCGATGCACAAATTTCTGCAAGGTTTGGAAATCTTGTACAAACATACCAGACCACCTCATCCGGAAATCATCAAGGTGCAACACAGGATACGCGCGTGCATGATACATAAAGGCAACAAGTCTCATCATTATAAGTTTTTGGATTTTGTGTAGATTTTGTAATGGAGGAAATAAAATAAGCCTCAAGATATAATTTGAACTTTCATTAACGCATTATGCAATCCAAATCGACACAGATCGTTATATCTTAATATGCGACCTGAATAGAAAACTCTAAACACTTTTACAAGGAACTCGTGGTCAAGTATTTGTGTAGTGCTCGAAGCAAGTCGACTTGTAGCTGGTACGACTTCAATGTGGTAAAATCTGGAATGCTAGAAATAGATGGCACTAGTTTGATCTCCAACCAAACAAGCGTCGCCTAGCGGGAGCAAAATTGCTTCTACGATTAGATGCAGCACATTGCTTTGCACCTAAAATCGCATGATAAGAATCGACATGTGTAAGTGCTACTTAAGGCAAACTTGATTTGACACTTGACAGGCATCATTTTTGACTTTGACAATTCGCCAAGGTTGACTTTTTAAAATAATTTAAAGAAATATCAAATAGTTTCTTGGCTTATTACCAACTACAAACTCCAACAGTAATGCCCGTAAAGGATTTAGAAAAAAATACCAACGAAGCAAATGGCAATATCAACGAAAATCAACCAGTCAAAGAAATTACTCAAACAGACAAATTAAATAAACGACTTTTACAGTCATTTCTGATCAAGATAAATCAAGGGGATCATAAGTATTTTAATAACGCCCAAAGTCAGCAGCCTGATTCATGTGGACACCCACAAGAACCCGATTTTTCATAAATGCAAATAACCTAATTTAATTTTGTAACATAACCTAGAATATCAACAAAAACGCGGGAAATCTGTCCGTAACTGCCCAAAAGATTACACAAATTGCACGTCTACGCACAATAGAGATTTTAAAATGTCTTCAGATGAAGAATCAGTCCACTCCATAGTAGAAGAAGTAGAAAATGAACTGGACCTGCACCCTGAAGATGACAATGCTGAAGGTACTGAAGAACAACCAACTGAGGAAGCCAATGGTAGCCAAAATGCAGAAGACGAGGCTGAGGAAGAAAGAGCAAAAAATGTAGTGAAACCAAAACGAGTTGTTAAGAACCCACAGCCAAAGTTGAATGAACAAACCTTACGAGGACCTAGGGGCCTGAGTGCTATTGAAGGTTACTTCCAGAGAGTCAAGTTCAAAGGAAAGGGTCATGAAGAGCATGATTTGAATATGCTGATGAAGACATATGAATATTGGTGCCACAGACTGTTCCCAAAGTTTCCCTTTGATCATTGCATTGCTCGTTTGGAAACATTGGGCACCAAGAAGGGTACACAGGTAATTAATGGTTCATTGCCCACTTTTCTTTCATATTATTGGTTTACTCCCTTAAGCCACATTAAAAAGAGCTTCTCAATGGTTATAGTCTGAGAAAACCTTGCCTAAAGCATTTTTTCTGTGTGCACAGTAATCTTCGAGTTGACTATTCCTATACAGTTCTTGGGAAAATATCTTTCTATGGTATTTAATATTAATGTTGCTCCATTTTTATTATCCTCATTCACATGTGTATATAGCAATAGAGTGTAATAACACTCAAAAAATTATCTGACATTGTTTTTGGCACATTGCAAGTCCTCTTGGTATAGCAGTTATCATATTTCAAGGATGATAGATCATCTACTGCAGGCACTAGTCAAGGGCAACCCCTAAGAATGCTATGTTAAGGTGCATGTCTATTGATAAGAGAAGCTCTTTTGTCAGGTTCTTTCCTGCATAGTGAGAAATGTAATCAGAAGCAAGAATATTACGTTTGATATTAGCCATGCAAATATTTGCAGCACTTTTCTCATTGCTCCATCTCATTGAGTTTGCAGCTTTAAAGGGGGTTTCAGAGTAGAAACAAATTCTTTTACAAGTCTTCAAAATCTTCATGCTCACTGATCCATGATTTTCACATAAAAATAAATTACTGTTATTCAACAATCTATCAATTTACTAAATTACTGTATCTTCTGACAGACCCTTCTCAAACTGATCAGAATGGATATGGCAACAGACACACATATTGTCAGTGACAATGAGGAGGAACAAGAAGATAATCATCAAGAATCCACAGAGCCTACACAAGATGCATTTGACCAATTATTACCAAGCACAAGTGGTACTCAGGCCCAGAGTACAAATGACAGTCAAGAACTGCCAGAAGATATACAGGACAGAATTAGGCAAAATAGAGAACGTGCAGAAAGACTTAGACGAGAAAGGTTTGTATCCATTATCTTATCAGTAGATCAGATCAGAAGCTAGTAGTGGAGTGCTCTTACTTTTAATGCTGTATGGATTTTTGAGATTTTTAGTGAAATGTATTTTAGATACTGTATATTGAAAAGTTCAGTTATTACTTTTGTGTGGTTTTGATGTTCAATTTTTTTATAATCTGATAATGCCACCTCTGGGGCAATTCAGTTGAATATAACCAGTATAAATTAAGTCCCTTATTGTTGCCTACCATCAATACAATTATCTTTTTTCTCAGTAACTTTGTCATAATAAATTTTGCATATTAATTGTGATGCTCTTCTGCGCTTCATGTAATTCTGGCCAATCCTAGACAAAATTATGCTGAGGTGGGACGTTGAAATGTGCATTGAAATGTGATTTTATTATATTTTGTCTCTATTTCTTTTGTATTTATTTATACTTTTACTTTTATACCAAATATATGTCTGATGTCTTTGTGATATCACTTCTAATTGTATTGTTCCTGTGGTTGGGTATATCCCATTGGAAAAAAGATTATTATTATTAAATTAAATATGTAAGTTTAAATCAAGTCTTTTGTTCACTTTAAAGAGATCTACTAGCTGGTATATTATAAATCTGAATAATTGTATACATATAGAAAGTTAATTTTTTAAAGTAATTGAAAATCAAAAAGCCCACAAAATTATTAGTTAAGCTTGTTAATACACAGCATTTTAAATGCAAAATTTTCATAAACCCATTTACTGGACCTGGGTGCCCAGGTTTTAGTGTGTTTATGTCTAACAATACTAAAGACCTATAATGTAACATCAGCAACTAATCCTGTGGTTTGCATCAATAATCCCTTTGTCTAGCTAATAGGACATGTTCTGACAGAATCTTAATGTAAATGTTCCAATCAAAAAGGTGATCCTCAGTTCACTGACAATATCTGTATTTCCAGGTCTGGTTTTATTGGCTAGACTTGATACCCATGTCCTGACCAAATGGGACTGAGGTAGTCTATTTAACCCTTTCGCAACAGAGGATCTTGTTACGAAATCTGTCTATCCTTACGGGGAAATCGCCGCTTGCTGATTTCTCCGCTTCCTCGCTTTTTATTATATTCTTTAGTGAAATAGCAATTATTAAAAAAACTTTTTTATTATAAAGACATTTTGATACAAAACTTTTATTCAAAAATACAAATACATGTATGTAAATAACAAAAACATAACGTAACAAAATCTGAATAATATACAAATGCAAATGGAACGTTTAAAATTTTAACGCAGTGTTGCACAACATCGCCGCGTCGCAAACATTGCATATTTTGCCGATGGTAAGGATGCAAAACTTCTCCACACAAGACTTTGGAAACATGGTAACTGGGCTGCAATCGGCGTATTACTTGTTCTAGGATCATCCAACGCCAAATTAATCACTTCCAGTTTCTCTTGAACAGTACGCCGGACACCAAGGCCTCTAACTACGGGAAGTTTGGCAATTCCATATTTTGGGGTAGGTTGGCGTCTGTTAGGAAATCTACGTTGATACTCCCGAGAAACCCCTAAAGCATTTCCATTACAGAACCCAGACACAAAAATAATATCGGCGTACTCATTGTTGCTAAATTCCATTTCACCACACTCAAAAATGGAAAAAAGAAACTTTTGACTCGACGTTTACAAAAAAAAAATGGTTGTAGTAATGATAACAACCATATAACACATAACTTTGAAAAACAATCTCCCAAGAAACGTCAAGTTCGTTTCAAGGCCTCCAATTTTATTTTGAAACTAATTGTATCTCAGCTTTTCATGAATGATTAATTTGTTTTATTTTTATTTTTGCAAAAACTGCACCCTCGAAAAAAACACAAGAGTAAATATTTGTAGCAAATTGAAGGTAAAATTCGAGAAAAAAAAACAGTGGCATACTATTTTTATTTCAAGTAAAGACTTTTGAATGTGGACAATATCCACATACCAAATTTTAGTTCATTCCATTTGAAGATATTTAAAAAAAATGTTTTTTATTTTTAAACTTTGTTTTGATCTTGATCTGATGTTTTCCCATTCCTCGGTGCCGCCATCGAAATCGCCCTCAGAATGCTGTTCTGTGATATTTCTAACAACTCCTGATCTGTTAACTCACTAGGAGACATTTCGAAGACAAATATAACATAAAATAACTAAAGTATCAGTATTTGCGTTCGAAGAATAATGGTCAAATAAACGTGCTGCAACCTGTCTTGATGGTGCCACCTGTGCGACAAGTCTCTTCATGCCTGTTCCCCCACCACCGAAAATTTTCGCTTGTATGCATAGCATTTGGTACAAACAAATACCGACTTATTCTGATCAACACGTTTCCTGTAGTCAACCGGGGCCTCTGTCGCTGTGTAAATATACGTTTCCCATATACCAGACACTACTTCTTTTTTTCGAATATAACCGACTCCCGATGCGAAAGGTTTAGACATATGCATAAATATATTTGTAAATCATAGCTTGACATATTTTTTATTTATTTATAGGTTACAGAAGGCAAGGGATCAAGCAGCAGTTTCTTTACCAGGATCCAGTAGGATAACAGAATCTCAAAGCATCCAAAATCAAGTGTCGGTCAATGGAGATGTTGCTGATAGTCAAACTGGGAAAAATAATGAAGTAGGAACTATTGATGACCTTTTGGATGAAATTAATAGTAAAGATTTCAACAGTGAGAAACACAAAAATTCAGCAGTTGTAGACAGTGACGAAGAAGCTGATCAAAATGATATTCCTGACAAAAATAAATCATCTGACCATACTCAAAATAGCTCTGCAAATGCAAAAAAATTACTATCAGAATCAATTGAAGATGATAACAATCATTCCAGAACTCACAAAAGATGTTCTAGTGAAACCATTGATCCAGAATCTGAAGCTAATTCAAACAAGAGAGTTAAAGTGAATGGTATATATGACAGTGATGATGAAGATGAAAAAAGAATAAGGAAAAAGAAAACAAAACTGATGGATAGCGAAGAATCAGATACTGAAGGAACAATGAATGATATAAATACCAAAGAAAACTCTGACAATAAGAATCACAGTGAAGATGAAAAAATTATAAAGAAAAAGAAAGCAAACCTGATGGACAGTGAAGAATCAGAGACTGAAGGAACCATTGACCAGTTGCTGGATGATATAAATACCAAAGAAAACCCTGACAAGAACCATGATAGTGAAGATGAAGATCTACATGAGGATCACAAAATACGTATCAAAACAAAACGAAAGGTTATAGAAAGTGATGAAGAAGAAAATGACAGTAATTCCAGAAGAGACAAAATGGAAGATACAAAACACAGAAAGAAAACAAACCTAATAGCAAGTGATAGTGAATCTGATAATGAAAATGATATCAACAGAGATAATATGGTTCAACAGTCACAAGATAAATCTCATCACATCAATAATTCTACCATTGATCATATGGATAAGAATGTGTAAAAACCCAAAAGAAAAATCAGCTGCACTTGATGAAAATAGGCAAGATATGAGTAACAAAGATGCAGATACTTATCCACTGTCAGATGAAATTAACAGCTAGGAAACATGTGAGGCCAGTCAATTCTTCATGTTGAAAAATATTAAGTGATTTTTTTGGGTTCATAACCAATCAAGTAATATTAATGTGTTCAGAAATCCTTGTTTCAAATTAAATTAAGTGTCCATTTAAGTTGAGTTGTAATATCTTTGGAAAACATGGGATTCTGGGTTATGTTGCAAAAGAAAATTAAACTATTAACGTAAAACCTTATTTAATAAATCACATTTTTTGTATTACTACGCTAATGAAAAATATATATACAAGCAATAACATAAAATATCTATTATTAGAAATTCCTGACATTCATTTCCTCAATTAGCGGTGTATAAAATTAGAAAAGCCAGCACTTTTCACCTTCTTTGCATATGTAGTACATGAAATATGTTACCTACGTCAGTGGTTTGTTTTTTCCCCATAACATAGTCGCAAATATAGTCAATGTTTTGTAGGAAACCAGTCGCTTTGCTCAAAGCATAGTTTATACTCCTTAAAAATGATAAATCTTCAGTGTTGCTTTGAAAAATGAATCTGCTTATAGCATATAGCATACAATATTTTTACCTCAAAATGAATATAATAAATAAATAGACTAAACCCGCGGCTCCACTCGCCTAGAAGTAGTGTAAAGTATGCAGGTGATTCAACAAATGGAGAAAGAAACTCAACATTTGCAGCAATGCAATAGTTGCTTTTGGCAATCAAAATTTTTTATCTGATATTTTAATGGAATAATAAATTAGTTTCAAAGTTTCGCTTTTTTATAACATCGGAAAAAAGTAAGGAGTTTACTTGAAGATTTATCTGATCTTAAAATGATCTTGAAAGTTATGGTGATTCTTTGGCAAAGATATACTTAAAATTTTCCGCAATCTGCACTTGCGGAATTAAAAATGTGTCGATTCAAAATTCAATTGAACCTCGAATGCCCTTGATGAACATAGTTAAGGTCATGAACGCACTTTGTCAAGTTTCTTGCTATTTTCATTTCCATTGTCAAAAAAGGTCTTTACGTTTCAAAAAATTGCCTTGACCTTCAAATGAGATTGAAGGTCATAATTAAGGTCACGTTCAAGGTCACCATTAGATGAATCTTTTCAAACCTTAATCTACTTCACATTTTTAAAGAAAAATAAAGATGAAACGATTTTTTTAAGATGTTTTGTCCTTTACCAACTGATTGGGGACCCTCAGATACCCATGAAGATCATGGTCACGGCCATTGTTAAAAACTTTAACAATTCCCCTCGCTTTGTATTTCCGGTGTAACAAGTCTCATTTAAGAACTGTCTTAACCTTCAAATGACCTTCAAGGTCACGTTCAAGATCACCAATGGATGAATCCATTCAAATGTTGCAACTTTGTCCCGTCCCAGAACATTTTTCTCTAGAAAACGTATTTTTTCAGATGTTTTAATATGTCCATACTTTTTCCTTGGGTTTCTTTTAGTAAGTGTACAAATTTTTATGTCTCTCCTTATTCTGGTTCAGACAATGCTGACAGTCTGGACAAACACTCACATTTATTGTATATTTATAGATATAAGGTATTTTGAATAAATAAGCAAAATGACTCGATTTCCTACACAGAAAATACGGTAGCTATATTTAATAAACGTCATAATCTCCTGCAAATTAATTTTTAATATCAGGTACACTATAGAAAATATATATTTTCACTTTCATTATAATATGCACTAGTTAAACTCGTCAAAAAAAAAACTCGAGAAATATTTTTTTTTCATTTTAATGTATGATTGCACAATATCAATTTCATTGTTCACTAAAGCTTAGGAACAAGAGACAAGACCTTTCAGGTAGTCCATCCTCTTTGAGGAATCAATCATTTTCTAGTGCATATTTAATAATTCGTTTTGGAGAAAATGCTATGTGCAAAACACTTGACAGCTGACGAGAAGGACCCTGACGACAGGAATTTTGATAGACAGGGCGAGTTTTTGGTGTAGGCACAGTAGATAATTCCATTATTATGCATGTTACCTAAAAAAGTTAATTACAAAAATTGTAGCTAACTTTGACAGCTCGCACCTTCTCAACTGTTAACTAGAGCTGAATTTTACGCTAGATAAATTTCATGATCCCACATTTTGTCCCTATTTGTTTACTTTTTCAGTTTTTTGATAGTCAAAAACGCATAATGAATCATTTCAGAAAGTTTTCAAATGGAACACCCTGTATATTTCACACTCTTTGATTATCCATTCTAGTTAATAAACGTACCACGTAGTTACGAATCACCGTGTAAAAACAAAAACATTTTCCAAGTCAGAAGCATACCAATTTTTGTACTTGTATTTAACTTAGCCAACACTAAAAACTCACACTGTATATGTATAAACATCTATCAGAAAAAAAGTGAGAAAACAATGTTTAGATCCAAATGGATTGATTTACCACTTCAAAATTCGTCACACTGTTTGTCTTGGACATATACTTAAAGTAGAATGAAAATTAATTTTATGACATTTTCTTTTTGGAACTCGCCATGAATGCCCGCATTCAGAAAAACAAGTATGTCATCTAGAGTCCCATAAATTTGCACTACATAATATATCAAAACCGATTTTAATAGAAAAGCTTTCCGATATACACTGCTCTGCATTTTCGTAGGTAACAATAAAATTTCGATACGACCAAATTTCACGAGATCTTTTAGATAGCGTTCGGAATTTCGGGTATCAAAGAAGCGAAAAATGTGGCAAAAAAAGTCCAGACAATCATCAACCGAGACGGTGCCTGTTCCTCCTCCACTTCAGCCGGATCTCGGGTATTGTTGTTATTGTTGTTGACGTTCATGGTCCTGAAGACGCCTATCTGATACAGGTAGAAGCTTATGCCCAGAATCAACACGAATATGAACCTGGAATAAAACAATGTTGGCATTTATTTTAGCTGTTTACCTAATTTTAATTAACACTTGATAGTGTCACTTGCAGGACAGTCCTTGAAGAAAAAAAACAAAGTAGAATAACTTCAGGGTGCGAGAGATTACCTTCATTTTCCAAAACTTAATAAATTTCCTTGTATATAAATTAGAACATTTTTAATTGTTTTTTTTTATATTGTAGGCGCAAGTGTCAAGTTTTGTTACACATAGTTTTGAAGATCAAATCAGATTTCTGGCGTTTGTAACATGACTCTTGCCAGCATAGCAGGCGTTATTTTATCAATTTCTTCCTGGGCGTTGGTCTTCAAATCTTGTAGGGTTCTTGAACGGTTCACATGAACATCGGATTTCAAAAAACCTCACAAGGAGCCAAATCGGGAGAGCGTGCCGGTCACTCAATGGGGGTTAAAAAATTGCTTATACTTGATAGTAAACTTACCTCAAAGGACTGGAATAGAAATAAACGACACTGAACAGTATGATCGCCCTGCTGAGTACATAGAACACATCTAGCCAATCTCGTTCTGGGTGATCGGGATCCCGGATCCCTTCAGCTGGGGGTGCAGGCGGTTGATCAGGCTGTGGTACTGCAGGGTTTTGCGGTTGATTCGGGATGACGCCAGGGACATCTGTGGGTGGTGTTGGAGCAGGCAAGCCAGGTGCGGGAGCACCATAGGAGTTGGCCGCTCTGAAAAGATGTTTGTTATCACTGGCTTGGTGGTACTAAGGCGACAAAATTTCTGTTCAACCACAGGCCATACCAGCATGCTCTAGCAACAACAAATTCAGACTCTACATGGACGATACTCAGTTTCTGTATCACATCCTCTAGTCTAACAAATATCATCCTAGCATTAGTTAATCTAAGAACTAAATAGGCACTGACTTACAGTTCTGCAGTGACCTTTTGAATGCTGCTGAACTTTCATATGGTTAATTTTTCAAATCTAACAGGTCTGATTTTCTTTATGAAATAAGTAATATGGAAAAATAATAATAAGATGGGAACCACAGATTTATCAACATAAGAAATAATAATTCAAAAATTAGATGATGTGATAAAATATCGAGTTTCTCATAAAAGCGCCCGTGCATATCTTATAGGGATTATCTTAAGAACAACATGGGCCATTTGATTAAAACTTAGCAAAATCGGTATGAATACAAGTGATGTAACAAATGTCATTTTTAGCATTTGCAAATGCAAACATTACTGACGATATTCACGAATATTCATTTTTTCTTCTCTACACAATACATCAAAACATACTTGAAGGAGAGAAAACTACGAAGCTTTCACTTTTGAAGTTTGATATTCCTCTAGTTTAGCTTGATAATTAAAATGCTGTTTAAAAAATGAGAAAAAAAACAGGTATATTTACTATTTTTTTTTTTAAATATTCTTGTCCACCACAAATCTAAGACTTCTCGCTTGTATTTGTATTTTTTATTTGTAAAACATTTTAATCAAAGACTGATAAAAGTAAATAAAAATGTTTTTGTTTGTTCGCAGTAGTTGTTATTAAATAATCACAGCTACATTTCTTCTACACACAAATTCATTTCAGTTTGCTTGGTTTATTATACATCCCTTTCACGAAAACTAGTTTAATAAACCTAGCTGAGTGAGATTTCTCTCGCGAATATTCAATACATCACTGATGCCTTGAACATATGAACATTTCTGTAACAAAATTTCTTTGGGATCCTCATAGCATCCGCGGTGTCCCGGCATTCTGCCTGCGCGGCTGCTTCGATATAAAAAAAAATCGCAAGTGGCACACCCTCAGAGTTAATAGGACCGCTCCTTGGTTCTCACGTCAGTAGTTTTGGGACCGCTGGGATAAGTAATTAAAGCGGGAAATAGAAATATCTCGGGTCCGTAGAAAAACGTATTGTGTTCAAAATAGTACATTAGGTAAATGTTATTAGGCTAAAAAAAGTTCAATTATACTTACAGTTGCATATACTGTGTCATATATTGATAATAAGCTTGCTGCATCCATGCCAGTTGCATGGCATACTGGTTCACGTCTGCAGGTGTTGCTTGAGGACCTATGGCATTGATCCATGGTATGTTAGGATATGGGTTTTCATTAGGAATTATGGTTTCATTTCTTGTGCTGGGTTGGGGTTGTGAAGCCTGAAAAGATATTTTCTATTGCAGATCTTTGTTGTCTCAAAAAAAAAAATGTATAAAAAACATTTTTTAGATCTACATAATTTCTCTATACATATATCTGTAACAATCAACATCTCATATTTTGACTGCAGCAACAGAACTATAACAGTCAGTATTTTTTGGCTTCAGATAAATGCTGTTATTGACAAAATGAAATACTAAGATTGATGATATTAATCAATTAATCTGAATCAGACACTGCATAAATATATTAATATATTCATATAAGGATTTTTTTACCCACCATGATACAACTTTGGAAACAACTGGATATCAAAAGTTTACGAACACGCAAGTTGTGATGATAAGCTTTGAACAAATGATAACACATAGTACTCACGTCATAAGCATAAAAAAATATTATCCATTGTATTACATATCTGAACCTTAAAATGACTATACCAGGGTACTACAAGTAAAAGGTAGGTAAAGTGTGAAAAATATTAATCAGATTAAAATGATTATATCTAGTGTTCAGAAAATAATTGTATGAACAAAATTTGTGGTTTCTCCTGTTAAGGTACAAGTTCTGTGCTATTCAGAGAGAAATTTTGAGGAGTGGTGTGTGTCAACACTTAAAAAGGGAGGAGTGGAGGGGGGCTGCAGATGCTTTAGCTTGTGACAATTGAAGAGCAGGGGAGAGATGTACAGAAAAAAAATGAATTTCCTGCATATTTCTTTTTTTTAGAGATCTTTTGCTAAGGACCTTTCCCCTAATTACCATCCCCCCGCCAGTTGATCTGCCACTGATAAATGTATAGGGGTGAATAGACTGTATTTAAGAATTCAATGTGCCGCCAAAAATCTCAAGTACATCGACAAATTGCAGAAATAAACCATCTAAATAGTGTAAATATCATGCTTTGTTTGTAACTTATGGATAAAATTAAGGTGACCATCAAGATTCTAGCACAACATGGTTGAAAATGAAAATGTATACTCCCCTAGCATGTTCCATTCTGGACTCTTGCTACAAGTATCAGCTCATTGTTCTACAGGGTGTTATTTAATTGATGGCTAAAAATACAGCATATGATTCCTTAGCTCATTTTAGGAAGAACAGTTTATATGAACATATGTCCTAAACCTCTCAACTTTTGAGCTACAGGGCGTTAAAATTTCAAGAAAAAGTTCGGTTTATCATCATAACTTTAACATGCAACAAGCGCATTCCCATCAGCAAGTCTGTAGGTAAAATGCATATCTGCTAACTAGGAATTTGTTTAGCATAGTTTTCTCTTTATTATTGATTAAAGAAACTTTCACAATGTGAAAAACTATCACTTGTCAAAATAAGACCGTAACATAATCAAATGTGGTTATTTTAAAAACAAAATAGGGCACAAGTTCAAAATAATTTTGCTATGCCACAAATGCATGAAAATGGTTTTTATTTTTTGAGCGAAAACGGTGCATCGCATTAAAAAAATTTAAGAGGTCAATTTTGTTGCACAATATATGAGGATTTCAAAAGTGATTCCTATGATAGCGTCATATTTTTTTGAAAAATCTCCAGTATTCATCGCGTACGGACGCCACTGGTAGAAATATTAAAGAATATCTACCTCAAAGTTGCCTTGTGCTTAGTAGGTGCGAGTCTAATTTAATGAACATATGTAGAACAGAATTAAAGTTATGATAAGAAAACGAATTTTTTCTTGAAACTTTAACATCGTGTAGCTCAAAAGTTAAGGTTTTGGGCATATGTTCATATAAACTTTTCTTCCTAAAATGAGCCAAGGAACCATATCCTGTATTATTAGCAATCAATTAAATTACACCCTGTATATGCAAGTGGCCGTATTACACATTGTATCATATTTTGTATAATCACGTTAAAACACGTTTTTAGAGGTTCCTAAAAATTGTGTCACCCTCACCTGGAGCAACTCAAATTGCGTATTTTCGTGTCACAGTTTCGTGATTTAACCTCGATCAGTATCTAGAAAATCGAGAGACGATAGTTTAAAAACTAGCACAATTTGGCCTTCTGAAACCAGGAACTCTTTTGCCGATGGTTCCAGCATTTACCCTAGTAAAGTATATCTTACTTATGTTACTGCAACTATGTAAACTGAATACAAAAGCCATAAATCACACACCATATAATAATGAATGTATCTTAATTTTTTTCAAGGCCATGTACATTTTTGAAACTACCCTGGCAACATTTCTGTGGCAGTCTTCATGTCAATTATTTTTTTTACCCTTTTTTTACTTTTTTACATTTCTTTACAATAAAAATATAATCAATGAAAGCGATCCACGCGACCTACAACCAAAACAAATTTTTAGCTTCCAAACAACTTTTACACTGAGGATCTGTGACCTCTCAAACTATACAATTTTCTTGTTTCAAGGCCGGTGGAGCTGAAGACTTGTTATTTTTAATAAAGAACTATTGAATTTATTTAACTAATTATATTTACATCCCATAAATTTAAGGTTTCTTCATCATAGTTTAAATGTCTCTCCCTGGCCACACATTTTCCCCTGGTACCTAAAGGAGCTGTCTAAATCAAAATATTATCTGACCCTGTCATATATGTATCACATGTCATATAATCTTGTGAAATAATGAATATGAAAACAAAATAAGTTGTTTTTTTTAGTTGAGACTAAAAACCCAAATACCATAAATTCATCCACATAACAATTGTTGCATAGTCATATAGGTTGATCAAAATGATCATATTTGTGATGAAAAAATGATTTTGCCTAACATCAGAAACATTAGCACATCATTTATTCTGACACGTGAAAAAATCACAATGTCAATTGATGAACAAAACAGATCATTAGAGAAACAGCACACCTGATATATTGAGGCATTATCGTTACTTTCATAGAGAAACACAATTAAAACAGTTCTATAAGATAAATAATGTATTCATACCTCAGTTTGTGGTGTGGGTGCAGTATTAGTGCTGATATTATTAACTGGTAGTTTTTCTTGAGGTTTAGTATACTTTGTAGTACATACTAGATGTACTGTGTGTACTTCCTGACCCTCATACTGTCTCAGAATATCCTTTAGTGTTGATGAATCACTCAGTAGCTGGCCTGAATAGATGAGTTTCTGTTCATGTTTTGGCTGGAAACAAATTAAAATTTAAAAAATATTTATGATGATTCTAATGGTGCTTCTAAATAGGCAATATTTTTCTTGCCTAGCCATACTTTTTGACATTTTTGAACTATTTTCATGCAGTTCATGTAGTGTTGTCAGATTGCCAAGTTATTGGAAGCCTATTTAGTGTAATGTGATGTTAGCTGCTGCAATATGTACAATTTCATCAGTAATTAATGTCTGATTCTGTAGTCCTGAACATTAGAAATTCGGACCAGATATGTATCTACATATTGCAAACACAAATTCCAAGATATTTAGGCGAGACATACCTAACTGTTATATCTGGAATATATGGCTGAGCCACAAATATTACCCATTTAAATGCTCCATTATATCATGATATCTTTTGATTTTCATTATGAAAGATCGATTTGCTAAGTAATATCAACAAAAATTTATAATATTTCAATACTTTTCTGATATCATGTTGAACCTTATCAAATAGCTTGAAATTTTCAAAAGCTAGGATTACAATAGTCTTCACTCATCATCAGGGACATATTTTTTTGAAGTACCCATCATATTTTACAAAATGGACAATCTTCAAAAAAAACTATTTTTTGCATATAAATACAATACATAATCATCTAAATACACAAATGGGTTATCAAAAGTGAAGGTCATTTTCAACTATTGGCCAGGAAGTTATGCTTGCTTATCAACAATTTGAACTGAGTCATACATTTGCAAGAAAACTACTGATTATTGTAAAATTGGTCGTTGTACTAAATCTAGTATGTTCAGATGACAGCTTATTGAGCAATAACTGCAATTTGTTGTTATACAACCTCCACGTTACAGACACTGGAGGCATTCGTTTTATATTGGCTGAAAGTGGGTTTCACAATATTTATATAACATTCCTTCTCAAATAACTGGGGTAAACTGTTCTTGTTAAATGATCCCTATATTTCCTGCCACGATGGAGTCAAAGTTCAACAAATTAAACTGGAAATAGCTGTATAATAATTACCAATTTAAGTAGGCATATCCAATGAAACTACAATTATAAAAGTTGTATACAAACAATACTGTAGGATGATGTGTAATAAATTGGACATGACGTAATTCAATCACCTTATGACCTCTTTTTTTAACTTTTATCATACTTACTGGTTTGCTAGGGTATACTTCTGATAAATGTTGCTTCAATTTGTGGATTGTCCATGATAATTCGCACTGTATCCTCTGATCTTCGATTTGTTGATTTGGGGCTTTCACTATCAATGTAACTGGCAATGTTTCCATTGTAATTATTGCGGCTTACGGTCGGATTAGAAATAAACTTCACACTCTATATATATTGTTTATCAGACTCGGCACCGTCTTTTCTAATTAATTCTATTTAAATTGGTATGTCACATTATTTTATAAACTCCATAACATTTCGTGGGTTGTCTGTCGTTTACTGATTGGATAGAGATGACGTTTCCGTCACGTGATGTGGTGGAAATTAACTGGGCTGCGTTGTTGCCAGGTGCTCGGGTTTTATTCGTTCTGGCCTTTTTTTGTTGGAATCTTATCATGATTGTGGAAATTTCTGCTGTTTCCGGTTACGCTAGGTGTACTGCTTGTCCTTATGTTTTGTGAGTGTCGGTTCTTGTCTTATCAGGTATCAAGGAGGAGGTTTGATATCCGATTTAAAATATTATACATTTTCTTTCTGGTAAATCACTGCTCTAGTGAATGAAACGTAGCTAATAGGTTGTCATCCAGCGGATCTCTAGGCGGGGTCAGAATGCGTACATATCATGTCACATGCACACGTGTTCCCTCACTAGTATTTGTGACACTATACTGATGCTGTGACGTCCTCCCCTATCCTTTATCAAACAGATCACACAACTGCCCTAAGGTTCCCATGGGTATTTAGGACTGCGTGGTGGCTCAAGTATAAGAAATTCATGATTTTAAATTTTCTATGCAGATGTTAGTCTTTTATTTTGATATTTGCGAAGAATACTAATAACCACAACAGAGGAAAATTTGTTTCACTCCGGAGTGAGACGTTATTTACCGAAATACCGAAAACGTCCTCATTTTCCATTTTTTTTAAACAACTCAGATATTTCCCGATTTTTTACCAAAAAAGAGCAGGAATCAAAAATAAAGCTGAAAAAATGAATTATATGTCGCAGCCTATGCAATTTTATGGCCCATGCCAATCATACATATGCGTACACTTAGGACCGTATCGTCAGTCATCCCTACAATTGTAGGGCGCCTTTATGGCCTCCTTGATTGTCATAGTTTTCTACTTCTCCGTGTCAGCGCTGTATTTTGAGGTTATGTCACAAACATCTATTTGCATCAAATTCTGCTTGCTTTTGAGTTATATCATGTTTTATCAGCCTGAAATTTCCTACAATTTAAAAAGAAAACATATCTTCACAATAGGAGAGCGCTGACGCTGGCACGGGACAAGTGTAATCTAGAAATTTTTGAAGGAGGCCATAAACGCGCCCTACAATAGTAGGGACGACTGACGATACGGGCCTAAGGCAGTTGGGCATACGACGAGGGACGTAGATTTGGGTTGCCTACAATTATGGTCACACAGCCCTTACTCCTTGTTCCCTGTGTTTGTTTTTGTGCGTACAAGAGGTATAGACTGATAGATAACCGACATTACCTTATCATCGCAATAAGGAAACAAAAGCTCGTCTGTTTTTTATAATGAAATATTAAATTAAAATGTCAGGTGTGATGAAGCCTCAAGTTGAGGGGTAAAATAGTAAATATTCACATCTTATAAACAAGAATGGAAAAAGGAGTTTCCAGGGTGGTTGCAAAGTAGTTTGAAGAGCAACCTGTATACTCATTGTAAAAGTTATAAAAAAGAGTTAATTATTATTTCAGGAAAAGATGCTCTCAAGAAATTTGTGTTGTGTGGTTGTGTGTTCGCGCAAAAATATGGTTTTTTTATCGACGGCGCTGCTTGAAGCAATGGCATTTGATCTACAGTTGATCTTGCGACGGCCCTGTTATTTTCCTCCTACAGATGTCCTTGAATCTACCGAATTCCAAGGACACTACCGATTTCGTCTTTTTCGGTTCGGCAACACTGTTACAGTTAGTTCAGTTCCAGTGTTGCCAGAAGTAGCAGAATTCCGCTACTGGTTGCGGGATTTTCAAGTGGTAGCGGCGTAGCGGTGGAATCGGATTTTTTGTTAAAAGTAGGGGATTTTTGCAATTTAGGTACACATGATGACATATGTTTACCAGAAAAAAAATTTGACTAGCTAATGTACAGTTAGTAACCAAATCTAAATACAGGTATCTTCAAATCTACAGTGGTAACCACTCGCCGGTAATTCTTATTCAAGGGAGGCGCGTATAGATGACAGTAGATGGTAAGAACACAACCTATGAAGTGTATTTCCAACGTAGGTCTAATAATGTTGTCGAGTGGATATTGTATATGGAGATAAAACAAAGAAAAGGAATCGTATTTTACCTTCAACTTGGTCCGCGTTACTTCTTATCAAACTGGATATGAATATTTCATCACTTTGTTTTATAGACATATGCTTTTTATTTTTAAGTTTCGTGTGATATTTCTTTAATATGACTGCGTGATAAATGTTCTGTTGTTTGACAGTTATTTTTAATATTGTATTGGTTTTTATAGTTAAATGTTTTTTTATTACAGTTTTATGTTATATTTTATCACGCTGTTTATAGTACAAATGCTTTTTATAGTTTCATGCTCTTTATATTGTTGTTTAGTTATTTATTATATTATAGAATTTTGTTTTGGTTTTTGTAGCCTAATAGTTTTTGTTTTCTTTTTTTGACACAACTTGTATCATAAATCTTTTATGATGGTGCGCCTCTACCCCCTCACCGCCATACGATAATCCCCGGGGTAGTGGAAAGCAGGGGAGTTTTTTGATACCAGTAGCGGAATTTTCAATGGTGGCTCTGGCAACACTGTTCAGTTCTGTGTGTTCATGTTCCATGGTTTTGTCCAGATAGACACATCAAAACATGTGATTGTCAAAATGCCTAGTTAGCGTAAGAAAAGTGAAAGTGAAAAGACAAATATTCGTTTTAGTTCAGTAATAAGTGCAACAAAAATGTGTGACATGGATAAACTGTGCATATGTATCCTAATTTCATTCATCTCATCTGTATTAAGCCAGGCATCAATGAATAACCCCAAACTGCTGACGCCAGCAAAACCTGTTGAAATGAAGCAAAATACCATCGGTGGAATTCTTCCTGTTAAAAATAACTTGACTTTAACGTCGACGATCTCCCCTGGACCGCATCAGCATCACATTGTTCCCAAGACTGGTGTAAGTGCAGTAACAGATGCTACACATTTTGGCCGTGAGCATGTAACTGAAAATACTACAAAATCGCACTCAAGTCATGAAGACAAATCCTCCGAAAAGCACTTATACCATGATGAAAGTCATGAACGACACAGTGCTGAAACTAAATCATCAGATGTTCAAGAAAGGCTTCATCATATGAAAAATAAACCTGCAGCTGTAACACTGAATTCTGCAAAAAATCAGACAACACAGCCAAATGTAACAGCTAAAACGAATAATACTCAGGAAAATATTAATCATAACCATACAAGTACTCATTCAATAAACATCAGTTCCCCAACTTTTTCCCCTATTGTGAATCGGACTATACCAAAACCAGTGCCTACCAAACCCACAAGACCAGTGCCTGAGGATATCAATTTTATTCTTGCTAGTAAAAATGCAGAACATTATGCCCCATGTCTTGAAGCTAAAGACTCCAAAGGAACTAAAACATCAGACATTGTTGTTCTAGTGGTTGCTGTGATTTTTTCAGTTCCACTGGTAGCTATCGTTGTATCTATTTTATATAAAAAATGGACAGATTGGTGGCAGCACAGGAACTATAGACGAATGGATTTTTTGATTGAAGGCATGTATAATAACTGATGGTAATTGAGAGATCTATGAAATACTGCCATAGTATGATATCCTAAGAGAGCAGAAACTTTATATATTGTACATGTTCATTTTCTAAAAAATTATAAACACTATCATTTTTCATTCATTTAGAGTTTAACACTCATTATACTTGATGATATTCCATAAATTGTTAGAAGCTGTCTTTGATAACGCTACCTAGTTTGTCAAAACATGTGATTAGTTGGGCTTAATTCCTTTGTTGATAACAAGAAACAATTCAGCATAAAATGTGCTGATAACGGCTCTGAAATGTTGATTTTAGCTAACTACCTACATCATTACCATCAGGTCATTTTTAAATAAAAGAAAAAATCATAAGGCTATGACACAAGCTTTTAGAAATTTCAAGAATAGCACTACATTTCACTAATGTTACAGTAATTCAAAGTACTGTTTAGAATTTAGTGTATGTTTGTACATATTGTTGTTTTTTTTATGTGATGTCATAATTTGATGCCAAATGGAACAGTTATGTAAAGCAATCTGCCTCATATTTTGATAGCAATCATAGTTTTATTTTTCGAAACTGAGTCTGCTACCAAAACTAGGGTATCAATTACTTCTGTGCCTTAATACCTTGCAGATACTTGTGATAATTTGATAATAAAGTGCTTATATATATTTTTTAATTGTTAAACAAATCTGAAAGCAAAATAATTCAATATATTATATATAAATACCAAATGAATTGCAATCTTTTAGTCAATACTCTGTAGGCAGGTATATACATATAATGTAATTATCTGTAGTATAAATAGAATTAAGTAGGTACAGATTATTTGATTGTTAGTATTTTTAATGTGTTATTTTTTGTGTTGAGTTAAGATTCCACTCATAGATAAGCAAATATTTTATAATAAGTAATCTTCCGTACTACAGAAAGTCTTGCTGTATTGTGCATTTTATCTACTTTGAATGATTACAGAAAATGTGGACTGAGTCCAACATTTAGTTATAAGTGACTACTTTAATATGAACTGGTTTATTATATATTTTAAACAATATATAACTGCTTTCATTTCATTATACTGATTCAAGATCATATATTTTGTATGTGTTTTTTTTGAGGATATGTGCTAAAAACAAACATCATGAAATTAGTAATGTAGATTTATTGGCAATAAGCCTCATGTGCAATGGGTCACATAAGATTTGGGCAAAACCTTGGTATCTCTTAAACTCAATGCTACATAGTGTGAAAATTGGGTTACTTCTATGGCAAAATAACTGATTTTGAAACCACTCTGGGAACAAAAAGGTATTCCTCAATAAACCTGAGCTGGTAACTTTTTATTCTTTACCTATTTATGTGCTCACAGAAAGCTTAAAAACCCTCCACTCAGCTGTGATCTGGCCAAATTAGCGTAAGGGAAGTATGAGGGAAGGACTGTCTGGAATTAAAAGGATGCAAAATTATGTTTGTAAAAAATATTTATTAAAGCTTACATAGTAACACACTTTCCTCAGTATCAAATAAGTATGATCGTGACATTCACAAGACTACTTTAGCTGTATATGAAGATATTCTTTGAAAACTGGCATAACCTAACTCATAATTTTTCCATTAAGTTCATAAATCTATAAATAGTTTTTAGGTTTTTCTGTATATTAGAAAAAATATATTCTGCATTGCATGCTCTAATTTGTAGTAGTTATGTTTCTATATTCTATTTATTCTTTCATTTTTGTCTTCTACAGTACTATTCGTCATTGTTCGTCAGAGCGGTCCGGTGGACCTTTGCTCTTAGTTAAAAGTCTCGTCGGTCTCTTAGTCTGTCAGGTCTGGCTACCCAGAACTTCACAGTTTTATATTAGTTCCGATGAAAAAATCAACTCTTTTTTTTAAAGTGAAATTGTAAAAATATTCGGTTTGATAGACCAAAATGTGCCAAAAGTAATTACAATCTGATACTTGATATGTCAATAACATGGACATGCTGGAAATCTGAAAGCTATTCTGATTGTCAGGAACAAGCAGTTTCTGAAGAGAATGTGATTCATATGAGCTCAGTGGAAAAATTACTTTGTATTTTCTTTTACTTTTACATGCCACTGATTTGTAATGCTCTCACTTCAGTTCCATTTCTTTAAATATAACTATATCACCATCAATATCACTTTCAGTCTCACTGCAGTACATTTTAGTGTCCTATAAAAGTAAATTATTTGCATATTCTACTTTAATACATATAGCAATAAAACATTTATATATGCTTTCCTCTATGAATGTTTCGATACCTTTCAAACATTGTCTTATTTTTTATTTAAAGCTATGAGAACTATCTGTAATAAGTATAATAATTTGTTATGGTTGCATTGCATTTTTCAGTGTGGATAATTTTTGTTTATGAAACAATAAAGAACCAAGATTGACATTAATGGTCAGATTACTTGATTTCTTGAAACAAACACAGAAAAAAATGTTATTATATAAAATAAGACCATGTGATCAGTCAAATGGAAAGTTGTGGTCAGATTTTTTTAATATTGCGCTTTTCAGAAGCTTGGTGTTGTGATGTAATTTAATTAGCTAAATGAAGATTTAAATGAATCAAATTTACTTACATAACAACCGAGTGATCTTTTGGAAATTTAAATGTATCAATAGATCTTGGAGATTAAAGATTACCTTTGAACCTTTCCACATCTCAAACGGAGAAATATTAGATTGTAGGATTGAGTAAAAACCATTGCACATGATAAAATCTTGCACTGGAGATATGACTTGATTTAAAAAATAAACAGATTCAATGATTATTACCGTTACCTTCAGTTATTTCTCGATAATATGGATATCAAGGAGGGCTAATAAGGCCGGTTTTCTGCCTAAATTTCATTTGAATGAATGTTCCGGTAGTATGTATGGAAAATATAAGGCGATTCCACCATAAACGGACCATCCCACCCTTCCTAGTGCCTCTCAACTACCCCTTAAAATATTAAAATACCATCACAGATTAATAGCATTTTTGGAAACTGTCGCCACTGGCAAACTAATATTTTCTACTCACTATGTTTTCATCCAAATTGAATGTAGGCCAAAAACTGGCTTCATTAACACTCCTCCTTGGACACTACAAAAAATATAATTTGGTATTGGTATTATCAAAGCTTAAATGGTAGTCGTCTACAAAAATACGTATACAGATTATGATTAGAGAAAAATCAAAATTTTATGGTTTTATATGCATAGTTTCAGAATTCTCTAGCCTGTCTTTAAACTTTGCTCAAAAATCGTAATCCTACAACTGCAACAAATACAAACATTTCGTATTGATTGTATGTGTGGAACAAATTCGTATAAATGCCCGAATAAGCAGACTTTCAACTGATCCAACAAAAAGTAAAAGAATGATACCACAATTAAAAGATCAGTAATAATGACTTTATCTCTTTATAATTACGTATCAATTGATGGTAAATAAAATTAAATATTGACATCTATCAGTTTCTTATAAAATGAAACCAACAGAACAAATGCGTTTGGTGCATGCACGTCTTATTATATGTTTGATGAAGTGCTCCGTATACACGATTTAGCTCTTTCCCAGTGTGTGTTTGCATGGATTTGGTTCTGGATAAGCCTCTCTTGGAGGTATGAAACTGAGCATCATGATGTGCCTAATATAGGCTCTTGTCTGCCTAAAGCTTGCGTCCGTACCATGTAAACGATCCAGTACTCCTAATACGCCAAAGCAGTTGTTGAACCTGAAGGAAAAAGTAACTGTCAGATAAGGATACCAAAATCAATATTCCAATAGAGAAATGAACTAGAAAATGGTGACAGGGAGACTGAAATTGTGCTTCCCACACAGTTCTGGATAAATGGACTATTCATTTATTATATGCAGCATGTGAACATCATAGATACCTACATAAAAAGCGAATTCTGAAAGGTTTCGCAAATTTGATTTAACAGATCGTAGGCACTAACTGAAAATTGGCTACTTATTTAAGACTTTTTCAAAGTTCCTTTTTATTGAAGTTCCTTACACTTAAAATACCATTCCTGAATCATCAAAAAATAATAATTAACTCGATCGTTATCTTTATTATCAAACAAAAGAATCAACTACGGAATTTGCTTGTAGTTCTTAAAAAGTAAACCATCAGTGGCGGTCGACCTAGGGGAAAAACCGTGCTCGTAGGGGGTGAGGTGAGGTATATATGTTTGACTGGCTTGATCCATTTAATTTTTTTGTTATACATGTACGTAGCTAACTTATTTTTCACAGGGGCCAGCTTGGTGCTGAACATAATCCTTTGAACCGATGACAGCGTTGCGTGGGAAGTGCACAGTCAACCTACTTGATGGCATTTTCTTAGTTTCGAAAACGTTGCTCAGAATGAATCACCCTTTACAAGATGTATAAAGTTTGATCCAATTTCATGGAGGAGCTCCACGTCTGTACTTACTTCAAATGATGGAAATCGTGGGCCTCTGGGGATGGGAAGAATGGCAAATGGTACCCAGAATGGGCGTTCAACGTGGACAAAATGGCAAGAGTGAACCACAGCCAGGCGGTGGCCACATGGGAGCCCATTATGAACACTCCTAGGAAAGGAGGAAGCAAGTTTGAGAAGATGTGCTCTATGGGGTGACAGTAGATGGCTGTAACTGCGATGGGGGCTGTCCATTCATGGTGTTGCTTGTGGATGTATTTGTAGAGATAACGGCTGTGCAGGAATCTGAAATCAGGAAAAAACATCAGCAAAATGAAGGGAAACAAAAATGAAGTTAGGGGATGTCAGGAAATATTTTTGTTTTCTTTAAGCATCAACGCTGGTTTACAAAAGTAAAGGAGACATAAATCGTCATGCAACAAATATAGTGTATGGGATACCATGACGACTGAAGCCTTAAATCAGCATCAGTTATACTCTAACCAAAGTTCATCTAAATCAGTGCGGGGTCGGCTGAAATTACGCCGTCTAGACGCACCATATCCAGAGGAATTAGGAAGATGTAGACAAAGACATAAAGCATCCAAATAATGTTTTATTTCATATTCGCAAATATTCAGCTAAACATGGGAGGCTCATGACGAGCTGGGGAATCCGATTCATGCGGACGACTTGATAGAAGAGAGATAGAAAAATGTTGTGTATTCTACCTTTGCAAAAAAATTAAACAAAATCACCGTATCATGAATAATGTTGACTAATGATATTACGAAATAGGCAGTGGAAATCAATTTAAGCTGCGCATTTCTAACGTGCACTGGTGCTGGAGTGAAGTACATGTACGAAATCTTATCACAATCGAGAAGTGCCGTTAAACATGAAATCAGGCTCACATCGGAAATATTTTTACAGTCCAAAGATCCACTGATCAGTCTCTAAATTATCATGTAATTATTTTTAGACTTTTTAATATGTAGCTTTTCCTTAAAAATCATTAAGTGAATATAATTGCTAGATTCAGCTCTCAAGTTCTGCGGTATAAACGTAACGTTCTCCACATAAACTCAGTGTATACATTTTTAGTCACAATTGGCGAACTGCAGTTTCTTGCGCAATGTCAGCACGCCCAATGACATTGCTAAAATCTCAGTTGAAAAAATAAAATTCATACTAATCACAAAAATCGAGTTCCTAATATATAGAGCAGTTAGAAACGTATACGTGTTTGTCATGTAGGTATGCTGGGAATAACACACTAATCTTGAAAATATATAGCAAGCATCGAAGACACTGAGTATATACTAAATTCACTGGGCCCACTGAATTTACTCTGTCGATTACTCGGAGAACATATAAACAGCCAATGTTTTACAGCTACGGCTACCGTTTACCACATTCCGTTTTCTAAGCATCTCTACTCCGCCATAGTTCATTGTGTAGCTGCCTTTTTCTCATTGCTTCAGCTGTCTCTTGATATAAAGTTTTTTTCGGTTTGGCGTTGGATGATCCTAATACAAGTACTAGGCCCAGTTACTATGTCCCCAAAGTCTTGCGTGGACAATTTGAAATCGGGAAGTTTTACATCCTTACCATCGGCAAAATGTTCAATGTCTGCAACCCGGCGACGAAGTGCAACGGCGAAATTTTTGTGAGTAGTTACTGCAAATGCATAAACAAAATCCAGATTTTATTGATTTGGTTTTGTGGTCAGATGAATCGCCTTTTACGAGGAGTGGAACCCTTAATTCTCATGATGAACATATTTGGTCGTTAGAAAATCCCCGTTCTGTAAGAATCCACTCGTTTCAACACCGATTTTCTAGAAATGTCTAGTGCGGCAATTTCAATGTACGTATTGCCACAACGCTTAAGTGCAAACTCATACTTAGCTTTTCTAGAGAATTACATAGAAAATGTGTTAGATGATGTTCCGTTAGCAACGAGAGTATGAATGTGGTATCAGCACGACGGTGCCCCACCGCATGTTCGTCGTGACCGTCGGCACATGGCGAAGGTCACCGATTGGCTCCGATCATGTTAAAATACGGTACCGTGTAGGATGTTTCATTTTTGGTCACTACTTGTGAATCACCCTGCATAGCCATATATCTTCATCCATTTAAACTTACATGTATATATAGTATTTTAAACAACCCTAGAGAAATACTGTCACCTTGCCGTATACCCTTCTTAACTCAGTGTCTCTGATATATTGTTTCCAATTTGAAGTCCGTAGATATTTTCGTCTTGAACGTCTACATGGGGCTGTTCTAGTAGGTATGTACTGTATATCTTTTTTTATACTTGAATCCCAAAGAAGGTTAAACACCCATTGGGTACCGTGGGGCTAAAGGGGGAAAAAATCTGGCCCCGTCTTAGAGAGCCGCCGGGTGGTACCTCCGCGTTCGACAGTCACAGATCGTTTACCACCTACGGAGAATCAAATTATCCATAGCCAAGATAAAAGTTCTATTGGGACATGATTCGATACCGCGCACCACAGGGCAACTGATTATGAGACCCATACCGTCTGCTGCTACGCCATCGCTGCTAATCTTTTTACAGCTTGGCCAAGGGCTATCAGAAGGATCGAAAAACGATATTTTGAATTGGAATCCCTTGGTAATGCTTGACATCTGATAAACCTGTGAGTGTCACTGCCCGCTAAAGTTTATAGGCGAGCCGTCAACCTTTGTTTGTAAGCTAGCATTTGTGTATGTGTGTCATTTCAGCACAGTGCACGTTAAAAATGCAGATGTTTCTGAATATGGTCAAACAAAACTTACCGATGAGAGTAGTAAAATGCAGCCTCCTCAGTCAGTATATGGACAGCTAGCTCATATAATACCCAGTGGAAGGTAGGCAGTTCTCGTAGAGGAGGATATCCCCTCCATCTCATAGCCAAATACATTAGAATCGAAGAAGGCAAACCGACAATCAGCTGGTTCACCAACACACTCCAAATTACCTGCAAAATAACCAGATGTGTTATTCTTTCTTGTTCCCATATGCAATCCGTTCAAAAGTTATTCAGCTTTAGATCCCTTGACATTTGGCGTAAACAACACTAGGACATCACTAGGACTTTACTCTTTATTGTTAAGCAAAATGTCACACGATCAGTATTTACTCTAATCCGTATCATCAATATCTACTGATGATTCCGTCAGTGCAGTGGGTATCTACGTGTCCTTATTGTTGTGATTCTAATAAATGCATTTTGTTATTGTATGCATTAACTATATAGCCAGAATCAATGATCATCAATAATTACTAACATCCTGGCTAGACAGTTACCTAATACATACAATAATAATAGAATAAATAATGCGATCTTTAGCCTAATAGCTAAAGAACGCAAGAACCCTATTGTGTGAGTGAATATGTGCATACAATACAAAATAAGATACCAACCTAAAAATAAATAAATAAATCCACGCTATTTTGGTTTGAACCCAGGTTTCCCTAGAATTTAAATGATCGAAATGTCTCATATCTTTATAAATTTGCCAATTACGATCGGAAGGTTTTTGGTGCTAATGCTTCAATCACAGAAGCTTCCGTAAATTTTGTAAATTCTAATAATAAACACAAGCAGTGGCGACACTGCGGTGAGCGATCTGATCGAGAACGATCTCTATTACTTTGAACGGAATAAATACGGCACAAAGTCCAACGGTTGGGTTAGAGTTGACCTGCGATTAAAAACATTATGAGCAGTAGTAAGAAGATGAAGACTTATCATTTCCATTCGGAATGGGAAAACAGTATTTATTTACAAAAGTTAAAGGTAAAAATGTATGTTTGTTATGTAATATATCTGTTTCCGTTACTAAAAAAGGGAATATCGAGAGGCACTATAAAACTACACTCGAATTTTGTAAAATCATTCCCATTACGTTCTGCAACCAGAACGGAAAAACTGAAACAATTAAAAAATCAGGTAATTGGACAACACACAATGTTTTTAAAAACAATCGACAAAAGTAAGGCTGCAACTGAAGCATCATACCGGGTGTCCCAGATAATTACACAAAAGAAGAAACCTTATGAAGACGGAGAAATGATAAAACAGACATTTTTAGAAGCTGCAGATTCATTATTTGCCAACTTTAGGAAATAAAGACAAGATAGTATCTGCTATATAATCTATGCAACGTTCTGCTAATATATACGTAGTTATGAGACGCGTATAAGTAATGAGCAATGATATAGTTTTACAGTTAAGAAATGACTGCGATAACTGTGCTTATTTTTCACTGCAGCTGGATGAATCCACAGATGTCGTTGACACCCCTCAGATGACCTTGTTAGTCAGGATGATTTTTAGTGATTTTACGATTAAAGAAGATCTTTTGAAGTTTATTCGACTAAACGGACATACTACTGGGCAGGGCTGTTTTCTTCTTTTAAAAATATTATTTCTTCTGAGAAAATTCCAATATCGAAAATGGTAGGCTTTACAACCGATGGCGCTCCAACTATGGTGGGTCGTGATAAGGGTCTCGTGAGGTTATGTCGTAAAGATGAAAGTTTTCCGCAATTGCTCTGTTACCACTGCATTATCCATCAGCAAGCATTATGTGGACATTTTCTAAAACTGAACGACGTTATAAAATTGGTTGTAAAAATTGTGAACAAGATTAGAGCTCAAGCGTTGGTCGATGAAATTGACTGTCAATACGGGGAGCTACTTCTTCACTCTCAAGTCAGATGGTTAAGTAGGGGACGAGTGCTGAAACGTTTTAATGATATATCTGTCATAGTTAAATTTTTCAAACAACGTGATGAACCGATTCCGGAACTTTCAAATTAAATATGACTTAGAGATTTTGGTCTTGTGGATATTACAGAAAAAATTAAAGAATAATTAATGATTTCTGATATAAATGCGTTTACCAAAAAGCTTGAGTTTTGGGAACAAAACTTAATCGATGGCGATACAAGGCATTTTCCTGTGCTTTCAGAAAATATATCTCAAAGTCCATTAGAACCATATGACAACAGATATCAGATAGAAATAGTCTCTAACTTGAAGGATAACAAAAATCGTTTCAAGGGTTGCTATAGTAGCGCAATTTGTTGTTTCACCCTCCATGGAAATTTATATCCAACAGTATGCAACTTCTGTTACTCGGAGACAGCGCTGCGACAAAAATGGAAATGATTGTGTTTCAAAATGATTTAGCTTTAAAATCATTAGCCACATATACAAAATGTATCTGGCCTTCAGTAAGTAAAGCTAAATATTCAGTTTTATCTCGTGTTGCTTTGAAAGTGAAAGAGTTATTTAGTTCAACCTATTTGTGTGAATCTTATTTTTTCAAATATGAAGTTTATTAAAAACAGATACCGTATTCGTCTTACAGATGAACACTTGGATAATTGTATTCAAATGGCGGTATCAAATTATACTACAAACATTGAAAAAATCGTCAGTGAGTCTGCGTGTCAGGCTTCTCATTGAACACGCATTTTTTATCTAGACATGTTTTTGTTTAAAATAGTGCGTTGCTTCTTTCATTTCAAAACACCGGCCAAAAAATTAAACATAATCATTATACCAGGTACAAAATTCGTGGCACAGTAGTTCCTCAACCGCATAAATCTATAATGCAGCGATCATATCTCTATTTAGCGCCTAAATTTTATGAAATTACACCTAAAGACTTAAAAGATTTACGTTTCGGAAATTGTTTCAAAAGAAATTTAAAAAAGTGGCGACATTCTATATCTAGGACTGAAATTCATAAACTCATAAATACGAACATCAACTAAATACATAATCTACTGTAGCTAATTTTTGTCCTTTTTTGTCATTTGCATTCTACAGTTTCAACTTAAATTTATTGGTCCATGTACAGGCGATGCCTTCTATTGGGCCTGTTTTGATTTTATATTTATTTACTCATATTGTTTGTTATCTTTGTACATTGAGTAAATAAATATTATTATTATTATTATTATTATTTTTAGCTACCTTTATTAAATCGTCTGTGACATGCGATTGTAGCTGATGAAAAATTTTGTTTACTTTTCAAACACCTACGATTGGTAGTAATGGCTGTAGTTATGTAGTTTGTATTAGTCATTAGTTTATTAAAGTTTATTAGTATGCATTAGTATGTATTAGTGAAATAAATACATATATTAAGTGACATATAAATCCGAACACCCAGTTTAAATGGTTTTATTTTAATAAAATTTTGTATAAGTACTTAATGAAGCATAATAAGTAAATGATAAAAATTTCAAAATGATTGCACTGCTTTAAGCCCTTTGACCTTTAATAATGTGTGGATGCACCATGATGTGCTACGCATTCTCCAACGCGCCTAGGCATGCTTCTGATCAGGTGGTCAATGTCCTCCTGTGGTATCTCATTCCAGGCAACCACCAACTCCTCTCGAAGTGTTTCTAGACTCTGAGGAGGACGTTGAAAATTGAGCAATCTCCTAGCCATCATATCCCACACGTGCTCAATTGGGGATATGTCGGGAGATCTTGGTGGCCATGGTAACAATGTGACATCATTATGTTGAAAGAAGTCTATTGTGACTCTTGCAACATGTGGTCGGGTATTATCTTGTTGGAAAGTTGGATCTGTCAGGGTGTCAAGATAGGGTAAAAGATAGGGTTCTAGAACTTCGTGGATATAACGCTGCGCGTTCATGTTACCTCTGATGAAGATAAAGGTGACCTGGAACCATAAGCTATAGCACCCCAAACCATAACTCCAACAGTGTGATGAACATGTCTTTCATCAAAAAACTGTGGATTCCCCCTTTCACCACGTCGCCTTCTAACCCTGGCACGAACATCGTGCATGCCTAAACAAAATCGAGACTCGTCACTAAAGACAATACTGTTTCATTCCTGATCCCAGAGTGACCGTTGTCTGCACCACTCAAGGCGATTACGTCGGTGTTCTCGAGTTAAAGGGAGGACCCAGTGTGGCCGGTATGAAAACAAGCCAAAACTTTTCATTCGTCGGTAAACACTTCGCATGCCAATAAGTCTTCCGTGTTCTGCAAACCATTCATGTGCAATGGACCTGGTAGTGGAGAAACGGTCCCTTAATGCCAATAATCTTAGGCGGCGATCTTCACGGTCTGTTGTTCTACGGCGGCGTCCAGTGCCCCTTGCTCTTTGCGTACTGCCTTGTCGAAGCCATGCCTGACAACACCTAACCACAGTGTCTACACTTCTTTGCACTCTAACTGCAATTGCCCGAAAAGAAAGTCCAGCTTCCCGAAGTCCCACTATACGGTCCCTATCAAACTCACTAAGTTGACGAAATCGTACAGGTCTCCGTACTCTAGGCATCGTAACCGATCGTAAAGGATGTCAAGAACCAAAATCCGCCAACGTTGATTCTTTACTGCGGCTGAAATATTCATTTATAGAGCGTTAGTGAATTAAAAAAAAGCAGTATAAAAACCGGAATGTCCAACTGATTAGGCTGAACATTTTTTCACTTGTTATTTACAGTAAGATAAATACATTCACCAACTTTTATTAAAATAAAACCATTTAAACTGGGTGTTCGGATTTATATGTCACTTAGTATATTTGTCGCATATAACTGTGTATAATTTCATTTAAGTTGGCTTACATTGCTTACGACTAGGTAGCTCACTGTTTATCCCAAAATTATCAAAGTAGCTCAACGCACTGAAAACTTGGGCGACCACTGCTTTATCTCTTTCACTGAAAATGGGTTTCAGCGCAAATATATACATCCATAGCATATTCCATGATAAATACTGGACGATCGCAGTAACATTTGCCATAGACATTTCTGACAATTTATTACACAACGTGTGATACACATCAACGTAATATCGACGTGGTTCATTGTAAACCCCAGACGATTTCTTTTTTTATAGTTTTCACACGTTTGTATTAAAAATAAATTTAGCTCAAATATGTCTCTTATACAAATAGGAAACTGCCAATTTTACCTTGAGTAATTTCCGAGAATCAACTGGTTCATTGGTGCCTGGCTGTATTTTGTACCGTCTAATAATACTAGGCTTATTGGACACGTCCATAAATGTGTATATGCCGCCAAATAACCAATATACTCCAAAAGAGAGCACAAATGTTCCGTATACCCAAAGACAGAACGGATCTTCTCCAGCTGTGTCCAAGAATTTATCCCACTGAGCCTGCCAAAAGTCTCCAGACGCACCCCAGAACCTCTGGCAATGCCTAGAAGAATGATAAAATATATACCGAGATAAAAATTAATCAAAATAAGATAGCACGACGTGCCATCTATTACCAGAATCGGACGCTTTCTGTTGGAACTCTATCCCAGTTTGCATTCCACAGCCGGGTCACCGCTGTGACCGCTAGATGCCGCCGATTCTGGTGCTATAGTAGATACGATCCACTCGGCATTGAACGAACTAGCAAAATGGCATTTGGGGGCCTTGAGACCAGACCAGAAAACAGAAAAAATATCCCAATGAATTTCATTACCATGTGATGGAGTTCCTTGCAGCTGCAAAACATATCAGGGCAGTACTGAGAACAATTAGAACGCTCCTCAGCGATGATAAAATCGAATGATTCTGCGAAACATTTTGGTTCGTTGAATGGCTGTTGTTTTTCCTGGTGGGTGTTAGTTCTCCACCCGAGGAAGAAGATTCATCTTCGTAGTCGCCCAGCATCATTAGACCTTTAAAGAAAAAAATATGTGAAAATAGTAATTACTAAACACTTATGCACTTTTGCATATAGAGGATAAATACTTGTATGCATCCATAAATTTAAATACTACACGAATAATTGCTGCATAAATATAAATTCAGGTTTCGCCGATAATCGACGACATATCAAAGCAAAACGTTTGAAGTTTGAGGCAATTTTGACACAGGAACATGATCACCTGATCACACTAATACTGGGCTGGATTTGTTATTCATAAATATGGATGTTGAAATAAAAAAAACATACAACATTAATTAAAGTCAACGGGAAATAATTCATTTGTACCAGCTTACTGAAATACGCATTTGAACGGTGTCCTTTGAATTGGACTTGGACAATATAAAGGTGACAGAACAGCTGGGAAAGGGGCACAATAAATGAACGATATGAAGCAATAACAAATTATGAAACTCTTACGTTTGAATCCCCTCCTTCTTCTCTTCTGCAGTTTCATATTTTGTTTTTAATAATACGCACTGGACTGGTGTTACGCACACGTAAATTCAACACCGATATTCTTGCATAATGATATCAACTATAGCAGGAAATGTAAATATGTGCATTGGAAATCTGCACCAGCTACACATGCACACACTTTCTAAACCGGCATTCTATGTATACCGAGCGCGCTAGTGGCAAATATTGCGCTATTTTTCCAACACAACAAAGTGATGCTGCTTATATATCAGGCTGCCTCAAATAATAATATTCTTTGCCAATAACAAAATAGCATTGAGTGATAATGTGGCAATACATATATAGTCGTATTCTATGTGCATCAAAATAGCACTTTTTGCTGAAAGTTGTGACGAAAAGCTGTTATAAATGGATTTTTCAAAATTTACTTCTAAACATCAGCAACGATGATGCTCAAAACGTTCAAAAAACGAGGCTTGGAATTTTTCAAATATGTTGATCCTTCCTAAAATCCCCTTTACTCCCCAACTAGCGATGAAGTATTGTAATCGCCAAAAATTTCGGGAATACTTTTTTAATGATCACGAAGAATCAAGTTACTCACTAATGTCGGTCTGTTTGTCCGATAATCTTTGAGGAAAAGCTCTGCTAGGATTCTGATGGAATTTTCACAAGGTTACTGTTATACCAAGAATGAACAAGTTATGCAGTTTTTAAAAATGTATCCAGTGGTGCTTACGGTGGTAAAGGGTTTGGGGTTTTAAATTTTGCATCGTTGGTATCAGTACCGTCAGCTTGTAGGAAGGCAACATTCTTTGAGTTTCTATACGACCGCTCCTTTGTCCCTAGGGTATCGAGATTGTCAGATTGTGGAACAATTTACGTGAAAAGGTTTTCCCCACCTTGCTACAGTGATACACAATTTTGACGTCTGGCGGTTTCATCGCCAAGATCAAAATTAACCTGCTCATATCATAGCATAAATTGAATAGATTGACTTTACCTTTCGTTCGTCTCAGCAATACTCAGCATACATGTGAATGTATGTACAATATGATGGTGTGGCATCCAGAAGGTTTGCCTTGGGTTTTTATGTTGTAAATATACCTAAATATAGGGATGTTACTGGACTGTGAGTGAAGTTGAATGTGAAAATAGAAAGAAACCCAATGAAATTTGAAGTCTCATTTTGAGTAATTTTTCAAATCATCGACGCTTTCAGGATCTTAGTCAAGGACTGGGGGTAAATAAGCCTGATGCACAGAAAAAATAAGACAGTATTTATGTAGTAGTATCTATGGGTATGGTGAATGTATTGCCATAGAGTTATTATAATTGATGACAGAATTGTGTGGGTAAACTATTTGATGCTATTTTTTGACTATGCTCAAGAACCATCAAAAACGAATTTTGGGGACATTATAAATTTTTCGTTTTTTGCTTAAAAGCCAAATTTACAGAATATTTTCACTGACCTCTCTTAGATTTGTATTTCAGATACTTTCGTTCATTATTTCTTTATTTAGCAGACGATACTTTTTGTTTTATTAACTTACTTAGCAAAATTAGATAATTGGATTTTGTATTGCTTATGTTAACTAAAACAGGAATCTTTGGAGCCGAGAAAACTTCCACATGAAGTACAATTTTCCGCCTTCTCGTAGATAAAAGTTATTATTAATGTTATTTGACGGAATTCTTAGAAGCAAAAGTACATATTTTTTCCTTCATTATATCATGAGAAACCTTTGTGGTCCATGTTTGGAGAAATGTCAGATCATCAACTTCTAGATTTGTAATGTTTCAGTCAATTTATTGCGCCCGCCTCGTAGCATTCAAGCACCGCGCACATGTTAGAATTAAGCGTAATGAGAAAATTGATGTACTGACTGAATAACTCAAGAAAATATGACAAATAACTAGTGAACGTCATCCTGATGTTAGCAATCAGCTTTTAATTTTGTGTACAAAGTACAGCGTATTTCCTGACTGCTCTCCTTTGTCACATGCGAAGCGAGTTACTAATTTGATAAAAATATGAATAATTCGGATTTACGCTGGCCAATTTTTATTGTTTTACTGCTACATAGTTTCTTCATTACAGGACATATTAACCATAATTAATCTCAGGATCTTTTTTAAAGAAAAAATAACTGGGATCGTTCGCATTATTTATAATCAATTAAGTTTAGTCGAACTGCCACAAAGAAAGTATGTATTAAGTTTTTTTGGGGTACTATTACGGACCGATTCTGTCAGCAAGCACTCGAATTCCCATTCGTACTCCACAAAAGTGCTGCATAAGAATTATATTAAAGGACAAGGAAGTGTAGATTTGTCAGGCACTAGATTATTACGTTACTGAACTTACAATCCATCAATACTAAAAAACAAATGAAAATTGACATTCTTATTGTTCGATACAAATAAAAGCCTCCCTATGAACACCAGAAATAATTTTCTTGGTTGCTTTTGCAATTCTGTAAACAACAATTTGAACGTACATGAGCGAGCCTGGGTTACATTGACCTTTCATTTAGAACATTGATACAGAAATACTTTTCATTGTGGTGCACAACATCAAAAATTGAAAAGCAAGAATATGTATGAAACAAAGAGCAAAACAAAACAAGCTGATATGCGTACTTACATTTATTATCGCATTTGAAAGAAGATTCTCAGATACGCAAATAGCAGCAGGTAATCATAATGTCAATACTGAATTTGTCTGCTAAAAATAGGTATGCCAAGGGTATACAAAGACTAGAGTGAGAGTCCTCTATGAGCGGGTTTCCGAACAAGACTGTCGGGAAACTACGGGAAAATCGATTTTCCGAGGGATATGGTTTGCGCGCGAACAGCGCTGCTTGTTAACTTAGTCAAAAGGTCAAAGGTCGTTTGAAAATGCCATTGCTCTTAGATGTGTCGGAACGTCAGGAAATGCGCAAAACGCGCCTAAGACTTTGAAATAACAAATTTGAAACATTCCAAAAGTAGTAATTCTATGCTTTTGTACTTCTTTTACTAACATAGCGTGGAAAAAACGGGTTGGCTTGCACGCCTAAACGCCACCGCAACCCATAAGAAGTTGTTGTGCCTCCCATATACAGGGTGTTTGGAAGGTCGATACAAAGTTTTGGGGAGGTGATAGGGCAGACCATTTAGAATCTTTTAAGCTAAATATACCTTAGTTCAAAGTCTTACGGTTTTCGAGTTTTCGATATTTTCGATTTTTATTGAAAAAATATGCCTTTTGTTCCTGTTATCACTAAAAGAACGTCAGGCTATATGAAGTAGTTTTTAAATACCTGACAGTGTGGTTCTTTCTCCGAAGGTAGAGAAAAAAGAAACAAATTGACTGTAACAAATAAGTACATGTTTTCCTATATCTGTGATACTGATACGAAGGAACGTGTTTGCGTGCATGATAAAACTAAATGCCACACATTCTTGCTATTCCTTTCCAAACAAGTCAATAGTAATTCATGAATTTCAGTCCAAAAACCCTGAATTAATTAGTTTGTAAAATGGCCGCTTTCACTAACCAAGATTACGCAGATATCGTTTACATGTATGGTAGAGCAGATCGTAATGGACAAAGATTAATCGGTCCTCATTTTTTGCCTGAAAGATTAAACGGCGACAGTTATCCACACTTTTTCCAAAATGATCTTCCCGGATTACTTGTAGAAGTAGAAATGCCAAATGACATGCAAATTGTTTTCCAACACGACGAATGTCCAGCTCTTTTCCGTTTAGACGTAAGCCAATATTTGGACGATACTTTTTCAAATAGCTGGATAGGCAGGGGTGGACCAATTCCGTGGCCTGCTAGATCCCCGGACTTGACACCATTGGATTTCTATGTCTGGGGGCGGGCTAAACAGTTAGTTTACGCTGAAAAAGTCGTATCAACAGATCATCTTATAAGAAAAATTCGAGAAACTTTTTATTTAATGCAGCAAGACAGGTTATTAAATACAACAACTACCGAAGTAACACACGTAGAGCTCGACCGTGTATATAAACAATGGTTCTCACTTTGAACACCAATAAAGCATGTTTCAATAGTTTATTTTGTTTCGTTTACTAATTTATGATTTAAATTTGAAATTCCGAATATCTCGAAACCCGTAATACTTTGTACTGAGGTATGTTTGGCTTAAAAGACTCTAAATGGTCTGCCCTATCCCCTCCCCAAGACCTTTTATCGACCATCCAAACATCCTGTATATTGTTTAAGGCAGTGATTGCCGAAGTGGGCATCGCGGCGCCTCTTAAGAGCCCCACGAAATATCGAAACAATTCCGCAATTGCTTTGAATTCCAATTCTCGAATCTTTGTGCCAACAATTGTGTATGGGGAAGTCAAAAATTTGGAAAAAAATCTGATGTATTAAAAGCGCTACCGAAAAAATCCAATTGCTTAGTCAAACCGAAAAAGATTGGGAACCTTTGATCTAAAGCACTGTGTCCAGCCTTGATCCTCCTTTAATCAGACTCCACAGCCTTGATAGAGAGCTTTCCATGTAGCTTTCCGCTGTTGCATTTAATTTCCTAATACTTGAAACTTCAGCCTTACCAGGCCTTCGCAGTCATACAAGAAACGTACTGGATATTCATCTTCTCTGAGCCTCTTGGATAGAATTAGATGACAGAGCCCTGTTGGGAGACCTTATGGCCTTCCTATTAAATCGTAATAGGCTTTCTGTGAATGCAGGTTTTCGTTCTTTGCTGAACTGCTTTTTCTGACTTTGCCCTAACTGGCTGTCCCACCATTCTAGGGAATTTTTCTTGGACCAATTTTTCATGGACTGCTTGATGCCTCGTCACGCTAAAAATATGCTTTGGACCTATAAGGAGATTAGCTGCGCCTTATCGTACTAGTTCGTGCGCCTTATATGGTTTCTTTTGAGCACTTCCTGATACCCAGAGCCATATTACCTTATTTCGGTTACAGGGCTCTTTGAGAGTGTTTACGCAATCCCCTACCCACTACTAGTTTAGACGATAATTGCGCTAAAGTTATGAATAATGTCTGCCTGACTAGCACACGCCAGAAATTTTTAACACCTCATAAAAAGTTCAAGGGTTCAACCAAGCATCAAACAAAAATTGAATCAAGCATGTCTAAATAAGACCACCCAAAGTGCCATCTATCACCAGGATCGACCACTGTGAGAGAGAAAACAGCAAGCTGTCTATTGGAACTGTATCCCAGTTCATATTGTCAGCCGTGTCAGATCCAGATCCAAATAGTAAGGTCAAGGTTACTTTTGCGAAACGGAGGAAGCAACCCACGAGAAATTTAAATATGGCAAGTCTGACAATGTTAACTGTCAATATGCTGCCATTTTTTGAGGAGTGCGCTGTGGTTCGTGGTTGTCATATTGTGCTACAGCAATACCGCCTTGCAGTGTAGCCAAACCTACCGATTTTTCGGGATTTCTACCGAAATGAGACCTTATTTATCGAACTACCAAACACAACCTCATTTTCCACAATTTTTTAAATAATTAAGATATTCTCAGATCTTTTACCGAAGAAGATGTGGAACTGCAAAAAAATAAAAAATAAATTTTATTTAGACTATGTGGTTTTATATGCCGCATAGCAGTGTTACACGTGTACATATGGGCAGTCCGGCATACGGGGGACGTAGATTTGCTTTGCTACAATTATGTACGCACATCCCTTAATCCGCTTTCCCTATATACTTTCGTGCATATAACAGGTACAGACTTGGTAGATCATCGTCATTACTGCATCACAGGACAAGCAATAAGAAAACGAAAGCTCATTTCTGTTCGATTGAATATCAAATTAAAACTCACCATCAAAGGTAAAACAGAAAATAATTCAGTATCTTATGAATAACAATGGCAAAAGGAGCTTCAGTGGTGGTTACAAAAGACCTTGGACAGCGACCAGTATGCTCGTTGTACAAGTTGTAACAAAGGAATTTTTTTCTCAGTAACAGATACCCTCAAAGAAACCTATGTTGTGTATGCGGACGCAATGCAAAAATATATATTCTTTTTCCGCGCTGTGTGATGCGAAGTCTCTTGATCCATCGCTGATCTTGTGAAGAAGAACATTGCTAAATAAGTGATACATAGAAAATTCGGAGTTTGTGACTCCAAGTCTTTCGCTGTGGTCCGCACCAGGTCAGATCACGGGTTGGATCCAAATAAGTCATAGTCATGTATGTCATATGTCAGAATGTCCCGTCCAGCGTTGTCGGATGTTGCGATAAGGTTGAAATTTCGTCGATTTTTCCAGTTATCCCACGAAACCCAATGTTTTAAGAAACTAGTCGAAAATCGGGCTGTATGTGTGTATGGACCATGTCGTATATTCAATAGTCTGTGCTTTGAACATAGTGTTTATTTGTACATATTGAATACTGTGTGCGGTACGTTCTTATTTTAAAATGCACCATTTACATGAAGGTTATGTGATTATTTTATTTTGTTAAATTTGGTTCTGTCAACCGGTCCAGGTTGAAGTTATTGAAGGAATAATCGGTTAACCTATAACCGGCCGTTCATCAATAACCGCTAATCCTTAATATGAGTCACAGAACAGACACTCTGCTTCCAAATCTTTAAAAGCGGCTCCTAAGTAGGTTCATTTTTGATCTTTATTGAATAAGTTTCTATGTTCTGTGGTATGACAGTCAAAACGCTAATCATTAAAAATCCTAAAATCTGTGTAATTGTAATGGATTATTCCATAGACAATAAGCGGCAACGCTGCCAAAGGTAGAAATGTCAGTTGTCAATGTCACAAATTTCATGGCGTGATGCGCACCAGTGTGTTTTTTATTTGAATATGGTCAATGTCAACTGTTATCACATAACTGAGAATTGTGACCTCACAGCTCAAAGTGTCGTCTTGTGTTTGTAATATTTCTTAGAAAACGATTGGGGTTCACAGGGTATTTGAATTTCAAGCTCCAATTCCCTTTAGGATGCGTAGTCGTTCGGCGGTACGACTTTGCGGTCGTGAACAATTGCTCAATTTTTATCATACCTGTGCAAACGACTGCACCTCGTTCATTAGAAACGATTGTTATGATTTCTGGGTAAAAATATTGTGTTTTTGTTCTCTCCCATTGTATGCACTGTTAGATAATAATCTATATAGAACTTTGATACTAAGTCTACGTAGAAGAAGGAGAATTAACAAACAAAGCAGTGCATATATAATTATATATTGATACAAATAGTATGAATGGAGTTACACCATTGATTAACATGTTGATGATGATGATATCAAAATCAATTCAAACCTGTGGATCTGCACGAAAATGAGCATACATACCGTGGCGCCGCCAACCACTTATGCTTACAACTATATACGTGTCGATCACCTTCTTCAGGTTCCACTGTTTCCACTTCTCTGGCTATTGTTCGCAGGTTATGGAATTTCATTTGCCATCGTTTAGAATATCCAACAATACGAAATTTTAATTTCACGTTTAAGAAAAAACTGTTTCTCTAACGATGGAAGTTGAATGTGAATGCCCAAATACAGCATACGGTTGGTTATCTTTCGGAAGAATAGGTTAATCAAAGGTTATACACAAATACACAGTTTTGGAGTTCTAGCTACTTTTAATAGTATAACTTTCTTTTATATCTCCAATATTGGACCATATGGAATGGTGGGTACCTACTAGAAGAATACTTTTGATATGAAACACTGCTTTTCACATACTTTTTAGTGAATAATTAAGGCCTCAAACTTATGAAAGGACACTTCCTTTTCGTGGTTCAACATATTGAAATATATGTCTTCTAAGCATTATCATAACATGATTGAACTTTGAAAGGCACATGCTGTAAAAAACTAAAAATAATACACCAGCTATTATTTTTGCATTTTGCACAAAGTGCACCTAGTACTTTTTCTAGGGCAAGTTATCAAAAACTGATAACAATGCTACACTATGAATGGGATCATTTTTTAAGCTCTACTAGATGGTGTTGGTCAGCTTTTCTTTGGAAAATAGTTTCACAACCATCCATATTTAGGTTGTCCTCGTGTTGTGTCTTGAATTCGTCGAATGTTTCTTTGACTCATTGGTGTAGTTGCAGGGGTTCTCGGGGGAGCTGGTATTATCCCCAATTCTACCTAAAACAGTATCAAGAAAAACAGTTACAATATTTGTGTGCATGGGGAGAATGAGGAATCAAATCGAAATTCAAAACGTTGAAACGAACCTCCTCCTATATTGTCTTTTTTTTACGTACTTTCCCGGTTTCCTCTGGAGATATTGGTGTCACAATCTTAGCTGGCGAAACATCTCGAGCTTTGGTCTCTTGCATTTCTGGTAACTCAACATTAACGTGTTTATCTTCATATGTGCTACGAGTTTGATCTTCTGAAGACCTGCCCACAATGTCCAATATTTCTTTATCTTCTGCATCATCACCCGAACCTTCTTTGTTCTCATCTCCCCATGCTTGTAACTCAAGACAAGTTGTGACACCGTCGTCAGGTGACCTGATCAGTTCTGTGAGTAAAACAGAAGGGATGTCTGGACTAGAAGTACCTGTTTTCGCTTCTAAGACTCTAGGTAATGGACTGGAAGTTGAGAAAAAAAAACTTTCTTAAAAAAATCTGACTGTCCAGTTAATTAAGCTTTTATCTTTCACCATTACATTTTGAATGCTGCTCCTTCGTACGACGTGTAGAGCAACCTTGACCGTTCTCTGACTTTGAAGATCAGAGTACAAGATCAATTCTAAGATGATTATGATGTTTCTCTGCAGATGCTGCTTACACATGACTCAAACCTTTCAACTACTCTTTATTAAAGGATATTACCTAGAAGGTCTTTCCATGAGCTCTGGATCAGTTATTTTTGGACTTCCCGTTGAATCCAGAGACTGACGATCAGCGTCTTCCTCTAAAGGAGGTGATACAACTATTGGAGGTGACTGGGCCATCTTTCCATCGGATGATGATGATAATAACTGATCTATCGAACCCTCAGGAGATTCGGGAAGTTTCTTCGTTGTTACCTGAAAACAGGTTGAATGAATATGAGTCCAAAAAAACATGTCCAACTTTCTAAACCATAAAAGTCAGTCTAATATCATCTGTTAAATTCTTTGGATATGAAGTGGAAGAAGCAACCAGGTGGATCAGTGTTAAACGTACTCTACATGGTATCCAACCATATACGGTATTCCGGCGGCCAAAAAGGAAATAAAAGACACCAGCGCCATCTATAAGATATAACGCAACACAAAAATCAATTTAGAAACTAGTTTGAACAGTGTTTCACAGATGGCGCCACGATCTTCAAACCCTTTTTGGCCTCTGTAATGCCTATTTTAATTGAGTATTTTCAGGCATTGAATAACGTAATCCACCTCAAGAAACGAATTTAAAAAAGTCATTAGAGAGGCGCCCAAAAAGGGATTGAAGATCCTAGCACCATATGCGATAAAGTAGTAACTCTTTTCGAAGTAGCAGTATCTCGAGTTAAAAGAACTTCCTATGAGAAATTGTAGTAAACTGCCTCCAAGTAAGAAGAAGAACCCTTACAACCCTGATTTAGATAGTAGAACGTTTTTCTTATTTTAGGCTATTGGGTACGACTCACAGGCGAATTTTTGGCACTCTCAAGATTGATCAAATCAGGCTCTTCTGGTGGTTCACGTGGGGTTTCTGAAGACTTTTGTTCTTTGGGTATTTCTATTGTCATTTCAGGCTTCAGACTGGGAACTGGAACTTCCATTCTTATACTACCTGGTGAAGATCGCTGAGCATGCACCACAGTCACATATGGACTGAGAGCAACTTGCGTATGAGACCGGTTAGATCCTGGCGATAGACCTACATTATAAGAATTCGAAACTATTATTTATCCACAATAGTTTTTTGCTATTCGCGATATTCCTTTAGCATTAGTACACATAAAATAAGTAGATTGAGTGTCTTTCATATCATGCGTTAGGTTCAGTTTTTCGGTTATTTATATTAGTTGGATATAATTTTTTATTGTCAAGAGAAATGCAGTAATGTAATCTGCGAACTCTACTTTCTAAAATCTCTTCAGTACGTTGGAGTCTGTCTGGCTGAAGACTTCGGAACAATTAAGTTGGCAGTAGTGGTTTCTGTTAATAATCCCTACTAATATTATAAATTTATTTATTTACACCACCAACAGTTGTGAATGAGCTAGTGTGGATGTTTGTTACTCAATAACGTGCTGTGGCGAATTGGCATGGTGCAGCGATGAGGTGGATGGCGGCTGGTATGCCTTCATGTGATAGATAACTTTATAGATATTTTTCATCCTGTGCATATTTACCCTAGCTACACTGCGGCTGCTATAATGTGCAGGATCTTTTTTTATAAAGATGCCCACCATTCTGTTTTCTCAGCAGATATACGAGTATTGTGGCCTCACTCAATATCATTACAGACTATTCTGAGGGATAGATGTCACTATAAGGCTAAGCTTTAACACGACTTCTAAGTCTCGTCTTCTACTTTTTCAGTGATAATATAGATAATTCTCTATGCATCTCCATTGGTATGAAAACCATCAAATTTCATGTGCTTACCCCCACCATCTAGTTTCAATACGTCAAGTATTTCCAAGCGACTGGTGTCTGGCAGCTTGATAGGTGTCGTGGACAGAGAAGGATTTTCTGGGCTTTTAGCTGCCAATCGCTTGGCCTGCTCAATAGCTCGTAATAGGCTTTGTCTTCTTTTCTTTGACTCTTTGCGATGACATTGGCCTATTTGAGATCTGAAAAATAAACACCGTCAATATCTGAGGGTACAGCTGATATGTCATACCAAAGTTTCCCCTTAGTATATTCAAAATCTAATGCCGATAGATTTCGTGTAGGGGCCCATAATCTCGAAATCGTCATATCTCCCATTTTATTGGTTTTAGACACTGCGGCATAATACAAATGCGAAAAAAGAGTTGCAAAGAGTAATGTCTCTTAAAATGAAGCATATATAATAATAATAATAATTGATACATACGCAATTTGAGCTCCTCGCACAACTTGTCTCCATTTGTTGACCCCAGATTCGAGAACTGCAAGTTTAGCAATTCTTCGAAACCTGCAAGTTTAAGTCACACCTTCAGACGTGCATTAGAAGACGACGTCATTTTTTCTATTGGTAAAAATGCCTGAAGTCTGAGTTTTATACAAAGTAAAAAGTACTTTTGTCACCAGTCGAGAGCTCTAATGGTTCCTGTGGATCACCCGTGTTGATCTGACAATAACACGGTAATCTGACAAACATTGCTGTGAGATCGCGATGATATCTTAGGATCGAAGATAAAATAGATTCCGCTTTTAAATTCTTACCTAGATAAGGCTTCTTCATTTTCAGGAGGTGGTGCGAATAAGTCTTGGCCTTCTTCAGTAGCGACTGGGGCTACCTTAAAATCTTTCATCAGCCTTCGTTCCCATACCTTCATTCGCTTGCCTAGAACAGCTACGGAACGAAAAAGAACTAGTAGTTTATTCTTGAATAAGTGAATGAAATAATAGTTTTCTATCACAGCAGATAAAGTAAAAAGTTGGCCTAACAGTGGATTTTAAATGTTGAGTTGCTTGGTTAACGATATTGAATCAGCATCCTCCAACAGCTTTAAAATCATGGACCCTAGAACAAGCAATCCAGGGTGTTCTGCAAGGTGGGGCTTCCCTTTCAGAAACAATGTTTGAAATAACTAATTGTTAATTTGCGCTACAACAGCATCGAAAACGTAAAAAAAGAAAATGACGGAAAATTAGTAGGTGGTCTGTGTAGCTAGGACATATTATGAATTTTTCCGTATCTTGCTGGCTACTCTATCGCAGCTAGATGATGCAGTAAAAGTTGCCCGTTTAGAAGAACCACAATCGAGAATAAATCTAATACCCTATTTCAAAATAAATACCCTTTTCTTTCTTCTGTGCACAAGACACATCCATTCCATTTTTAGAAAGAACCTCTAAGATCTCATATCTAAAGGAAGAAATATCGCTCTTGACCTCATTGATGTCATCTTCGGTAACAGCTGATTCTTCAACCTTTCTGTGCATGGCTGCTACGTATCTCCACACAAGAGCTCTCATCACTGCTGTGTATCTATAATCTCTTTCTTTTTCTTCTCTATTTCTCCTCTGTAAAAATGCGTTGAGTAAGTTGATTCTGCACTTCACACGCAACGCTGTCATCAGTTCAAAAGGAATATATTCGGTACAAGTTCGACCCTGTGAGTTACTTGATTTTCCCAGCCGTACCGATAGTACCGTCTATCTGACAACGTCGCTCTGTCTCCATATGTTACCGTTCGATGAATCCACTCGAAATACTACGGTATATTCAGATAAGAGATAGACCGGATGTAAACAAATGGTTCGGGTGATTTTCACGCTAACGCCGCCGTCTCGACGTAAAACAGGAGCCCTCATTGGTCAATTCGCAATTAAATGCCTATGCCGAGCGGCAGAGCAGTCGTATCAAGGCAGAGTCACATTCAGGTTCAGACGTGTTACGTATGTCGTGTGCATCATTGCAATTTGATATTTCTTTGGACGTTTTCGTTTGTTATCTTATTAAGTTGTTGAGTTTGTTGTTGTTATTGTTATACCTTGTTATTGATTGTTATTGTTATCAACTGCTTGCGCAAAATGCCCAGTAGTACAGATACTGCCGATGAAGTTGTAAACTCCTGTAGTCCACCTAGGAAACGCTCTAAAAAAAGACACCTGAGTGCAGAAATGAAAGAGGTCATTTTGAATATATATAAGATCGAGCGCGAGGAGAACGAGGCATCAACCATCAAAGAAATTGTTGTGAAGGTTTCTCACAAAGTTGGGGTGTGTCGCGCATCAGTGTTTAATGTGTTAAGACAATACAAAAAAAAATCACACCTTTTCTGAGCCAATGACCAGTAAACATCGCAAAAGTATTGTTAAATCATTGGATGAAGCTGATAAGCATGCAATTAGGAGGAAAGTGCATGAATTCTTCTTTAGGAATGAAATACCTACTATAGATAAAGTACTGCAGGAGGTAAATGGAGATACAACGTTGCCAAATTTCAAACGATCAACTTTCCATGCGGTACTGAAGCATTTAAATTTCAAATGGAAAAAACGGGATCGTAATAGTTTACTACTGGATAGAGAAGAAATTGTGCTATGGAGGAGGGATTATTTAACAAAAATTGGGAAATACAGAAATCAAAACAGGAAGATTTATTACCTTGATGAAACGTGGGACATACTACAAGTAAAGAATGGGTTGATGATTCTGTAACTTCATCCAGGAGGGCCTTTCTAGATGGACTGTCCACCGGATTAAAAAATCCAGCAGGTAAATACGAGTAATAGACAACAATCGGATGTTTTTCAAACCTTGGGAACAAGGTTCTAAACATTAATTCCAGGGGGCAGATAAAACATATTACAAGTAACAAAACCTTTATAACTTTCGATAAAATGCGTGGATGTTTTATTGTCATTTTCATTTGTTAGAACTTTTTAAGCCATGTTTTTATGTGTTTTCGATATTTCAATAATTTTTTAATATAATCTTAAAATATGTCGAATATTATAAACTTAAAAAAAGTTACTAAGTTTTATATTGTGTACCGTTCCTAATATTTCTAATCATTTTAATTCATACTTTAAGCTTTATAAAGTTATAATTATGTTAATATTAATATTTGCGCGTATTTCAGGTTCCTGATCATTCATTTTTTAAAGGTTTATAACTTTAAATTAAATTGTGAAGCGCTGAGTAATCATACGACGTTCAATATTCTTTCTTTCAATATGACTAAATAATCCCGATTATAGCAATCTGATACTCATGTCTCAATGTTTTTTCGCTGAATGTGATGAAAACATTTGAAAAAGGTTCGCTTATTGAAATAAATCTACACCAGTTAGTACTTCGATTTCCAGGTAAAGGGAAAAGGCTCATTATCTGCCATATTGGCAGTGAGGATGGATTTGTTGTTGACGGTCTGTGGTGCTTTGAGTCTAAGAAAACTGGAGATTACCACGAGGAAGTGAATGGCGAATCGTTTGAACAGTGGTTTTCAAAAATTTTACCGAACTTAGAGGAAAACGCAGTAATTGTGTTGGATAATGCGCCTTATCATTCTCGAAGAATGGAGAAGGTCCCAACAACGGCTTCAAGGAAAGTTGATGTTCAAAATTGGCTCCGCTCGAAAAATATCAACTTTGAAGAAGCAATGCTGAAAGTACAATTATTAAGAATTGTCAAGGATCACAAGGCGGAATATCAAAAATACGCCATTGACGAAATGGCAGCAAGTCAAAATAAAACTGTGCTCCGTTTACCTCCATACCATTGCGAGCTCAATCTCATTGAGCTCATATGGGCAGAGGTTAAAAATTATATAGCTAAGCACAATACAACTTTTAAATTTTGTGACCTCAAAGGACTTTTCAAAGAAGCACTAGAATTAATAACAGCGCAAAAATGGGAAAACTGTATTAAGCACGTGAAAGACAAAGTTGAAAAGATAATGTGGGAACTGGACAATATTTTAGAGGAACAAGTCGAGCCATTCATCATTGACGTTGGTGCTTCAGGCAGTAGCGATGATGAAAGCTCATCAAGCTCATCTTTCCAATAAAAGATGTCGTTCATCAAATTCGGTAAGTTATAAGTAATTATAAAGCTACTGTATTTTTTAATTAATTATTGACATTTTTGAACCCATTTTGGCAAAACCTATTCAAGAATCTACTTTCTGACAATGTTCAACCATGCACATTTTTTTACGTTTTGAACGTTTTAATTGGGTTACATATTTACCTAGAAATCAAAAAATATACTAATCAATATTCTAAAAGCAATTTTAAGAGATATACGATTATTCTTAATTTAGGCTAATTTAAACGCCATTTTGAGATTATATTCGACTGTATTTCACCAAACATCAGGCGGCATCCGAAGCTGGAAATCGAAGCGAAAATTTTGAAACCCTTATGTATATTTACATCATTATATATTTCTTACCCCACCCCCACATGATCCTATATCCATCACCAATCGTATACACATCGAATTGTGCTAATTTACTACAAAGTTACGCAAAGCAGCATCTACTATCTAAAATATGTACTGCGTGACTCTTAATACGTCCCTGCCGAATGTTACAGCGCTCGATGATCATGTGGTCTTGTTTATGTCCGGTCTATCTCTTATCTGAATATACTGTAGGCTGGCAGTGCCGCAACGACACGTATGGGGGAAACTGTGACACCCGTCAACTCAGAGAGAGAGACTCGTGTCGAAGATATATCTCTGTCATTCTAAGTCTTAGGGAGGTGAGCACTTACCAAGAGGATTGAAAACCAAGTTATAAATATTATCTCATTATTAGTTTACAGAGCTCCTGAGATCGCCAATCTTATATGTATTTTCAGCAACATACTCTAATGTCTACATGTCTAATAGGTGCGTAGAACTGCCGGGATTGGTGACTACCGCCAAAAATTGAAATACATCGTCCCCCAATCTCGAGTTTCAACCCCTCCAAAATTTTATCTAAAAATGATCAGAAAACGTCAAAAAATAAATTTTGAGCGATTTTGTTTTTTGAGCTTAGCTCCGCCGTCACTAGACCGATTTTCAAAAACAGCAAAGGTTTTTCGTCTTTGACACAGAAGAAATCTTGTGTGAACATTTCTTAAAAATCCGAGCAGTACTGTCCATGCTATACACGGGTCAAGGATTAGTGGACAGACAGACCGTTAGACAGACAGAATGTCCATGTCATATTTATAATATCCAAAAAAATAAATTATTTTCGAAATTTTTCGCGATTCGCGATACTTCGTTGCAAGTGGCGTAGCTAAATTGGAAGATTGTTCACTTTCTTCACCTTAGTGTAAAACAGTGATTCTAGATTCGTAAAAAACCTTATAAGATAATTTGTCTTTGATTCAGAGAACAATTTATCCAATGCGCACAAATACTAGGAGATTAGTGAAGTGTATACAGGGAAAAGCAAATTTGTCCGAAGGCTTGAGTTCAATGTGTACGGGAGAGAAGCGCGAAGCGTGTACCAACACATGTTAGAAAGAGATGGAAGCCGGCTGACGATCAAAATTCATCACCACATTACCTAGCAACGCTGACGCAAAAGCTCCTGCAAACTGTGGCGTTGTCAATATGTTACGAGTACACCAGAAAATGTTCTACAATAGGTTAGGTTACTGCCAAATCCAAGAAGGTTTGTAGGAACATTTAATGTAATATTTTGTTTTCATTTTGATTTGACAGCGAGCTGTCGAAAAATGTAACAAATGCCATGACGCAATACAAATTTTCACAGCCTGCGTCTACGCAGGTGAAAACCATTTTGAAGCAGGATGCCACTCCCCAATGAGCGCTAGATGGGTACCGACTAAATTAGTTCATCTATGATCGTGAAGGTGGAAAGCTTGCCATGCCTAGATGCAGTGTTGCCAAGCCAACCAATTTTGCAATTTTACAGAATTTGTGGCGAACCTGACCTTTCATTTCGACCAAAATGGAGCGCCGTAAGGACCGATAAGAAATCGCTCCTAAACAGATTCGACACAATTGATAATTCAAAAATGTGTCTATACAAACTTCATTCTTGTACACATTGAACTCAAGCCGTTAAATAAATTTGGTTCTCAGTGTATTCGTATTTACCTTGGTGGACATCTTTCTCAATTTGTCTTTCTTTCTCAATCCACAAAGCTTAAGGAAGTTCTTAGGTTTTGGGAAAATGTTGAATGGAGGCGGTAAGGTTCCAGTCTCTTCAAAATAGCTCATCCACAGCTTAGTTCGAGCGAATTTCCATTCTGTATCAGAGTGCTCCTACAAAAAATTAAGACAGACAATTTTAAATAACTTAAACTCATAGCGACATTAGTAGGAGATTCTGATAATCCTCCATGTGAAGCCACATATATCTAAAATTCTTCTTTAATGTAGTATACGTTTCGGTCACAACAGTGACCTCCTTCAGTACATGACAGCTCTACCTCATATGATGCGGGTTCACCATGTTATGCAATATCTGCGATCTCTGTCATCTTCATTATTCAAGAACATTGAAGAAGAAGAGTAGTATGTACTTACATCGATCATTGCATATGAATTGGACATCATAGCAATAAGGAGGTTCAGTAGTACGATTACATTGATTACAGAGTATGATCCGAACATGAGAAGTCCCCAGAATCTTGTGTAGGTTTTTATACCAGCCAGCTCAAAGCTCGATAATTCGACCATGCCGAAACTTGCCCAGAAAAGTGACTGAGAAGATTCAAATACGCTAAAAAATAAGTTAATATAAAATGAGTAAGCGACAAACAACTGCTTTTATAGAGTAGAATTCAACTTACAATTAGTAGACTTTCGATAACTGCAAAAATGTTAGTAGAAAATCTTTTGATAATAGCTCACTGGTAAGGGCATTTTTTTGCTTTTTAGATTTTTACTAGACGTGGTTGAGAAATACAGTATACAGGTCGCTAGTAATTCGCCGTATTTTTCTCCCAGGGAGTGATAGGGGATCTAAAATGCAACAACCTTCACCTTGTAGATGATGATCAGTGCCTGTGTTACGTGTTGTTGTTATGAAACTCGCCGTTAGGGTAAGCGATGTTAATATCTTGGTTATGCCTCAATCTTGATTCTAAAAGACCACAAAAAACTCTATCACAGTATTGGAGTCATTGATATAATTGGCGTCTTTGGAGCTATATATCACAAACATGTGAAACGAGCAGTTATCAGACTTTGTTACACTAGTAAACTAGAATAACGTCTTTAGCACATTGTAAAAGAGGTAAAACAACCGAACCCGAACAAGTTAACTCTTCTTTTGTTTGGCTCCGATCGTGATAGAGAAACAATAGAAAATAATTTCGGTGTCGCAATCGACAACGTTCGAAACGTTCTAATTAAGCAATTTGTTGGGAATTGAACTCTTTTATACTGATGTTTAATACCTTTTATACCAATTCGTATACGTCTATTGTACTTTAGAGCTAGTTTAGAGCAACTATGTTATAATAAAAGCTGAAAACAGAAACTTTTTATTATCTGGAGAATGTGTATTTTCATTGTGTATAGCTACTGCTACTACCCAATTGTAACATTTCAAGTATTGATTTTTCACCATACACATAATGAAATTTGTTGCAATTTAGGTCTCCCTAGAAATACGGCGAATTGCCAGGTACCTTGTATTTATAAATTAATGACGCTGAAGTGAAACAATCATTTACTTTGCAAATCTTCTCCATTTCATGCATGCATCAGGTGCCCCATCAAAGTCCGGCTCTCCATTTGGCAAATGGTAACATTTTTTCTTTTCCAAGTCCGAAAAGTACCAGAGTAGCTGATTGAGACCTATAAAGAGATACATTTACATTTATTGCTTTAGTCCCAGAAGGTATAATACGGGTTTGCAAGCAACATGAAATTTATGTAAAGGTGCTAAGGTAAAAGGGATAAGCTTTTTTGGGATAAGATAAAGGATTACTTATGTACCCTACATCTATTTCGATAAAAACAAAGTAAACCTTCTTAGGGTTTGAACGTACTCCATCCTTTTACGTCAATAAAATATTCTAAAAGCGCGATTTTCACGGAGTTTGAATATCGAGGTGTACGCAGTAGGTTCGCAGGTAGACAGGAGAATAATAGAGCAATGAGTTATTGAGTTGATTTTCTTGATCTTAGAGCAACATTTTAGGCAGAAATTTTAACCATCTAGGCCTTTACGGTTGCGGCAGTTTTTGTAGTAGTTCAGCATCTACTCTTAGTGTATTGTGCTGTAGAGACCCTGTGGCCATACTGGTCTGCCTAGAATGCAGTGTCGAAATTCTAATTTTTCCAATGAATAACTATATTGTAACGGTTATTAACATCAATTATCGAAATAAGACAGCACCAAGCGCCATCTATTACCAGAATCGACCACTGCGAGAGTGTATAGCCTGTATTGGTTGCAACTGTAAAGATGTCATTTCGCATTTGATATCCCAGTCGTCACTGGGGCCGCTAGAGGCTGACGACTCTGGCAGTATAATAAATGTGGTCTGTCCGCTGCTTTGCGCTGTCTTATTTCGATTGATAGCATAACTTTGATAGAGGATAATTTGGTATTCTATCGTTCGTTGTCCCAGATACTAAGCCCAGATTATGGTGATGAGTTGGTAAAAAGCAGGAAACATCTGTCGATGGTTGTCTGTCTGTGGTTGAATGCACGAAAGCAGCATGTTTAATAATAATATTTGTATCTATTCAATTCTAAAAAATGTTTTTACGTACCGCATGCGAACGCGAATAGCACCAAGGTGTAGATAAAGAAGAATTTGACTATATCGATCACCATTCTACCTAGTGAGATTTGCAGTGGTCCCAAGTGAGGGTTGATTGAGAACAGGTGAACAAGCTTTAATGCACTGAAAAAAAAATAGAATATATCTATAATTAAACTCGAAGAATGAATAAGATAGTCTTATCATCACCTTCGTCATTTAAACACCCGAATAGTAGGGGAAACCCGGGAAAGAAGCATAGGGCGGGTAAAAAGAATAATCGTTTTTTCTAAAAATCGATAAGAGATGGCGTTCCTATACGTTGTCTAGGCTTGCCGCGTGCGACCTGTGACGCCATGACAGTTCATCCAAAATCATAAGTGCGCGTACGTGCTGTGGAGGTAAAAGAAATAGTTTTTCATTGTTCTCTTACGAGTTTTGCAAAGGTTTGTTCACTAACTTGTTATATTACCAATAAGTTATTCACACATTATATTAGTTTATTATATTGCTACTTTAAATGAGAAGCTTTGGAGCAAAACCGAATAAGTCCACCATAAACAATTTCTAGGAAAAGACGATTTTTCTACAGCGCAAAAAGTAATAGCAGTTTCAGTTGTTTTGCTACCAAATACTATTGGGGCCAACATAATTAAGCTTCCTCTGCAACCAAAATGATGAAATATTATGATTGTCAATATTACGATAAAAACAAAAATGGATTTATCTGGTTTCGCTAGAAACTTTGTTGACAGACATTAATGACAATAATGTTTTTATTGCTTGAAAGCTTTGAATCGCTAGCAAAGCATACAAATAAACCAAAACTATTCTATAACTTAAAAGAAGTAAATTCCTAAAAAATGATTCACATATAAAAAATGATAAGCTATAAAAAATATTAGATTAATAATAGTTTATTTATAAAGTGCAAGCTACATTGTAGTGAGGCTTAAATATGTAACGCAGATTCCTCCTCCAAACAGTCGCGCTCATTATTTATATCTTCTTCGTCGTTATTTTGTCCTCGATTTGCACATAAAAAGTTTTTTATACCATTCCAAATTTTTCTCAGTTTCGCACTCTTCCGAATTGTTGTTCGATAAGTTGTTTCACACTTTGTATCTTTTTTTGTGGAATGTTATCTCGCAACTGAAATTCTGATGGCGAAAAGTGCCCTAAGGTTTTCCCTCTTTTATAGACAGGTTTACAAACTTCTGATTGAGCTTCAAATCGGTTGTGCTGGAAGCATGCGATTGATATTTTGACTTACCCTGTTTTTTGCACTTTTTTGTATAGAGATACGTTTTAAGTCAGATATTCCACTAATCTTATTAATTTAATTTTGAAGTTTCCCTACATCAAAAATTTTCCAATCTTTTCCTAACAGTTTTACATTTCAGGCTTGTGAATACTAACTGACATAATCTTCTTTAGACAAAATGGTTGTATTTTATCTCAACATTTTCTCCACACGTCCAAAGACCCTATTGGCGGGCATAAAACTATGACCTCTCACAGGGTCAGTGATGATAACTCCGGTAACATTATCGGGAGAAAACCTTAGGAACCAAAAAAATACAATATGGATAATGTGGGAGTTTTTATTCTGCCCCCCACATCCATCACAGAACAATCTAGTCTGAGCTATGCCAGTTAAGTCTAATGACTTTAGGTAGTCAAACAAAGCAGACCCAATCTCTGTGGCGCCTCTCGCAGCCTGGTCTTCTGTCCAAATATAAAAAGTAGGATTTCTTGAGCTAATGTCAACACAGCAGAAAGAGTAGAGACTTATTTGTTGCGAATAAAAAGCATCGGAAATGGGAGTACGTGGTAAAGGCTGTACCTGTTGCAGGTCGAAACAGAACGTCAAGGAATTTTCTGGCTTTTCTTTGGAAAGCTCTTAAAAAGCCTTGGCTATTTTTATATGAACTCGTTATTCTGTCATATAAGTAACTTTTTTGCCTGCTCTTTTTCTGATTTAACCAAATGTTTGAGACGCGTGCATTGGGAACAGGTATCTGAAGCCGGAGTCGAAAATCCAATGTTAAATTCTGTAAGAAAAAATTTTCTAAACATTGACTATTTTACTTGGTACTGATTTTCAACTTGTTCGTTATAAATTTTTTGTAATTCGCTAATACTTAAATGAGCCGGTAAATATGCGATCATAATGTCTCTCGATACCTCTTACTTTGCCTATGAATTCGTACACTTTTTCCCGCTTGGACAAACTTTTTCGTGAAACATGATCTCCCCCTCGTTTTTCTTTGGGACACTGCCCCAAACCAATCATTTTGCACAAAGTAAACAACCTGTAATTTTTAACGCCCACTGCTGCCATAAAAAAAATCTAAAAACTTTAACTGCCTTTGTTGATCTATTTCCCTTAACTTTAAAAAAAATGCTGCCCTTGTTCGCTGTCGAGGATTGTTCTACACAGGTCTCTTCCTTGCAGTAGTATAATATATAAACGCTGATCATGTGGCAAAGCTTCATATCTTGCATAGTTTTGTCCGGAACGTCATACAATTTACTTCTTATAGCCCTAATGTCAGATATTTTGACTTTTTGGCACTGGAAAGCTTTATTATCATGTGAACACGGTCGCTTAAATTTTGTTAAATCCGGATCTGGATCTTGGTATCTATAACAAAAAACCTCATACAGTACAGTTTGCCGAATAACCTACCTTCAACTAGTCTAACATTCGAATAATGTAACTTAAATAAATGAAATTACCTTCCACGTTTCCTTATTTGCTTTTTATTAGCTCTTTTTCTTATTCTGCTCCCATGATTGATATCACTCACGGCTGATGCATCTCCTAAAACTTCTTCCATATTTCTCTCTTTAATCGTTTACCCTACCAGTACAAAGGGCTGATGCAATGATGGACAGGATACAACAAGATCGACAACTAGGCGTATTTTAATTCCCCTGGAGAACATCTATTGCCATCTAACAGCTAGTGGCCTAAATACAAACAGTTTACTACCCAACCTCATATTATATGGATTTATTCGCTTTTGAAGTAAACTCGGATTTATTTGGTTTTGCACGGAAACATGGATTCTTACGCTGAAATTTACGAGGATATGTTCGTTTTTGCTCGGTAATGTGTAGCTTATATTATGTATTTTAATAAAGTGAGTGGATATTCCCAGCTAACTCAATTTTCATAAAATGTGGATTTATTCGGTTTTGTTCCAAAGCTCCTCAAATGAGTGTAATTTGTGATTATTGTTTTTTAAATACCTATTTGCAATGTTTCAAATCTCATAACTTATAAGTATTGATACATTGGGCCGAACGGATATGGGCAAAGCGATTAAGATATCCGTTTTGTCCGTATTGCACGAATGTGGTATTTTAATCTAATCAATCTTAAATAAGCCTCATTTTAGTATATTATGCCCACTTTAGCTAAATTTATATTTAATTTATAGGACCTACGTTTAACTTATATCTAACTGGTACTTATATATTAGATTAAATTGCAACTATAACATGTGAGTCAATTATTTTTCTTTATTTTAGATGGTGTTTAAATACACACGTAAAAGTGATCGAGCAGCATGGTCAGAAGAAACACTACAGAGGGCATTGAAAGCTGTAAAAGATGACAAGCAATCCACTAATTCAACCGCGAAGAAATTTGGTATTCCATTTACATCTTTGCAGAGATAAGTCTGGAAATAAATCGAAGAAATTGGGTAGATTCACATCTTTTTTAGTAATGAACAAGAAGAAGAGTTGTGTGCCTATCTTAAAAAATTAGATGTTTTTGGGCTTACCCGTTCAGATTTTTTAGAACTGGTTTCTAAGCATACGTCAAGGAGTAATATTTCTCACCCATTTAAAAATGGAAAAGCTAGAGACGACTGGTTTTTGGGTTTCAAACGTCGACATCCAGAGATTTTACTAAGAGCGACAGAGCCAACTTCGTTGGCAAGAACAAGAGGCTTCAACAAACCACAGGTGGAATTGTTTTCCACGAACTATTGGTACCTGGTAGAAAAGTACAACTTCGATGCAACAACAATATACAATATGGACGTGACAGGAATAAAGAACAGTACCTACAACTGGACCACCCAAGGTCTTGTCTATCAAAGGCAAAAGACAAGTCAGAGCAATATGCAGCGGGGAAAGAGGCCGATTAACCACTGTCGTATGCTGCTGTAATGCAGCTGGAACTTTTGTTCCACCTTTTTTCATATTTGCTCGCAAACGTATGCAAGAATGACTGTTGGATAATGCTCCACCAGGTTCACAGGCGACCGTAACAGATAATGTTTGGGTACGGCAAAGCGTTTTTGGCTTCGTTGCATTTCTTTGTTGAAAAAGTTCATCCCAGTGAGACTAGGCCAGTATTACTGTTACTTGATAATCATGAGGCCCGTAAGTATGATCCAGCTTTAGAATATGCAACAGAAAAACATGTCAGCTGTTTGTCTTTCGGACCTCACACGACTGATCGATTGCAGCCTCTCGATGTGGCTGTATATGGACCCCTCAAAAAGTACTTTGAGCAAGAACTAAAAACATCAAAAAATGCACCCAGTGCGTATTGTAAACCAATATGATATTGCAAAACTTTTTGGAGGAGCGTACGCCAAAAGTGCTTTGGTTCAGAACACAGTTAACGGGTTTAAAAAACCAGGAATATAGCCCTATGGCCCAAATGTATTTGGAGAAGAAGATCACGCTCCTTCGACTATGACAGATCGTCCTTTTCATGTCTTATCGTCTGCTCCGACTGAACTTCCTGTTAATATTTCGCAGTCGGTAACAGCCAACATTTCCTACTTTGACCAACGGCCCTTCAAATGATTCTCTGGTAGTAAACTCGAATTTGTATCTGCTGTCCCTGAAGATGTAATACCCGAATCTTCAGCACACTGCCAACGCACAACAACTATGACTGAGGTGTTTAGTACATCTGTGCTTGCTTTCACCTTGTTCAATGATGTACTGGAACACAGATCAGCTAATTTAGAAAAAGCACATCCAATATCTGCAGTGAATCTTACACCAGTGCAAATTAGAGCCATACCAGTTATGGTTGCTCCTAAAACAGATCGCAAACACAAAAGGCAAACATCAGAGGTGTTAACATCTACACTCTTCAAGGCAGATCAAGCTGAAAAATTTAATAAGGTGAATGATAAGAAAATGAAAATTTCTGAGTTATCGGCCTACAGCAAGACAAAGAAGAAAGGATGCCTTGAAGAACCGGTAAGCTCAAGCTCGAAACCTGACACTGTTTGGTGTGCACTGATAGGCACACCGATCTCCAAGAGAAGATTGGATGCAGTGTAATCAGTGCAAAAGTTGGGCTCATGAGAACTGCACCGCCTATGGAGGAACTGGCAGCTATTTTTGCGATTAATTCTATTCCATTAGGATATCATCTTGCCCTTGACGTTTGACACCTTTCCTTTATTGACGATTATTTTTATAGAAATGTTTAAGTCTTGTTATTTTAATTATTATTACTCAAAGATGATTAACCAAAGTACAAATAAAAGGTTCAAAGGGTTGTTTTTCGTGATGTAGATGCCATATGACATAACATCTCATTTTAGAAATTTTTCGCGATTACAATACTTCCTCGCCAATGGCGTGGGAAGTAAAACGGCTTTAAAATCGAGGAGTATCAGCGATCGCGATTGTGAGTACCTATTTGCAGAACGAGTTATCTACGAGATATTATATGAAATAGGGCCACCAAATTATCTGAATACGTCCTTTCTTAGTCCGTACATTGCGCCGCAACGCTTGTGTTGGCAGCACGAAACAGTAGACAAAATTCGTCCAAAATACGATTTGTAGAGGTTTCCGCGCTTCGGAATTGACGCTTTATTTTTTGACATTTTTGGATGAAATTTTCAGTGTGCTGAAAACAAAACCCCACAGGGTGCTATAGAGCCACTTTTTCATTTTTTTCACTAGGTTCTTTTTAAAAAAATCGCGAAGTTGAACAGATTAAGTGCGCACTTCAACCCATCATAAAACTTGTGCAAAAACAAAATTTCAAAAAGTGCTCCTATAGCACCCTCGGCAATTATCTTCGCAACATACTGCATGAATTTCATTGAAAAATATTGAAAAATGGAGTGTCAGTTTTGAAGCAGCTGAACCATTGTAAATGACTTGAAACTCACTGCGTCGGAGCCGCCTTAAGAAGGAAAATTGATCTTATATATGTGGTCGCCCATCGATCTTAGCAAAAACAACTGATATTTAGAGTTTGCGTAAGTGCCTTATCAAAAACATTTTATTTCCGAAATTACAAGTAGTGATTGGTGTGAAGGCTTGATTCTAACTGAATTACAAAATATAGTACAATGTTCGTTTTAACGATAAAACAATGGAAAAATATCATATTGCATTCTCGAAGTTGCCAGTTTCTAGTAGGATATAGGGCAGCCCTATAACTTGAATCGAGGTACTCTACTTGACGAACCTGAAAATATTAGCAGCTGCAAACAAGCCTTCGGCAATAAGTTGGGGATCAAATGCATCCCATTCCTCTCTATGTATGTAAGCAGTGGCAGGATCTTTTTCGATCTCAGCCTGCTGTTGCAGGTAGGACACGACCCGCAGAACGATCACTCCGGAGTAGAGTACGTTGCGGGTGAAGTCGATGAAGTTCCAGAGGTTGCGCAGGTACGACTGCATGCCTTCCACGAAGATCTCTTGGGTTTCTTCGAATATGAAGCCTGTGAATTTGAAAGGCGTTTAACAGTACTTACTGGTGCGGGTAAGATATGAATTCGTAGCTTCGGCGCGTTTATAATAATAATAAAACGTCTATTGACTCATTATACTTATCATAGATCTCAAGTCTTCATTAATTTGAACGTCAGCAATTATTATATTCTTAGTAGTAAAATTATTGTATAACTGCGAGTCATCCGCAAAAAACTGAATACTGCAGTGTTTAGCAACCTTATGAATATCGGAGAAATGAAAAGAAGTGGTCTAAGAACCGACCCTCAAGGCACTCCCGATGATATTAAAGCCTCAGGATAAGTGTTCATATCGATGACAACTTTTTGTGATCTATTTCTTAAAAGACTGATCAACTAATGATTCAGAGAAACCCTAAAATTTACCTTTGGCTATTAAAAGTGATTGGCTGATGGTGTCAAACGCTTTAGAAGCATCTAAAAGAATTAAGGAAATTGTTTGATGGTTATCCCAAGCCCTGACAATATTGTCAGTTAGATCTAATAATGCTGCAGAAGTATTATATCCCTGATTGTGCGGGTTTTACGTTATTATCTGTCTGTTTCAGGCGATACAGGCCAAACGGCTCGATGGATTTTGACATATGAGATCTCTTCGGATGCGTCTTAGCAGCGGGAGTGTCACTGGCCATATCTAGAATTTATAACGACAAAGTGGCGGAATTTAATAAAAAAACAAACTTGAGATTCCTATTCCATTTTAACATATAAGGTGTTGTTTGATTCATCTTAGCAATGCAAGTGACACTGGCTATATTAAAATTTCATAAGGTCAAAATGGCGGATTTTGATTTAAAATTGGGTTGCAGACCAAGCGGCTTGATGGATTTAGGCATTTGAGGTGGCAATAGAATTGAAAATTCATTCTTTTCAGTTACTGCAGTCGGGTTTTGTGTTTTTTAAAAATGTACCTATTTTGATTTCACTTTTTAGACTAGGACCTGAAACGAAAATATATTTTGAGGTAAAAAATTGTGCTAGATAAATTTTGTATAAACGCCCCATTTGTAAAGTCGCTTTACATGTGCCAGGTGCTTTTTACCGGTGATTGTGATTTATAACGATGAAAATAGTTGTCATACACACAACCTATGAGTTGTCCCGTAGCTCATTAGCTTTTAGTGCTCACGCGGGCTATTACACGATATAATCTAGTATTAAAAGAAAATTATCTGAGACTCAAATTTTTCCTAACCCAAATATTCTCCGCCTGACGTCAACTTTTTTCATGCACTTCACCGGCCTCTAATGTTTAATAATGCGTCGACCCATCAGTTCTACGTGAAAAAAAAAATGGCGTCAAGTAGGTTGACTCTGCATCTCTCAAAATTTCATCAAAATCCGAGCGGTACTTACAATGAATTTTCAAAATCAACTCCGAATGTAATATTTACTCTCCAGCGTCGTGGAAAGCAAAAGTAGAAGATGTCTGTGAAATTCTTTATGTCAGACACTATGCAATCCGCGTCTTTTTTTTTCCCTTTGTGCAGTCCTTACCTACGACATACAAAAGGACGGCGTACTCCAGAATAGTGGGCGGGTTTCCTCTTTGTTTGTCGTATTTATCCTTCACGTAGGCTTTCATCGATTCTGATCCGAAATGTTCCAGAAGTAGATCGTCGGCTCTTAAAGATACCAGGATCAGCAATACTGAAACATACCCGAATCGAAGTTTTTAAGTACAGCTTTTCACTCAAGGTGTTACGAAGGTCCACGCGGGAAAATATTCTAGAGGTTCATATAATAGAATGACAATATTAAAGGGGGCCACTTTAGGGTGCAGTTTGAGAAGAAAACTTCATACGAACGTATGTCATACATTTCTTAACTTTTGGTGTACAGGGTGATATACCACTGACCTTTTTTAAAATAGCAAAAAACGTGAAATCTGTATTCATTTAGGACCAGATTTGATGTCTTGCATTTTTTGGTCTATTGCACGGTTGTTACCTAAAAAAATAAAACCAATTTCTCTGTATGGTGATATTATGTTTAAAGCGAAAACAATGTTTCGGTTTAAAAAAAAATAAGACATCAAATTGGCTTAGAAATGATTGGATAATTAAAAAATAATTTTAATTTCAACAGAAATCAGTGGGGTACCATCAATGTCTGCCAAAATAGGCAGGTGTTATTTTCTTGATACTTAGTACGTGTATGCCAAATGTATTTAAAAAATCTAAGGTGGTATTAATCTTTCCAATATTCAATGATATTGCTTACTTTTTGAATATGTAGCTTCTACTTGAGTCAAGAGTCAGGAGTCATACATATGTACTCAGAGTTTGGCTCAAATGGTATGATGATACCGATAACGCTTGATTGAGGAGGACTTCTTTGGTTCATAAAACAAAATGTGGATCGAATTTAATTCATTCAGTTTTATTTTCCATCTCCGAGCCCATTTCATTGAACTATTGTCAGCAGTTTCTTCTTTACTATCACAATTTAGTGAATCTTTGACAGTTATAATCAATGCTGTATCATATGCAAATGCTGTAACTGTCACATCTGTCACAGCAGGACTATCTGAGGTAGAGTAGGGGAGACACGGGCAGCCGGAATCACTTTCGGAGAGTGCCAATTCATAGCACGAAATTATTAAAAAATGATCTATCTGAATACTTTTATGTGGATTTTAATTATTTCAGAAACATTAAACACTACTATTTTAACTTTACAATATAGTTTGAGCAAGTTACGGCCTAAATTATTAAAGACTGTATTTGATTCTATTTGCCCGACCCTCTAGGGTAAAAGGAATCACAGGTGAGGGCAAAAGGATTCAAAAGAAAAAATATAATATGGAAAATAGAAAAATATATATTATCATTAAGGAAAACTGAAAATGGTAACTCTTACAATAATTATTCTCTTAACCTAATTATTTTCTCTAATCTTTAACCTGATTTTATTAATCTTGATATATATAAAATAAAAAAAACTATTATTAGTAGAAACTGAAAAAGGTATTCTATAATTATTCTTAACTCAATTATGTTCTCTGATCTTTGACCTGATTTTGACAATCTTGACAAATATAAATTCCAGTCTTGTAGCTTGTTGATTTCTGATGTGCCCACTTCTCACAGAAATTGCACTGTATCCAGTGTTCGCCTGGAATGGAGTTTTCAAAGGAATCGTCACATATCAAACGTTTCTTCTTCATCTGGAGCGGTTTTCGGTGGTGAAGGTGGACGAGGTATTTTCAGTTTGCTGGAATCTATCTCTTGTTGGATCTTCCTTCTAATGCTTTTGACACATTCTTTGCTCTTACTTTTTTCTCTAATTTCATCTTTAATTGGCGTAGAAGTCAAAATCTCTGATTTCTGTTGATTCCTTTTTGTTTTGGGTTCTTTTCGTTTATCACATTTAGGTATAATATGAATATCAATAATTTTAATGCGATTATTTCCTTTTGGAGCGTCACTAGCTTGTTTAAGGTCGTACTATTATTGAGACCAGAAGGTTCAGGTTTTGCGATATCATTATGGGCAGATGTATTGGGCGGTCCAATTTCAATAACATCCATATCTTGACGATTATGGTTAATACGGACCTCTGGTTCTTCAATGTTAATTACATCTGCTGGAAGGAAGTCCACTTCGGAAAAAACATCTAAATCACATCTTGCAATGCCAGTTTTTTCGAAACCTTTTATAGCGTTTGTTGGTGTTGCAGCTTTAAGGTAGGCATTATTAAAAATTTTGCCTACATCAAACAACGTAACGCGTTGTGCAGGATGCGCTTTTTGCCACTTGTCAATTTCATTTTGGAAATAAGTTCCGAAAGGGCCATAAACGGACACATCTAGCGGCTGGAGCTTGTGTGTCGTGTGGGATGGAACCGACAAAATGATGACATTATTCTGAGAGGCATAATCAAGGACATCAATAGACCTATGAGAAGCATGATTGTCTAAGATTAATAGACATTTATGGTCTTCATTTGGTCTAACGTTGCTTACAAAAAACTTCATCCACTCCAGGAAAGCTTCGGAACTTATCCATCCAGAATCAGTTACTAACTGAGAAGAGCCTGGTGGAGTTCCTTCCATGTACCTTGGATTTTTCTTTTTCCTTGGGAAAACAAGTGTAGGAGGAATATATGCCCCAGCAGCGGAACAACAGAACAGTGCCATTACTAGTGTGCCTCGCTCGGAGGAAGATATAGCTCCAACTCCCTTTTTGACTTTCAGGGAAATAACCTTAGGAGGCCTATTTGTAGATGTTTGGATCCCTGTCTCATCTACAATGTACATATTTTCAGGCAAAATATTGTTTTTCTCGATGACGCCCCTCAAATTTTCGAAAAACCTCTCCACTTGTGGGCGATTAAAGCCACTGGCTCGTGCAACACTGGTCGGCTCAGGTGTCCGTAAGCTTAACTCAGGATGTCTCTTCATAAAATTTTGATACCATTGCTGACCCGCTGCATTATTTTTAAAACAATGAATAATGTGGTTCGCTTCGGCGTATTGATATGCTAACACACAAAGATCTCGTCGCGTAAGCCCATAAAAATGGCTATCAAGCTCTTTGATATGGGTAACAAATTCTTGTTCTTCTTCTGGAGTGAAAACCGTCTTAAATCTGCCCAGAGATTTAGTAGTTTTATTAGACTTCACATGCTTAAGGAGCGTTGAGAATGGAATGTTATATATTAAAGACGCTTTTCTTATCGACTCCCCGTTACGCACTGCTTGCAATGCATGTTCCATGGATGTTTCTGTCCAGGTGCTTCCTCGTTACGACTTTCTTTTATAGTTGAAAACCATCTAGAAAAGAAGCGAAAATTACATACCTACATGAAAATCGAAAATTGATATACGGGCAAAAGGAATCATGATCCCTTTTGCCTGATTCCTCTTGCCCGAAATGCACTGTCACAAAGGAAATAAAAATTTACGAGACGCTGGCAACAATGGACATATTTTCAAGGTTAGGTAGAAAAGTAGAAGTGCCAATCTTTCGATTATTAACTAAATCGTTTTGAATAAATGGCTGAGTCACTACTTACCCTTCTTCAAAAATCCTTTGAACAACTATTCAAGACGTAATTAATTAGAACACCTTAAAAAATATGAGGTAAAAACTTTAGCACGAGGGAACGCGTTGCGCATGAACTTGTGCCATACTCAGCGAATTGTTAAACAGCGTTGTCAGGTTTCTGTGATGAAGCTGTTTTCATTTATTTAGCTGATTCCTTTTGCCCACTATATCCCTTTTGCCCGATTTTACCCTACTAGACGAAGGATACGCTTATGGTGTGCTTACGTTGATATCCGGAAGATCAAAATACTAATCTTCTTGTTCAACTCTGAAAATTCTATTCGAGAAAGTCCAGGTAAACATCGAAAGTCTTGAGATTGTTATAGATGTCCAGCTATAGCTACCGGTCGTGATACTTTAAGGCCATGAGTAAATACAGAGGACACCTCGTAAACACGAGGTCTTATGACTGAAGCCAAAAATGTGCCTGCTGGCCCTTGTTGATGGCTTTTAATTGTATTTCCCACTTCATCGTTGTTTTCCTTCAGTTTACAACCAAATCCGTTGTTTTCGGTGTACATCCATTTGGGCCTCATGAAACAATTAAGCAGAAACGTAAATCGCTGGGGCTACCAAACGATCCATTTCTGCTCCTGTTCCATTATCCGTTTTTTCATCTAAGTTTTAAAAGGGATAGAGTTGTCTCTCTTAGCGCCGTATCGTCAGTCGTTCCTACAATAATTGTAGGACGCCTTTATGGCCTCCTTGATTTCCATAGTTTTCCACTGCTCCTTGTCAGCGCTCTATTTTGAGGTTACGTTATAGATATCCACTTGCATCAAATTGTTTATGCTTTTGATTATCATCTGTTATTTATAACGATTTCCATAGTTTTCCACTGCTCCTTGTCAGCGCTCTATTTTGAGGTTACGTTATAGATATCCACTTGCATCAAATTGTTTATGCTTTTGATTATCATCTGTTATTTATAACCTGAAATTTTCTACATAGCTTCACAATAATAGTGCGCTGAGGCTGACACGGTAGAAATCAGAAATACCGCAGCCTTCCTGAAGGAGAGAAAATACTATGAAAATCAAGGAGGCCATAAAGGCGTCCCACAATTGTAGGGACGATTGACGATACGGCACTTATACCCTATTTCACGGTACAATGACAGCTGGTTATCTGGTGATATTTTAAAATTCCCCATATCGGCAAAGGGCACATCGTTCTGACGGATCCGTCAATCCCAGTTAGTCAGAGCCATATTTGGTTTTGGTTTTTTGTACGCTACAGATTCATTTTGTACTTGCTAAAAGCTCTTTTATTTATAAAAGTTCATTTGCATGCAAAAAACAAAACGCTACAAACAAATTTTTGCTAGATTTAGGCCCGTATCGTCAGTCGTCCCTACAATTGCAGGGCGCGTTTATGGCCTCCTTGATTGTCATACTCCTTTCTATCCTTCAAAAATTTATAGATTACACTTGTCCTGTGTCAGCGTCAGCGCTCTCCTATTGTGAAGATATGTTTTCTTTTTAAATTGTAGGAAATTTCAGGCTGATAAAACATGATATAACTCAAAAGCAAGCACAATTTGATGCAAATAGATGTTTGTGTCATAACCTCAAAATAGAGCGCTGACACGGAACAGTAAAAAACTATGACAATCAAGAAGGCCATAAAGGCGCCCTACAATTGTAGGGACGACTGACGATACGGCCCTTACACCCGATTCATTATAGCCAACGTTGCAGACTATCACAAAAATGTCACTTGCTGATCAGCCTGATCAGCTTTTCACCTCAGTAGACGTCAAAGCGTGATGGATACTCGTGAACTAAGGTATAGTAAGCTTTGCCGAGCTCATACGCCTAAAGTATAACCTCACAAACAATGCTAAACATATAAGGTGGATTCTTTAATTCACCGGTTGATTGCACCACTGATGGATGCCCTGCTTATGGTTGACACTGTTGACAGCTTTGTATGGTGATGGCAGCAACCGGTTGAATTAAAAGGACAGATGTCTGGTCCACCGGTGGCACCGGTTGCTCAACCGGTGAATTAAAAAATACACCAACAGTGCGGGTCAAAGTCGTTGTTCCTTTTATACTTCCATACGTACGAGAGAGAGAGAGAAGCAAGAGAAGGGTCTTCACCACGTTGCCTGCTAACGACAGTGGGGGAGAACTAACAGTCGCGCACCGCTCATGAATGACGTCGACTGTATTCTTTTGAGGTATGTTTTACTATCAAGCTACTTACGCAAGAAGAATAGATACGACGAAGCATGCACCAAGAACTTCATGAAAGGTTTCCTCATCAATTTCCCAATTTTGGTTTCTGGCGCTAGCATGTACAACATGCAGTAAAAGGGAAATAAAACTGCCACTCGAACGATTATCATTATTTTGTCTTTGGCTTTTTTTCTTCGAAATCCAGGTACTCCTTCGTACCAAAGGGCTGCCAGTAGTTGTTGGATGTTTGGATGAGCAACAAACTATAACAAGAAGAGATGATATTGGTTAGTTATTCTTACATGTATGAACTTTTTGATCTAGAACTACTTTTTTGAGCACTCCTATACACGTGGTGGCGTCACAGAATAACGTGTGAACACAAAGAAAAAATAATGAAACGCGACTGACGTGGCTCCGCTATGGAGGTACAGGCCCCTAAGGACGCAACTGGGAATGGGTTATTTGAAAATAACCTTAATAGAATATATAACTCACTTAGAGCTCCAGAGACGAGCTAGCCCATATGGCAGCGTTACTTTTTACATCCTTTAACAGCAAAAAATGATTCGTCACCTTTTTTTTTTCAGTACAATTCTATCAACTTCGGCGCAGGAAGGGTCTTTTGAAAACACAGTCATTCTGACAATAGAAAAATCCAGGATATACATTTTAAATCGAATAAAACATTGTATGTCTTTAAATGATGAAGCATGGAACCAGGTTGTTTACGGTTGGTTATGATTACAGGGCTAAAAAGCAAACATATTTTAACGAAATCAGTGTTTTACTGTTCAATGTCTAATTTATTACGATGGCGTTACAATATCCTATTCAGCTTGTGTTTAGTACACGCAACTTTCACATAGTACGTTAAAGCTTGTAGTGTCTTGAACACTTAGTACTCCCCCGAGTCACGAGACGTTTATGTGGTGGGAGATACCGTTCGTCTTATCGAAGACAACTCTCAGTCAGATATGTCGGGAAACGTATATATAATTTGATGCTACATATGCAGGGGTCGGTGGTACCGCGATAGGTAAACTACTCATATGTGACAGTGTCACACCTCCGCAAAGAAAAATGCATTTTTATTGACCAAAAGATAAAGGCTTCCCAAAAATATTATTTTTGAAACATTGTTGTATAGGTGTAAGAAATTATGCGTTATGCATAGTTTGTCTCTGGTGGTTTTAACAGTTAATTGTTTATCATCATGTGAGGTCCCAACTAGCTAGAAAATTGTTGAATTTTAAATTGTTGTTTAATGACTGAGAAAATGCGATTTGCTGTTGCGTCCCTCAGGGTCCTGAATGTCCGTAGGGAGTCTCGTAACTTCCATCTAGCTCTAGCAATGAATTTCTGACCAGCAAGGTCCAAATACATTAACTGCATGGTAACGCCGAACAGTACGATACCGAACTAATCCAGTCCACTACAAAAAATAATGAATCCACGTATGTTGGTTATGCACTGCCCACGCATCGTCTTCATCAGTTCGTAAAGGACTACGTTCAGCATACGTGAGACCCCCTGAGAAAAAAGTAAATTACAAACAAATCAAGTCACTCAACCTTTGGGACCTCGGTTGGCCGCGTGGGTCAGAGTGTCGTGCTACTGATCAGCCGGCCGGCCGGGCCGCGAGTTCGAATCTCGCCTTCGCCATGGATGTTGTGTGTTTGTTTTAGGCAGCAGCGGTGGCCGCAGTAGTAGACTCTTCGGTCTCCTGATCAGCCGCCGTGCGCTGTGCGGGTTCGAGTCCCGTCGCAGGAGAAATGTTTCTCTTGGCCATGGATGTTGTGATTGTCCGTAGGTGGTAGATGGTCTCTGACTGTCGAACGCGGAGGTACCACCCGGCGGTTCTCGTAGGCGGAGCCAGAATGTGTGCATGTTGCATGCACACGTGTTCCCTCGCCAGAGTCTGTGTGGCGTCCCCCCTTTCCCATGTATCCCCCATAACCCCACGGTACCCAATGGGTGCTTAGGCCTTAGGCCTTCGTGGTAGTTGGAGTATAAAAAAAAAACCAGGCCCATACAGTTAGTCCATAGACACTCTTTCCCTGTCCTACCGGAAGCTATCGTTCATCTGGCAACATCGCCTCTCCTCTAATCGACGATACGTCAGACGTGGCAGCGCGACATTTTAGCAGTCATGCCGGGATAATTATGAGGATTGGTATGCCCGCTGGTTAACCCACAGAGCAGAAGTAGCGACGGATCGCGATAACATTTCTCTATCATTCTCAGTTTTGGTCAAATGTACGGGGAAATGTATGATGTGTGAAATATGTCCAATAGGTGCGTAGAGTTATCGAAGTTGAGTACATATGAATTTACTAACATCAAAACCCTACTGAGCGGGGCCGTGGCAAATGCTTGTCCCGGAAGTTGTTGTATCCAGTATACAACTTCTTCCCGTTCAAGTGATTGTACACGCGTTAAGGAATACCTCAGTACCGATTGCCGGGTGGCAGTACAAGTCCGCCAACGGGCCACTTTAGGTCTATTTAATATCACTAAAACGTAAAAGGAAGGTGGTAGACAAGGACCAGTCGACCGAGGTGGTACCACCCGCTAGCTTTTCCCAGGGTGTTTTATAAATGTCCGCATGCTTCCACACCTAAGCTATGCAGTCGGTTATCTTCCAAAACAAAGAAATTAATGATGGTGGATCCCTCGAGCACTAAGAACTCCGGACGTAAACTCACTCCACTCTCGGAATGTCCGGGTGGAGGGTGGGCTCGAGGGAACAACATCGAAGATAAAATTTGTTTTTCGAACATCTGCGGGATTAACAGCAACATTGATGCAGTTCATCACAATCTAATCGTCCCGCAGTGCTTTTCTTGGCGGAGACCATCATCTCAGAGTCTGCACCGATTAGCCATCTCAACTTCCCAAACTACGAGGTGCACTCCAATCTGAGAAAGAACGGTGGAGTTGTGGCTTTTGTCCGCAACAGCCTTTCCTGCTCCAGAGATGTTTCTTTGGAATCAGACCGGAAGGACATTCTGTGGCCAAAACATCACCCAAATTTATTTGCTGACTTTATCGCTCTCCCTCGGACCATAACTGGGATGACCTACTCGAATGCCTCGTCGTCCAGATCGACTTCCTCAACATCAATCATCCCGCTTCAGAAGTAGTTCTTCTCGGTGATTTCAATGCCCATAATGAGCTTTGGTTGGGTTCAAACAAGACCGATGCAACAGATCGTGCAGTTGAAGCGTTCGCTTTTACTCAAGGGCTGACCCAGCTGGTGACGAGCCCTACTTTTTCCCCCGCGTCTCGTCACACTCCAGTAGCCTGCTGGATCTCTTTCTGACCACGCATCCTGTCCCTTACAGCACTGCTATTCTGTCCCCCCTGGGTAACTCAGACCACGGTGTTGTGGAGGTTAGGTTTCGCGCAGAACCCGCCGTGGCAGCAGACACTCTTACAGGCCGCAAAACTTGGCATTACGGACATGTCGACTGGGCGGGGCTCAGACACTTCTCCTTTAGCTTTCCTTGGAGAGATGTGTGTTTCACTCACGCGGATGCGTCGGCTGTCTGTTCTTCAATAACCTAAATTACCCACGTCGGAATGGAAGAATACATTCTTTACACATTGAAACTTCCTAAACCAGGATCCAACGACTGGTTTAACAAATCATGTGACACTGCTCGCCAGCAGAAGATCAAGACACACCGAACCTTCTTACAAAACCCCACTGTAGAGAACAGACAAGCCGACGTCGAGTCCAGAAACAAATATAACGAAGCGGTTCGCAATGCCAAAAACCAGCACGATATAAAAGTTAGGCACATGGTAATGTCGCAGCGCAATGGTAGTCGGTCTTTCTGAACGCTGGCCAAGCAGATTGAAAAGGACTCACACAGTAGCCTCCCACAACTTACGTGTCAGGATGGAACTATTGTATTCGACTCGGAAATGCTAGTCAAGATCTTTGCTGCCAACTCCACCATGGATGTCCCCACCAACGCCCAAGTGCCTTCAATTCAAAGGGTTCCCCACACTATGCGGGAGGTAACATTCAGGCATAAGACCGTAAGACGAGTGCTCTTGTCGCTCGGTATCAACAAAGCTTCTGGTCCGGACATGATTCCTGCCGTTGTACTGAAGAGATGTGCAGCGGAGCTTGATCCAGTTCTTTCGCGTCTTCTCCAGATATCTTATGAATCCGGCACCTTCCCAGAAAACTTGAAATTTGCTCATGTCCAATCCATCTAAGATCGACCCTTACAACTACAGGCCTATAGCTCTGCTTTCTGTTATAAGTAAGGTGATGGAGAGGTGCATAAGTCGCGAGCTTCTGGACTTCCTCGAACGTCACAGCTTGATTAGCTACAGGCAGTATGGTTTCCGGCACCAACGATCCACAGGGGACCTCCTAGCTTACGTCACGCAATTGTGGAGTAAACTCATCCAGTCTTATGGTGAGGCTCATGTCGTTGCTCTTGACATCACGAAAGCCTTCGATCAGCTGTGGCACGCTGCCCTCTTAAGCAAACTTCCATCCTATGGCCTCCCAGAAAAGCTTTGCAGATGGGTGGCTGACTTTTTCTCTGGCCGTAAGATATCCGTCGTAATTGACGGGTTCTCCTCTTCAACTCACAACGTCAACGCGGGTGTTTCCCAGGGATCGTTTTTGGCTCCAACACTGTTTCTCTTACATATCAACGGCCTCCTTTCCTGCACGATCAACCCAATCCACAGCTTTGCTGATGACAGCATTCTACATGCAGAATTTCAGAATGACAAGCCGATCTCAGCCGCTGAGCTGGAAAAAAAAAGACTAGCGACGACTTCTTCTCTGACAAGAGACCTGAAGGCGATCACTGCTTGGGGACGCAACAATCTTGTACAGTTCAATGTGTCCAAAACATAGTACTGTACTTTGACGAACAGAAAGCGTCCTAGCGCTCATCTAGTTCGATGGACGGCGGAGTTCTACCAAAGAGCCATTCATTTCGGCTGGTCGGAGTCCAAATCACCGAGGACCTGATCTGGCACGAACACATCTCGTCAATAGCTGCAGCTGCTGGGAAAAAGCTAGGCTATTTGTTTAGGGCTAAGAAGTACTTTTCTCCGCATGACCTTCTCACTCTATACAAGGCCCAGATAAGGCATAGCCTTGAGTACTGCTCACAGATTTGGGGTGCTGCCGCCCCAACTACATTATTCATGTCGATGCTGTCCAGAGGAGGGCGGTCCTACTGATCGATGACTCTTCTCTAGCAGACAGCCTCGGGACTCTGTCGCACCGGCGGGCCGTCGGCGATCTAGCTCGTTTCTATCGCTACACCAACGGGCTTTGCTCCTCAGAGCTCTCTTCCATGATGCTGCCGCGCGATGTGCCTGCCAGACAGACCCGCCTGACGTTGGCGTCCCATTATAACCGTGTCAGACTTCGTACATCCAGAACTCGCCGATACGACCGCTCGTTTGTCCCGAGGATGTCTAGGTTGTGGAACAATCTGCAAGAGGAAGCTTTTCCCAGTTCAACTAACTTTAGGCAGTTCAAAAATCGTATTAACAAAATTTCTTTGGGATCATCATAGCAGCCGCGGTGTTCCGGCATTTAGGCTTCTGCCTGCGCGGCTGCTTCGGTATATACTTAAAAAGAAAGTGGAGATAAACCCTCCCCAATCACTTAAACGTCAACAAGGGACGTTTGTGCGATTTCTATTATTTTTGTTTCTTGACTTGCAGCGCTACCACTGGACCTGTTTTCAAAAACAACACAGCTTTTTCAAACCTGATACAGTAGTAACATTGTTTGTAAATTTGATCCATATCCAAGCGGTCCTTTCCAAGTTATACACGGGCCAAGAATTGGCGGAAAGGCCGACAGACAGACCGACAGCCAGACCGAAAGAAATGAGTGACATAACGTAAAATCCAAAGAACGAAATATTCCATTTTACAAATTTTTCACGACTGTAATACTTCGTCGCTGGCCGTGTTGGAAGTAAAACGTAGTTCAGAAACGTCGAAAATGATTGATGAAAAGATAACTTTGTACGACTTGACAGTGTATTAAAGACTTATTGCAGCTTCTGTTTCAACCTTAGACCAGGCGAAAGCTTCGCATTCCTGATAAATATTTTTCGACTCGAGGACTCATCATAATTGCTTCGGACAAAGCTTTTGAAGCATTGAAGAACTTTAGATAAAAGCTATTACATGTATTTACATTTTTGTTCACAATGATGGTGAAAATCCAGAAAACCTAGTCCATGTCATATATAAGTCAACGCCAAACAAAGTGGCGTGCACGTTTCTATCACAAACAATTGCTCTATTGCAGTTTCATATTAATGTGATATATAAATTGTAAAATGGTCATTACTCTCTTATTATGGTTAATAGTCATATAAACATTGTTATTAAAATATCACATAAGTTGCTTTCTGATAAATTTAGACGCATTATGCGAAATAAAATGTTTTGCAAACGCTCCAATCACTTATCGACATGTAAACGCACTAAACCGATTTCGCAGCGTTGACACATTGTCACCTTGAAACTTATTTAAACTGGGAACTGACATTTGTATTAATTTTGACACTGAATCAATTTGTGGGATTTCAAATCTTTATAAATCCTTTGGCCCCGCATACTGTAAATCAACAACTGTTTGTTTCAAAACAAAATTATTCATTTTACGAGTAGATAAAGGCAATTTTGGTATATAAAGATGCCCAAACAGTTAAATAGTCGGTGTAAGGAACTCGTGGCCTCGTTAATGCACTACTTTGAGCAAGAAAGGGACAACAACGGGCCTTTGTTGCCTTTAAATGCTGTTCAAGAGGTAGGTTACTAATAATTATATGTAATGTATATTAATAATAGTGAAATTTTATTTCATTTTTTGTAGCGTGTTGCTGCTGCTTTAAAAATTAGTTTAAGGACAGTTAGTCGTATTTCCGAGGGTGTGAAAAGTGATGCAAATTTAGAATCGCCCAAGAAAAAGCGGAGTTATATTAAACGTGTAACCAACACAGCGACATTGGATACAAGTGCCATTCGAGAAGTGATCTATAATATGTATCACAAAAGTAAGATCTTATTATAAAAACTTATCAGAAATTTGAATTAATTTGTTAACTAAACTATAATGTCATATTACACATGGTTTCAGGAGAACAAGTTACGATACAAACTTTATGGTCTCGATTAAGAGATAGGGCATTATTTGATGGTAGTGCCACGTCTTTAAGGCGGTTGCTTAGAGATCTTGGATTTAAGTGGCTTAAGGACAATCCGCGACGAGGGCTCATGGAACTACCAAGTATAGCTTTGAAAAGGGTGGAATTTCTAAGGCAATACAATCAAGCCAAGGTTGAGGCCTTATACCAGTTTGTCTTCCTCGATGAAACTTGGATATTTCAAAATGGGACCATAGGTCGCTCTTGGCAAAATGGAAACCAAAAAAGCGTGAAAGCTATTAAAACAGATGGTAAAAAGTATGTACTTTTACACAATTTGCACTATAAAATTTAAAACTAATATATTTTAGATACATTATATTACATGCTGGAAATGAAAATGGGTTTATTGGGGGTAGTGAAGCGATATTTTCTTCGAAAACAAAATTGAGCGATTACCATGGAGAGATGAACCAGGACAATTTTTTGAAATGGTTTCAACATCAGTTATTAGAAAAATTGGAGAGTCCATCTATGATTATACTGGATAACGCCCCTTATCACAGCATGATATTGAACAAAGTGCCCAACAATGCATGGACAAAAAAAAATATCCAAGACTGGTTGACAAATCAAAACACACCATTTTTAAACACAATGTTTAAAACAGAGCTATTGAGTATTGTTGCTCCGTACATAATGCTTCTTAATTATATATATTTTGGTCGACAGTTTATATTTCTTTTGTTTATTCCTATTCTTAAAATAACTGCTTTTTTAGAAACAAACCACCTAAAATATACGTGATTGATGAATTGACGGAACAACATGGGCACAAAGTTCTTCGTCTGCCTCCTTACCATTGTATATTTAACCCTATTGAGTTAATTTGGGGCATAGCAAAAGGTTACTATAACAGACATATTGGTAGAGATGGTAACAGTGAAAAAGACTGTTTGGATATGTGGAACGAGGCTCTACAAACATTACCCCAGACATGTGGAAAAATAGTATTCGACATACTGAGCAAGAAATTTTTAAATGGTATGAAAGAGAACGAATTTTTGATTGACCAGACATCGAACCTTTAATAATCAACTTTGAGAGTGATGAAGATTCAGATTCAGACAGCGCTGAAGAAAGAAACTCCGACTAACTTTATTGTACAGAAAAAGCTTACACCAGTAGCTTACCTAATTTTAGAATGCATTTTTCTGTATGAATTCTGTAAAATAAATACCATGCATAAAATTTGGAGGACCCCATTTGGATTTTTATTCAGTACCTTTAAGCTATCAATTAAATATGGTAGTTTCATAGTGTCATCTGATCAATAATTGTCATACTTAATGATTATGCAAGTACAGATCTATAATTTTATTATACTATTATTTTTGTTCTCATTTGAGGTTAATATTGCTTATAAACCTAGATATGTAAATAATAAATTTTATTATTTTACAAAAAGTTTGGCAACAATGTAAATTTTTCAACACACCCACCTTGATGACGTGCACGCCACTTTGTTTGGCGTTGACTATAGTATCCAATAACATAATATCTCATTTTTGTATTTTTTCGCGATTACAGTACAGTACTCGTTGGAAGTAAAAATTGAGTCGGTTAATGTTTCCCACGAATGCGATGTTTCGGGCTGTAAGTACCTTTTTCTGTTTGTATTGAATGGCGAGCTCCAGCCTGGCCAACTTCATGTGTTCCCCTTCCTGGTAGGGCGGATTATCCGGATCGTGGTTCAAGATAATCGCCAACTCCTGCGAACTTCGTGTTTGCTGCAGTAAATCAACGGCGAACTGTTGACACTGTTGCCGCAGATCCATATATTCCGATTTGGATTCCTGTAAATAGTTTCCTTTTAATATCTAGAGGACGATTTCTACTTTATCCAAACATAATTTGTGCTATGTCAGAATGCTGTTATTCGGTTGGGTAATTTCTGCACTACTATTGTCTTAACGTTGCGTCCTCAGCCTACTTAGCCAATCGTAGATCGAGAATATAGAATCTATGGCCTATGTTAGTTTTGACGCGGATAAATTCCATTCCAATAAAGTTTAGATACCCTTCAGCGTGTCCCACTCTAGAGGTGTCTCATTTAAGATCACTTCAAGGTCAAGTGAACATTTCAAAATAGACGCCCCTTTTTACATCGGAATCAAAACTAGGAGGAAACTGTACATCCGAATTTGACCTCCACCATGACCTTGATAATTTTCTTAAAAACCATTTCAAGGTATGATCAAGATGTTAAAAACAATTTCGTCCATCAAACATATTCTACAACACAGTTGAGAGCTACGTGGGAGCACGAAAATGTGACCTTGAGCATGACCTTCAATGTCAAGTAAAAATTTCCAAAGGAAGCTCCTCATTTTTACAACGGACAAAGCAGGCAATTTTACATCCAAATGTGACCTTGACAGCAAAATCAAGGTCTTGTTAAGCTTAAATGCTGCTTTCGAACTAAAATTTCCAGCCTTCTCGACTTCCAGTATACAAATGGGAGACTTCCTTTGGAGATTTTAAATCAAGTGTAAAGCCGAGAGGTTCAAAATATTATCGTACGCTTCCGGTGGGTCGTTCAGAAAAGAATACGCAAATTAGAGGTTGAAGCCAAACAGTACAAAATATTGCGCAAGAATTTTTGAAAACATTTCTCCAAGAGTATGCCTTCAGACTCAAAATATTCATGATGTAAAACTGTGTTACAGCGAAAAACGTTTCGTTAATTCGAGTCTAATGTCGAACAGCATAGAATCTTGGTCAAAATGCGGAAGGATGTTTGAAAACATTTCTTCAAAAGTATGCGCTTAGACGTCTAATATGTGTTGATGATGATTTCGTTGGTTACTTGTCTTAAACACACTTGTTTGAGACCTATGCAGAGTTAGAAATTAGTTGACCTTGTTAAGCAAAACTCTCTACTGATCACATTTAATTAAGGATATACAATATACATCCCAAGCGGATAATTCTCATTTTTACAAGCCATTTGATAGTAAAACCTAAAACCTTTCGAGCCAATAGATGTGCGTCAGCAGCATACTCAGTAACCATTTTCTCGCATAGCATAGATACCAATGATCAAAGATAACTAATGTTATTCAATACACACAAACACCCAGAGAGATCTTCATACTCGATCATATTTTCTCCGTGACATCTTGTTCACAGGTATACTCTATCTTATAGTTTATGTCAACAGCTTGCAACCCACAAAACATGCTGGCAAAATGTGAGATGCAGTATCTTAGGCAACTTGATCGTTGTCCCATTCCCTCATAGGTGGCTCTCACGGCGAGTAGGCACGAAATGGGCTAGCAACTACTTAAGTTGCCATTATACCAATTGTTAATGAAATCATAAGGATTTTTTTACGTGAAACCCTTGCCGGTTTCTCTCTTCATTCACGATGTATTATCCTAAAGTGTGAACGGCTGGTTTCTAGGGTGTATACCCACTCCTATTTTTCTAATAAAAAAATAATTGTTCTTTTCAAACACAAGTCTTTATTTCTCGCGGAATCAGAGACCAAGCACTTGTCAATGCAAGAACGTCTCATCCTCATGCATACCTCCGTCCTCTACCCCCACGTCATCATATATTTCAGAATCTTCACATTTTGCCAAATCTGAATGCTCATATAAAATGAAACTCCAGTAATGCTTTCCGGTACAATGCAGGACACCATACATTAGTTATGATTAAACGAACATTTTTCTTGTCAAAAAAATCACACTTTCCCATTACCCCAACCTGCTCTATATTCAAATAAATTCATGGTTTAATATTAAAATATCAAATTTCCATATTTTCCCGCTACCTTCGTCATAATGGAGATGCATATCTACTCTAATACTCACTGGTTCCGCAAACGCGAGTCCTCTCAACTCCCAGGACAGCTGGAAAGCGGTGAGCAACGGGTCACTGGACGAAAGGGCTATTAGTGAAGGGCTCGCCAGGGCCTTGTATTCATTTAGACGCGATAGAGAGTGACGCAGGGAGTCCTGTTCTGACTTCATGATGCACTCGTCACAGCCGCATCTGAAATGGGATCTTCATTTAATTTATGAGTTTTAACTATTAAAGGGCTATTAAGAAAGAACTCGCTAGGACGTTGTATTTATTTAGGCGTGACAGAGGGTGATGCAGGAAGCCCCCTCTGACTTCACGATGATCTCGTCACACCCGCATCTGAAATGGGATTTTCATTTCGTCTATCAGTTTTAACCATTTAAAGATCTATTAAGAAAGGAGTTTTTAGCATCTTGTATTCATTTAGACGTGACTTAGAGGTATTGCAGGATGTCCTACTTTGACTTCATGGCATCTGAAATAGGATTACTTGTTGTTTGTTAAAGAATAAGCATTCTGTAATTTTGTCTATGTCTTCAATGAATTTATCAAGCAGAATTTTGTACAGCAAGAACAATACATTAATGACTGTCCTGTGAAAAAAATATGTTTTTATTGCTCGCCTAAATGGACATGTTAATGGAGTGTATAAAAGTATATCCTTTTTGTCAAAATTATCTCTCTCGGGTAAGTTGTGACAGTGTTGTTTTTAATAAAATGCTCAGTGATTGCTGTCACACCAATCTAGATATTGTATTAGGTCCGATCCATGCTTCGAACAGGGATAATTGGTGGAACTTGCGACTATAACGCAAATCCTTATTTTTAAGTCATGGAAGCTGTACCCTACTCGCAAATTTTGTCAAATGAAAAAACATGTTTTTGTACCTAAACCAGGCGATACATGAAGTATTTATTGATTTAGTATGGAGATCGGATGTCATCCTAGCACAAATCGTATAGTTTTTCGCTATTTTGCCAGATATTTCACAAGAAATCGACTATATTTATTAGAACCATTACTTCAAAGACGATTGGTCAAATTTATGCCCTAGGTGCAAACTTTAGGCTCCGGATTAGTAAAATTGGGCCTTAGGGACAGAAAATGGAGTGAAGTCATCTTCAGACTCCATGATGCACTCTCCACAGTCGTAATTCAAATAGTATTTTTGATATATATATATATATATATATATATATATATATATATATATATATATATATATATATATATATATATATAAATATATATATATATATATCAACTGCGAAGTTGAGTCATCTATTTTAACAGTAGATCTGATCAAAAGAAATGTTTTTTCCTTTACCATTTTTCTGGTAAAATTAAAGTAACAAAGTTATAGCCCTTTGGAAGTTTGAGTACCACCCTGTCTCAATAATAATATTATGTGCTCGTGTTTGGCGACAACGGATATAATCCGCCTTATCGGTTCATCGCATCGGAAACAAAAAAGCGAAAGAATTTGGAACGATGTCTTTACAATTATTTTATTCATTTGTATACAGTCAGTGTCAGTCGGTAACGCGTGAGTGAATAGTGGTGTCTGTTGCGTGACTCAAACGAAATAAAAAATGGCACATGTTTATGCGGATCGGTTTCCCAATCGAGTCCAACCAACCCCTCGTGCCTTTGTTAATGTAGTACAACGGGCTCGTGGATCAGGTGACGCCATGCCGGTGCTCCAAGACCTCACGATCAAATACAGGTCCGCACTGTAATACTTGTCGGGAGGATACTTTATAAAACAAGGTAAAATTTTTTTTTTTATTTTTTTTTATTTTTACACACATATTTTGGTTTATCTTCCTTCTACAATCATTATCTAAAAATTAATGACTCAACTTCAAAGTCACCCTGTATATATATATATATATATATATATAACAAACATAGGAAAATAATGGGCAAAATCCGCAAAAAGTGGATTCGAGCAGAAAATAGGATAGCGATACGTATTTCTGCTGGTTGGCTTCATCAGGCCCGAAATGAATGCACATATGCAACTACAAAAGTATATAACGTACACATGCCCACACATCCGGATACGGGTGTAACCTGAGGAAACGAAGATGGAGAGGAAAAAAAGACACACGAAGTCCACAACAAGAGCCAACCTACACATTGTAGTATAAAATGGCTTCAAGACCTCGAATCTTCAAGGCAACAAATAACCACAACCACGCGGCCGGTTATAGCCACTTGCTGTGGTACTTCAAGCCCAAAGGATCTACAAAGAGAGAATTATCATGCGGAGAAAGGTATATAACAAAAATAGGAAAATAATGGGCAAAATCCGCAAAAAGTGGATTCAAGCAGAAAATAGGATAGGTAACCCGAGCGATACGTATTTCTGCTGGTTGGCTTCATCAGGCCCGAAATGAATGCACATATGCAACTACAAAAGTAGATACACATGCCCACACATCCGGATACGGGTGTAACCTGAGGAAACGAAGATGGAGAGGAAAAGAAGACACACGAAGTCCACAACAAGAGCCAACCTACACATTGTAGTATAAAATGGCTACAAGACCTCGAATTTTCAAGGCGACAATTAACCACAACCACGCGGCCGGTTATAGCCACTTGCTGTGGTACTTCAAGCCCAAAGGATCTACAAAGAGAGAATTATCATGCGGAGAAACAAAACAAGGAAAATAATGGGTTGGCTCTTGTTGTGGACTTCGTGTGTCTCTTTTTCCCTCTCCATCTTCGTTTCCTCAGGTTACACCTGTATCCGGATGTGTGGACATGTGTATCTACTTTTGTAGTTGCATATGTGCATTCATTTCGGGCCTGATGAAGCCAACCAGCAGAAATACGTATCGCTCGGGTTACCTATCCTATTTTCTGCTCGAATCCACTTTTTGCGGATTTTGCCCATTATTTTCCTATTTTTGTTATATACCTTTCTCCGTATATATATATAGGTTTTTAAGTAGGGTAGGGTAGGGTTGAGCTTGCTAGTGCCTTGCCTTTTCTTTAGAATGCACGGTCACAGCCGCACCTGATATACGATTATCATTTTATTGATGCTTTTAACAAGTAAGGGGGCTATTAAGAAAGGTTTCGCTAGGGCTTTGTACTCATTAATACGCCACGGACTTGACCGTAAAAGAGTCAGCAGACTAGACTTTTACATTGACATGGAGTTCATCTACAACTGTTGTCAATTGTCAATTAGAATGGAATAATTAAACAAGATGTTCGAACCCATTCAAATATACATCATTATTTAAAAATATCACACTGTAAAAAATATGTAACTTTAGACGAATAAATAAATAAGTCACAAAAGCAAAGCCTTAAGCGTGTCATCGAAAGAAATAAAATAATTTGCCTTGTAAAATACATAGACGTAAATTAAGTAAATTAAGAAAAATAATATTATCCACTTTTCTGCATTTGAAAAAGTGGTGGATGTGCTTGCTAATCTGATTGGATAAACTGGTAAAATCGAACAAGGTGCGTTAATCTTGATTTCTGATTTGCCCTATAATTCTAAGTGAAAAAACTGAAATCTACGTGTTGAATAAATTCCTTATCGCTTCCGTACTGAGCCGTATCTGTGGCCAACATTTGTGAAAAGTCTGAACGCACATGCTAAACTGATTAAACAAACTGGTAAAAATAATAAGGGGCATTCTTGTTTTACGATTTTTCATCTGATTCTCTGAGAAAATATTGAAAATCTACGTTTTGAAGGACTCTTATTATTATCGGCCTGAAGCATAAGCAGAAAATTTGTGACTGATTTTTGTGAAAAGTGGTGAAGGGAATGACTTCCCTATTACTGTGCATCTACGGGTCCAGCTTGTCTCAAGCCAAACCTGTTCACGATGCACACGCCAATGGTCATATCTAAATTAGGATTTTTAATCCATAAAATACCATTATATGACTGGACAAGGGGGCTATTATGGACGGACTTCCTATGGTTTTGCATTTATCCAAAAGCTATTACTGATGACGTCGAAATTAAAGTAAGTAGTTATACTAGGATGATTCTGGACCAACAAATCTGTCTTAGAGTCTTGGAGGAAAGTCATTGCTGAAGGAGTCTGCAATGACCAGCAAGTTTGAAAGAAATAATCTGAAATAGACTTATTGAAAATTATGTATGTCAACTTTTAGCTCTCATTGAATGGAATGAGTTGATACCAAAAGAAAATAAACATATAACCAATTACTTAGCGTTGACTATACATTTCAAAGACTTTCTATCAACACTTCAACAGTGTCTTTTGATGTCTGTCCTAAATGTTCTGGGGAATTCTGATGTGTTCATGTGTAGCTATTGCTCTAATGTTCCTTCTCTGTTAACTCTGAGCAGTCTACTTGATAGACAGTAATAAAAAACGGCATGTTTGTTGATGAAAAAAAACAAGTTGAAGCTACTGGGAGTTATGAAACTTCCAAGCGGTGGGATACCGGTTATTCCCACGCGTGTTTCCGACGCTTCAACTAACGGCAGAAAGTTACTAACGAGAACAGGGGGATTCTATTAAGGTAGATTACTTTGTCGGAGCTATATGAAGACACGGCAAAAAGAAGTCACTGGAAAATAGCTTTCACATGTAAGTGAAACAGTCGCTTTCCATCGGTTACCTTCCATGTACTAGGGGGGAATTGTTTCGATAAATGGATGAGATAGAAAGTGATATAATACATAAAATAAAGGCTTGACGGTATTATAGCAGTTATTGTTTGTGTTTTTTCTATGGCGCAAGATATTGATTGTATTTTTTTAACCTATTAGTCGTTCTTCGTAGCCCTTTACTACTTAGACTTACAGGTCGCTGATTACAGATTATTCGTAAGGGACTTTACACTTTGGGCCTCTGCTACTGGCTATGAGATGTTGATCGTGTAGGATACGTTATATAAAACTTGAGTCGGCTATAAAAGAACTAATGAACATTTTTTCATATTTCTGGTTTTATTTGAAAGGTTGAACATTGATATTTGAAAATAAGACACAGTATCTTTCAAAAGACAACTTTCAGTACTTTTCGATTGTTTGGGCTTGAACTTCCTAATTGGCAACTTTGATTTCATGTTTAAGTGTCAATTGTCTCTATATGGTTAATATAGCATTCATCATCATCAACAGTTTCCCACAGAACATAGTCCAACAGGTTCAAAACGCAGCGCCGAGATCGTAAATTGGCGTCAGCATTTCTACTGATTATTTGGTTATCGAAAACAATATCTAAAAGGTCATCGTTACGTTAGCTGTATGGCAAGTCGCGCCATCCTATTGAAATTAAAAGTCATTCATATACTTTCAACAAAAATTCGTTCAGAAATGGTGCCGTGCCTTCTTGCAAATTTTTGAAAAAGAAATGACCCAGTAACGTCGTCGGACAAGAACTGCACCACAGTCACTGGATATGGGTGCAATGTCGGACGTATGGATTCTCTGATCCTCAAAAGTACATTTCGAGTTGAAAAACGTGATTTTTCTTCAAAAATGCTTATATGCTGCCAAGCTATTTTCGGCTCCTTGGACGAACCGAATCTCAATCGGAAATCTCAAACATAACACTAATTTTCTGATATTTCATAAATTAGATTTCAGCTTTCGATGATAACATAACAGCTACTTCAAACATATAACCAAGCTGCTTTCCAGTGGTTTTTGGTTTGAGAATGCTCTAGAAACAAGGCATGAGGATACAACGTGCAGTGGAACGGTATTGGTGCTTAGCACTACTGAGTTACTCCGATTAACTCAACAGGGTCACTGGCAAGCAGCTCTTGCCTCCCTAGACATCTACTTTGTGAAATAAGACCAATGTTGGAAAAAAAAATTAAAAGCAACTTACTTCAATAAAGTTGAATAAATATTTGAGGTGTACTGATACTCACTTGACATCATGAGGCAAAGGAACCGTGGCACCCCTGTCAAGAAGGAGCTTTAGTATTTCGTAGTTATTCCTATGGGCAGCCAGGATGAGTGGAGTCAAGTCAGGCATGAACATGGCGGTGTTTATGTCAACTTTTTGCCAGCTCTGTAATGTAACACAGAAAGTGAGAAATAGCCTCCGGACAAACATCTTTGACGATAAGCTTTTTTAATACAACTAACTGATACCAGCATCGCAGACAACGCTATTGATGTATCTGACTTGGTGTGAAAATACTAAGTTAACGGCCTAGTAGATGAGATAAGGCGTTATATACAATTCCAACATCACATAAACAGCTGTCATTGTCAGATGCTTATTTTTAACAAGGTAATACAGAACTACCATATTTGCTATTTATATTCTCCCAGATCTTATATATATGTTCTAAAATGACGATTCTTCAGAAATTCAATCGATTCTACTTTCTAAGGTTCCCGTTGGGATATTGCTAGACTTATGATGCATATATTTGCTAATTAATTTTCTTGCTTTCATTTCAGACTCACAGATAGTTTTCCGTGTTTAGGTGCTTCAATAAATTACTGATGGTCCAAAGGTTAGAGAGCTATTTAAGGCTGCTTAATAATATATAACATTTCCTACAAAGTAAAAAGTGCACATCTGCAAGTATTTCTTCCGGGATTAAAGTAACGCAGTTTCATTTGCATTTTGTAAAGTAATAATCTCTCACGTCTGGAGTATTGTGCAGAGTCATATCCAAAAGCAGGTTTATGAATACCATGAATTCATGCTCCGAATCCATATTGCTGGCAATTTACAGCTGTAAATTTCACAGCGGCCTAGATTTGTAATACTCGGCCATTCACTTCAGTAGCGTAACTTGATAGCCGAAATTTTGCTTGATGAGGGACTTGAAGACTAATGTGAAAAGCATGCGAACATTTGCTTATATTTTGAAGTTCAAGTTGATACCAATTATTTTCATGCAAAAATAGCCGCGAAAGTAGATCCTACCGTGACTTTTTGAGTGAAATTGACGTAATCTTAAACCGATTTATGAACTACATAATGTTGGTAAAATTGGGGTAGCCCTCTATTGGCGAATTATTCCAAGTTATCGATACACTAGGAACAAACGTCGATTCCGGTGAGAATGAGAAACCAAGATGCTTTTGTTTGGCGAAATGTAACACCCACGCGCAATTGCAGCATTCAGCATTCTGAACAGCAGAGTAAATCTCTGAAGCATCCCAATTTTTTATTAAATTTAAATAAATTCAGAAGTACATCTAATATGCCTCTTTCGCTCACGTTGTGAAATTTTTAACCTTCCCATTATTCAAAGTCAGGCAACAATGACTTATGAACCTGTAGACTTGTGAAGGTAGTTCCTAAAAACCAATATTTCAACAGTTATTTAAACATTGTCATAAATTAGTACTTCTCAAGGCCGCTCAGCAGGGACATGCTTCTTCTCATCTCAAATAACTCACCTAGAGCTATGGGTTGAAAGAATGTATAACAAAGCAGCCTTGAGAAATTGCTGGAAATTATTTCCAGCTTCCTTAAATGGACCTTACATTTAAGATAATGTCAATATTCTTATTCTCCATGTCTGGACAATCCTGGTGTCTATACTAAGTGACATATAAATCCGAACACCCAGTTTAAATGGTTTTATTTTAATAAAAGTTGGTGAATGTATTTATCATTCTGTAAATAACAAGTGAAAAAATTTTCAGCCCTATCAGTTGGACATTCCGGTTTTTATACTGCTTTTTTTTAATTCACTAACGCTCTAAAAATGAATATTTCAGCCGCAGTAAAGAATCAACGTTAGCGGATTTTGGTTCTTGACATCCTTTACGATCGGTTACGATGCCTAGAGTACGTAGGCCTGTACGATTTCGTCAACTTAGTGAGTTTAATAGATACGGCCCCTAAGGAGGAATCCACAGTTTTTTGTTGAAAGACATTTTCATCACACTGTTGGAGTTATGGTTTGGGGTGCTATAGCTTATGGTTCCAGGTCACCTTTAATCTTCATCAGAGGTAACATGAACGCGCAGCGTTATATCCACGAAGTTCTAGAACCCCATCTTTTACCCTATCTTGACACCCTGGCAGATCCAACTTTCCAACAAGATAATGCCCGACCACATGTTGCAAGAGTCACAATAGACTTCTTTCATCATAATGATGTCACATTGTTACCATGGCCACCAAGATCTCCCGACTTATCCCCAATTGAGCACGTGTGGGATATGATGGGTAGGAGATTGCTCAATTTGCAACGTCCTCCTCAGACTCTAGAAGCACTTCGAGAGGAGTTGGTGGTTGCCTGGAATGAGATACCACAGGAGGACATTGACCACCTGATCAGAAGCATGCCTAGGCGCGTTGGAGAATGCGTAGCACATCAGGGTGCATCCACACATTATTAAAGGTCAAAGAGCTTTAAAGCAGTGCAATCATTTTGAAATTTTTATCATTTACTTATGATGCTTCATTAAGTACTTATACAAAATTTTATTAAAATAAAACCATTTAAAGTGGGTGTTCGGCTTATATGTCACTTAGGATGTAACTGTATTAAAACTATTCGTGGTCCGCTACAATAATGAGCATGCAACCCCTGTCAGGTATGGTATTGAGCGGCGCCACTGTCGATATTACAGATGTTAGTCGCAACCGCTTTAATCTTCCGTATCTAGTTAACGTGTAGGTTTCGGGTGTTACCGTTGACAAATGAAACCGTAACAAAGGGATATGAATAACAATGATGAGCGCTTTAGAACAAGAAGGCGCATACGTGCGGAAGGTTCAATGCCGCATGTGCTCATCTATGATAATCTGGGGTAGATCATGATTTTGCAAATGCTTTGTCGAAGGGTAGTCATGGAATGTGTCCAGGACGTTAAAGGACAACACATCCCTTAAAGGATAGGCGTACCTGAGACATGTATCTACTAAAGCTGAAAGAGGTTACGACTTGTTGGATATGCCAAGATCCTGAACAAGGTACAAAACTTTACTATTCTCATCCAAGCAAACTCTAGGATTGAGAATTTTTGCCTATTTTAAATCTGGAAGGCCAAATGTAATTTATTAAATTGAGGTTTGCTTACATATAGCTCTCCTTCCTTATGTATGAGCTCTTCGTGTTCCAAAAGGAGTTCAACAGCTTCGACAAACTCCACGTTGATAGCGTGTAACAGAGAATCTTTCGTATCTACTCCCATGATGATCAGTAATTCGACCATTTCCAAGTTTTCTTGATCGATGGCTATGGTCATTGCTCCTCTACCAAAACTGTCCACACAGTTGATGTCCAGGTTGGTCTTCTTCCTGTGGGCCTTTTGCAGCATTCTGAAAGTAGAAGAACAAGTCATTGGTATATTCAGACGTTGGTCAGCCTCCTGCATTATTTACAAGTCAATCTAGTTTATTTCTAGCGCAAACATTCAGGACGAATTTTATCCATTAAACGTTTCCGGCAAGAAAATAAAATTGGACGGTTTTTGCAATATGATAGATGTACCAAGTTAAAGATGTTGGGATTTTAACCATGACTTATGCTTTTAGATCCGCTTTTTATAGGTACAGACTTTGTTTCAATGTATGATGTTGACTCTAACCTTGTTAAAACTAGATAAAACTCGAACATAATTTGTGGAGTATAAATACTCAAATTCAGATTAGGATAATATAAAATTGTTAGTAATTAATAACATTGAGTTCCCCGAACTGGTGTGAAATACCAAATCAGTAAAATTAGGTATGTCAGATATAGGCACCCAAATAGTTTTAGAATTCGCACTGTTTTCGAAAATTCCTGAAGTGGGTCACACGTAGGTTTATGGTAAGTAGAGTAGTATTATCTTCATTGCCTTTTAATTTTAAATTCCCCACCATGAATAAATTTACAAACGTTAGTGAATTTGGACAAGAAATGCTTTCTTGACCAGTAATGGACAATGAATTGATGCCTAAACGATTATTTATCTTACAACATCGCATTCATCTATGACCAAATAAGAACAGCACGCTGTCAGCTGTTTTGTGGACGCCATGGTTTGGGTTACATTTTTCGCTAATTCATTCACCTTGTCTAATTGTCTCCTCTTGGTGTAACCATTCTTTGTTCAAAATAATATGGGTAATAGGCTAACAAGTATAACAGTGCACTTCCATCAAAATTTGAATGGACTCCTGGCTACCAAATAGTTAAAACGATAATGAAAGATTACTGTCTGTCACTTACTTACGAGCAGTAACGCACTATATGTTGTATCAACTTTGGTGTGATCAATAGGATATTTTCGTAACAACTAAACTACAGGCTATGAAACTTTTTACTGAATCGTTTTGATGAATCTCTTTGAGACTGAAAGCCACAACGAGTGATAGCTGTCCGAAGAATGTAGGAAAAAGAAATGTGATTAATAATGAGAAAGTATTTCGGTTTTATCCAGCTATACGAGCTCGGACCAGCTTCAGTTGGCCCACTTGGTAAATTTACAATTATTGGCATATATTGACGATTATTTAAACTAATAGAGGCATAAATCTTAATTTTTATTTTGCAAACAGCATCTTAAAATTCTATTACACAAAAAACTAAACTATTCATAACACTGACGCTGACTAGAGCGAAAAAAGGGGAAACAACAAAATTTGAGATTTTTATCTAAAAGAAACAAGAATTCGTAACTCAGTTTACCACTGAGTAACATCACCTTTATTTTTAATTACAGCTTCAATTCGTCGAAGCAAAGTATTTATTAAGTCCTGACACTCATCTGGAGTGAAAATATCCCAAATGTTCTGCAGTTTTTCCTTGAGTTCTTGCACAGTCCTGGCAGGACTGGCTGTCAGCCTCTTTTTCATGATGTGCCATAAGGTTTCGATGGTGCACACGATTCCTTCTCTCCATATCCCAATTTCGATGGTTTTTAGCCCATTTTAACCTGTTTTGCTTCTGCTTTAAGGGAAATAATGGTTTTTCTTTAGCCTGCTCCAAAGGAAACAATAATTAGATCTTGTTGCTTAGGATTGAACTCCTGAAACTTACCTTGTAAGTACCATAACCTAGTTTTCTTGCTTCTGAATGACACGAAGACCTGCAAACACGTCTTCCAACAGCTTCACTCCAGAGTACACTCAACTCTCCGTAGTTAGCGTGTCTATTAGACTTGACAATTCTGCCCAAAGCTCGTCTATCAGGGTCTGTTAATTTGGATTTTTTTACATATCTGGGTTTTTGGACAGTTGAACCATTTGATTCGTATAATCTTACAATATTTCGAACACTGCATCTAGATAACCCGAGTCTTTCCTCTGCTTATTTTTGATAGCAACTACGAGGTACGGCCGCCTGATAAATTAAGGTTCGCTAAAACGAGCGAGCTTCCTTGACAAACAAGCATTGGTACCACGTCCGTCTTGACAAATCATCGTTTGTAATATTTTGGGTATTGAAGTTTTTTTACAGTTGTCGATTTTTTATGACACAACATACTCTACTGAATCCATATATTTCCTAAATTACTATAAATAGCATATTTTGTCTTATATCGTACTATATCTCCTATATTCTAGTGGTTTTTTTGCCAATAAAAGTCAAAAAAAACTACAAATTTTGTGTGTGGGCCTACTGAAGCTGGACAGCGCTCGTAATTATCGGTGAATGACGTATTGAATGTAAATCGTGGTAAGATACTTTGCATAATGTTTTTGTTTGTTTGATCAATCCCATTTCTGGTGTATTTTTATTTTTAAAATACTAGGTGAAAATATTAGGTAGCATCGAAAATATTCTCATTCCTTCTTTCAAATTTTACAAGAGCGTTTCATGCATAAAACGAGTTTCTAAACAAAATCCATCTCTTAATAAAGTTTCACAAAGTTCTATGTCACCTGGTATAATTTTTACATACCTTCTAACATTAGGCAAGTCTCCTCTTTCAACAGCCAAAAGAAATCTCTTCTCTTCGACGGTAAGTGCACTTGGCAATTTCGGCATAATCAATGTCTTCCTGCTTATAGAAGCCTCTAGATCCTTATCCTCCTGAAAAGTAAGTATTTTTAAAACTTCGGAATAGGGAATGACCCAGAAACGAAGCCGCAGTCTTTAGGAATGTTTAAATGTGACGTTCATGGGTGATCTATGTTAAACTCTTTGCTACCTGTCTACACTGCTTGAAAAAGAAAGCTTTCAAGTTCCTATTTTCAAAAGTGCAAAAAGTATCTAGTTATGAAAACAATACTTTCATATTCCTAGTTGTACGCATTTAAAGAAAGCAAATCTACCGGAAAACATCTGCTTAAATATATTTGATTCCGGCTCATTCAAATAAAAATCAAATCCTTAGGAACTTTTTTGAATTTTTGGGGAACATATTGAAATCTTTCTTCCTCTAACTTTTTGTTTCTTAGATTTGGATTGTGGTGGATCATTATCTTCGCACGCATATGGGTAGTTTTTTGAACTGAGGACAAAACCTATGTTAAGTGGAATAGTCAAAATATGAAAGATTTAAATGTATGGCCATTTCAAGAAAATCAAGCGACAGGAAGCTGAAAGCGTAACCAGGAAACTGAGAAAAACACGAAAATGAATCAAAATGAACATTATTTTAGTAGATATTTTGTTTTTACAGTCTCCGTTATTTTTTTTATATCTACTTAAATTTTGTTTGAACTTTGCAGTCAGCATATTTCTTCTAAAACGGTGCTTCTGTGATAGTTCTCTGGGTAATTTTAAACGTGGATTTAATGGCATAGGCAATAACATGTATGGAATGGGGGTCACGTGATACCTTAATTTGGAGCTCCTCATTTAAAATTCATAGCCCTAGAATATAAAATCACTATATTTCAAAATAGTAGACTGCAAAGCTGCCAAGGTTGTATATTGAATCGCATATAACTCAACACCTAATCATCAAAATATTATGATATGTTACATCAATCTTCTTTTGGAACGATCTATCTGAGTGCACATTATATACGGGTTAATCCTTTTAAAGAAATGACAGATTTTGACATTCTTTTCAATGTTCGATACTTTATTACATATTCGAAAAAGTTCTTCCAAGAAAAGAAAACTGATATAACATACTAGCGTTTTGATGATTGGTTGTTGAGTTATAGATGACTTAATTTACAAAAACGCTCAAATTTGTCAGCCTGTAATGCCGCTATTTTGAGAGACAGCAGTTATACATTCCAGGATTATCAAGTACTCAAGAACTTCAAAATAAGGTATCACATGTACCTCAATTCCTTTGAAATTTTCAACGGTCACTTTTACGCAGAAAAATAAGATTTATGCATCGATTTCATTACCCAAAATTTCAGCTCCGTAACTTGATCCATTAAAAAGTAGATTGGAACTTGCCTATCAAGTATTGATACAGAGAACTAGAGATGTTAACACATATGTCTTTGGCTGTCTCAATGATTTTGGAAAAGCATTTAACAAGGTATGAATGAATGAATCTTGAAATTAGAGGCTTTCCGGCCACCATAAGGAGCCAGTGCATAGGCCGCTTAACCGGGCCCTTATGCACCTCTACAATCCTTAGATCACAAGAATCGCCCTTTTAGCGAAGTTGAGAATCACCTTGAGTCCAAGCTCCTTGACGTCCTGAGGGTCCAAAGTAATGGACCCCTGCCTATAGTAGCTCAGAGCTTCACAGCGACACAAACGTGCGCCGAGGTCTCTTCCTCTACCCCGCAGCGTTCACACAAGGGATCCTCAGCCACCTCCATCACGTGCAAGTGACGCCTTAACGTGTCATGGCCAGACAACAGTCCCACCAGCAACTTAGGTGGGCTCTATCTAGAGATAGGCAGAAACGTCCATCCATTTAACAAGGTAAGGGAACATCGAAGACAAGAATAGTAGCAGAACTCTAGCTCCGTGAACACGATCAACGATACAGAGGAGGATATATGACAAATTTAGTATACGTAATGTCACTCGCACTGTCAAGACGACTCGTATAACAAAAACCATAAACCCCTTGGAATGACCTCGACGAGGAGCAACATATTGTAAGATCCGTCAGGAGATATTTTAGGGCCAACGGCGTCAGTGGCAGTAGTGCTTCCCTTAGTGATTTTTCCTCACAGAAATCTTCAGAAGATTCCTCAACTGAAGAGCTGCACGGCACATCAGCGGAATCTCCTGAGACTCCGCATTGCACACTAGCAGAGCTACAAGGTCATATTAAAGACCTCAAGGTGCGTTAAGCACCTGGAGAGGATCGAATCACTAATAAGGCGCTGAAGCTACTTTCGCGGAAAGTCCTTAACTGATCTCGTGGCAATAATCAATCCCATGCTAAGGACCCAGCACTTTCCAACGGCGTGGAAGACCGCGGATGTCATAATGATTCCAAAGAAGGTGCGTTCGATATTCCCCCAGGATGACCGCCCCATTAGTCTACTGTCAGCTCCTTCTAAGCTCGCTGAAAAGGTGATTCTACGACACCTCAAAAATTTCTCGGCAGACCACAATGTGATTCCTGACGTGCAATTTGGCTACAGGCCATAAGTCTTGTTGAACGAGTAACCAGGTGGTTCACCCATAACGAAAGTACTGGCAACTTGCTTCTGGATGCCTCAAAGGCATTTGACAAGGTGTGGCACAAGGGCCTTTTCTACAAACTGATCCATAAGGGATCCTTCTGGCTCCTAAAACTTTTGAAATCCTTCCTCGAAGGTAGGAAATTTCGGATCAAAATTAATAACCTTCTGTCGACAACACGGCCCATCAAAGCAGGTGTTCCTGAGGGTTCGGTTCTTGGACCAGTCCTTTATTCACTTTTTATTCATGACGTCCCTTGCTCCAGCAACTGTGAAACCTATCTCTATGCTGATGACACTGCCCTGGTGGCCCAGTCGTGCTCTGGGGAGCTAGTTCACGACAGGCTGCAAAGTACAGTGGACGAGGTATTGGAATAGGCGAATCGGTGGCTGATCAAAATTAATCATTCGAAAACGCACGCAATCTATTGTACTAAAAAACGAAGCGGCGCCCCGTCTGAGGTTTCAGTGAATGGAGCTCGGGTACCATGGGAAAGCTTGCTAAGTATCTCGGTGTCACTCTTGACAAGAGGATGACCTGGTAGAAGCACACTGAAGCGTTAAAAATTAAATTCCAAATCTCGTTTCGGCAACTCTACCCTATGCTATGTAGAACATCAAAATTAAGTTTGATCAACAAAGTTCGGCTTTACAAAATGGTCCCTTCACAGAGACCTTGACCTCCCTTACCTAAGGGACTACATCAAACAACAAGCGCAGCTACGTTATAGTCAATCGCATAACAACCCTTTGTTGCGCAAGTCAGTAGACTACACAGTCGGGCAAGTTCGCAAGCACACAAGGCCGCGACTCGCACTGTGAACAAAATTAAATCGTGCGACTTTAGGTCCAACCAATCCCAAAATTAATTTTAGGATCAATTTAAAATTGTCGAATACTAACTAGCAATGCCAAGGCACCCCTCAAATTGATGTACTTCTTTTATCTTTGCTGTCCCTCCTTCCTTCCTTCCTTTCTTCTTCCTTTCATTCTCCCTGACTTTGTTTGGTATCTGGGCAACCAGACCTGATAGACCTACTAACTTACAAGACTTCAACCTAGAGCAAATAAGGTCCTACGGACCGCTCTGATAGACAATGACGAATAGACGCCCGTGGAATAACAATTTTCAAAGCTCAAATTTTTGTTAAAAGTCCGACATTTGATAAAATTTTGTATACCCAATGTCACTTGCACTGTCAACACAAATCTGGGGATAATAATAGCCCGTGAAATAGGCAATTCAAAGAAGGTTTGTTCCTATTAAAATCTGCCATGTTATTTTTATAAAAATTTAACATAGCCTGTGCCACTTGCACTGGTCACGAATCTAATAACACTTCATATATGAAAATCTATCAAGCCGTTTGGCTTGTAGCCAGTGAAATATAACATTTTGTCTGCATATGCATATACTCGTAAACCTAGGCGCGAAAACCACAACCTTCCTTCTGAGGCAGTCGGGTAAGTACTCTGTTGTATACCGTATCAGGCTAACCAACCTCAGCTAACCGTATATCCTTTACCAGATAGCCAAAGCGATTGTTTAGCGTGGTGTTCCATGATTTGCAGTGAAATGATCTCATTAACTCTCACCTCTATCGTAACTGACAATGAGTTGTATTCATATTTATTCAGGTGGGAAGAACAATGTTTCCTTCTATGAACTCTTTATATAGGACTGTTGAAGAATAGTCAGGTCGAACAAGGTTTTACTCAAAAGAATCTACAGTAAAGTTTTATTCGCTTAAAAAACACCCGTTTTTATTATTTTTGCTAACCAAATAAAAATGTTCTAATCAGTAACGAATGGAGTCTTTCAAGAGAAGGCAGGACTTTCGCGCGATTAACCGTATTTTTTTCTGCCTTTATAATCGCTTGTCCTAGAAAAATAAATACTAATCAATTGCTTTAAGTTTGAAGCATGAGAAAAAAAATTACATATAATAGTTGAATACCTATGATAATTTCTACAGAATTATCGAGTAATTAACAACCCTATTGATTGGTCTAGTACTCAAGCTCAGAATATAGACAGTGGTTGCTGCTCCACAAGCTGACATACTGACAAAAAATAAAAGTTGTCAACTTACGTCATTCTCCATGTTTTCGCAGAGGTTTTTCAAGTGATTCTAGAAAATCAAAGCAGACTGTATAGGGGGGATCACAACGAATGTCTCTGAACAGGCATAACTTGTAGAATAGTTCCAAATAAATCAGGACTGCCGTCTTACACACTGTGGCAAATCTTAATTGTATTATATGTGGGGAGAATTATGAAGCTTATTAAATAAGTGGATTATATACGTATGTACCAAATGCTGCTGGCCTGGTTTTCCTAAATCGATACACGAGGGAATGTATTCATAACTAAACCTGGCGATTTTTGTTTACTTTAAAAACAACGCGGTGCAAAAAAGAAGAAACTGAGGAGAGCAAAACGAGCAGCGTTTCAGGAAAACTGAAGTTTCAGACTGCACTACACTGAAGATTCTGGAAGCTAAAAAAACTCCTACGTCCTGGATATTTAAGATACAAGTATATCGCAGAAACAGCTATTAACCAGATATGTTTGTACTGAATCAAATGTTTAGTCACCTGAACCCCGACAAGCTGGAGCTAATGGCTTCCCGCAAAGCTTGGCTATCCATCAAAACCGAATATGAGTTTGGTTGCTTCTTGTTATGTGGTGGGGTACATTTATTTTTTTAACGAAGCAAACCGTCAATCAAAGATGAAGGAAAACTGCAGATTTTTGCTATCCACGTAGGGGTTCACGTTTGGGGAACCTCTTAAGTGGCTGTGTCACTTCTATATCCAATATAATATTGAGTTTTTCAGTAGACTCATATTCGCTTGGTTGTTTCCAATAAGTAGATCTATACCGCAGTGATAATTGCTAAAAAACATGAAACATCGTTATGTAACAAGCTGAAACCCGAAAAATGAGAATTTGTTCATCAAAATACGCTTTTCAGAATCAGACATGGTTACAGGCCATGTTTCACAGGAAGCAACTCAAAATCCGTGTGCATCTGAGAGAGATAGTGTTTCGCGAGTATTTTATTTTATAGTTGGTTAAGGAAATACGAATTTCTTATCAAATAGCTACGGAGAGCAAGATACATAAACAGTCGCCTATGCAGATGGTCGGAATCATACTATCTTTACTATGTAGTTGGGATGAAAAATATAATTAAAACAGTGAAAAGCTTTCAAAAAACCTAATTTACAGACAATAATTACCCTTAAGTTCTTTGCTTCTTGGTTTATAGATTGAGTTATGGGATATCCAGACTTTTTAGAGAAAATCCGACGATATCCAAGTCAGTCTCCAATTGTTCTCTACCAGAGTGTCCAAATTGTGTCTAGTAGATAAACTCTGCCATTCCAGGTATAAATATTTATCCGTATTTCTAGTAGATAGTGTCGCCATGTCTCAAGGATAAAATAGGCGATTTGATTTATAATTTCTCCCCCAATCAGTTTAAGTATCTTAGACGTCCAGTTACCTAAATTGTTTAAGTTTATTATCATTGATGACTGTATTTATATAAGCTTATTTCACGGTGTTTTTAAGCTATATTCAGCCTTTTAACGGTGAAAGAATGATTCTGTTTCTGGAAGTACTTATAACTTTTATACTAAATGTTATTTAATTTTTGTTGCATTTTCAATTCTCACTGCCCTTGATTAGATATTGAGATAGTCGCCAGTCCACTGAATTTTTTAGAGTGTGTATATCAACGCCTATATCAACATTCTGTTGCTGTCTTTGCTTTAGTAGTTTACTAATTAATCTTAGGTGGATTGGGAGAGTAAAAAATGCCCCTTTCACAATACTGTTAGAATAGAAAACATGTTTGCGAGTTCATACGAAAATCCCCCTTTTACACTACTGTTGACTTTGATCGCAGAGTCAGAAAGCAGACATGCCCTATTTCGCCTGTGCTTATTGGTTGAGGCAATGTATCTCTTAGAAGCAGTAAACTTCGTAACTACGTGAGGCAGTGGTAACTTATTGGTCTTTGGTCAACCTCAGATATCGGTTTGGTATTTGTGGGACAAAAAGTATCAATTGATGGGCTTGGGACAATAAGTCACATTAGAAAAAACACCATATTTCTATTTAACAGCACTCGTGGCGTAGGTATCTATGCCTGGAATTAAGTTTTTTGGCCGATTGCTGATAGATCGTATTGCTTAACTGAAGCTTAATATAAGCTGGACCTTATCCCACAAATTAGAGTTGCACCATATTATTTGTAAGTTTAAGAGAAGCTCAAATGTCAACAAGATAAACCGAAGATTTTTTGAGGTTAATCTGCACATAACCTTAAAATAGTTTTGATTTTCAGTCAAGTTCTGAAGGTTGTGAAGTGGTTTGAGACGAAATATAATAGAACTTTTAGATGAAATATATAAAATTAACCTCATTATATTTGATTTGGGAAGAATGAATCAAAGAATGGACTATTCTTGTTTCTTAATAGGTTTTTTATATTGTAATATTTCCTTAATCAGTTCTGGATTCTAGGATAATTTTCCGGTGATAAGGAATAGAAGAAATTTGTAGTCGTTTCCCAGATCTCGTCCTTCTCTCTCCAAGTGAGGGCAATTTTATATTATACGTATATGTTTATATTCGAATATAATGTTTAGCAATAAATATTTTTGTTGTAGGAAAGACTTGGCAGCTCTTTTTTGCAGCAGAACTCATGATGAAGAACAAATTTGTTATAAATGAATATTTCACACATGTAAAATACTTAATAGGACTTTTGGCACGATCGTATGTCAGCACAATAGTGGGGTTCACTTGTTGCACGGTGCTCTTTAGTGCAAAGGTACAAATCTCTAAAAAACATGCTTGCCAGGTTAATAGAACGCTTAGCTAAGCACTTTTTAAGATACGACGGTGCAACCTAAATTCAATCTAAGGTGAACCATAAAGATAAGCTTCACGTTGCTAAGTGGTATATTTAAAAATGACGGTTCACTAAACTCCAAGATGTCCGTTAAACGGAAATTAATCGATGTTGAAAGCAATCGATATTTTAATTTAAACAGAATACACATATTTTTCTGGATTTAATTTCGATGACAGCGTGAAAGACAGACACGATCCTCCGACTGATAAGAATTCCGATAGTAAATCTGACTGAGTAACTCAGACGGATAAATAGGCTTATCGCTTTACTGCTATTACAGATGTGGCTTTAACTTCTGTTCCATAGGAAAACTATTTTTGTATTTGTTTGACAAAATGACTAGATCATGATTTAAAACCAACTATTCACCAGAATATATCAGTACCCTCATATCGTAGAGCTCAAATAGCTTTAATATGTGTCAATAATTATCTGCTAATTGGTACAGCTTCCATGGCGGGCTGAGCGAAGTTCCCTTGATTGAAAGGTTCTTGCCTTCTGTGATCTAGCTCCTCGTATTCACAGAGGGGCCGAGACCCTGTGCCATATTTTCTGCAGTTACACAATTCTATTCTGGGTAGGTGTCCTGTAGGACCATGATTGTATTCTGTTAGAATGCGGATTAAAATGACAAGGTTATTTTCATTTCTATTTTAAAGCTGACCATTAAATAAACCACTTCTATCCACTTAGTATAAGACACACATGAAAATATCCCTGTAATCCTTGTAGTAATAAAAGTGTTAGCGTATCAATCCTTAATTAAATTAACGACATATTGATCGCTCAATTGTAAGATTTCGGGAGGATCTAGCGTGCTGGCATTTTTACTATTCAGCATAGGATGGTGTAAGTAAAAGTTGGGATTCAACCCTTATATTATGGTGAGTAAATACGTGTTTCCTTTATCCTAAGCTTCTTACCTATATACAGGCACAATTTACACGATTGTAGACCTGAGGCTTATTCACATTGATATCAGCATTTAGCAGTTATAGGTACTAGTATTGGCCGAATTTCAATCGGCTATTTCTTCGATGAAACCAACTAGCTTTTAAAAGTCTTATAAATTCGTTTTCTAATAAACATTTTAATAATGCCCCAGTCGATTTTTTAAGGTTTGCTGTTTAATTTGTGGATAAAAAATCGCTTTTGTTTGAGATCTAAGTCCTTGGCAAATTTTAACAGAGGGCTAAAGTAATATCCTTTGTTTAAAAACTTATTTTCAATAGAAGTTTGACATCATGCCACTCGTAAAAGACCTATTGAAGCTCGACCAGATACTTCACTAACATTCCTCATAAACTAATTGAAACTTTATTAGCTTAAATAATGTTTTTTTTTTGAAATTTAAGCTCAAAGCATTCTACTGCTAACTTCTTCATTTTGAATTTTCGCCCTATACCTTCAAGGAAGATTATTATTCAGATCAACGGGACATATCTTAGAAGCACAGTTTTAAAAATCGGTAAATGGGGCCGATTTATCCTCATTCTAGTCTTACTAGAATTCGTTTTTGAACCATCTAAGAGCCCAAAGAAAATCGGGACACAATGAATTGATTTGGGGGATGTATCTTTTGTAATGGGGAGGATTGAAATGTGTACCAAGAACAAATTTCATTTCATTTCATTCCTTTATTGGTGCTTAATACACTTGCGTGCTTACCCAGGTCAAGGTAAAATTTAAAATGCAAAACTGTAAATTCACAAAACAATAACGTTTGTTCGAAAGAATTGCAAAAAAACACACTAACAGAAAAATATCAGATAAGATATTATAAATTCAAAATTTAAAATAAATACAAAACTATAAAACAAGCACATCCGAGCAAATGAACAGAGTAAAATAAAACAAGCGCACTACAACACCATTATAAGAGATCCGAAAAGTTTTTAGTTAAAAATTCTTCGATGTTGTAAAAAGCTTTATTGATAAGGTAGGCTTTATTTCTATAAATCCATATGAGCCATGTCCTGAGTGCCGTAGGAAGAAAATTATAAAAGTGTGCATTACAGTAGTTAGAACCGTTTCTAAACTGAATCCAAATTCAAGATGAGATGTAAATAATAACAGTTAGCGCGTGATCTCTCGGTAACAGGTGGGTACAACGCCTCTTATTGGTCAATTCGCCATTAAATTTCAGGCGGTCGCCTGGCGGAATAATGCGCGGGGCAGTGGCAGGGCAGGCAGAGTTGCATTCAGGCCACCGACCGTCGCGTGTGTTTTCGTATTCATCTTGCTTAACGTAGCCCTGAATGCGGCCCTGTACGCCGTCCTTGCTTTTGGCAATCACGCATCCATTCTATCTTGGGTGTAAATACACTGCAGTTCTTTGCAGACGATGTTTAGGAATTAGATATTCCTTCCTTATACAGGGTGGCACATCCATGTGTGGACGGAATATTACTTATAAACAAATACATTTTGGTAAAATCTATGTATGGCATGTTATACATGACATTTAAGGGCACATTTCTAAAGTATTTGCGATTATACAGGGTGTCCCAATTTTGACCTACATATCAAAGTTATGATTTTTTAAATGGAATGCCTCAAATTTTATTGCATATTTGAATAGACCAATTCAAAAGATGAAGATTGATGTAACATACTGTGGGGTTTTGGTAATTAGCTACTGAGATGTGTTTTGTCCAGAAAAACCATCCACTTCGGCAACCTCTCAATCCGCAAATTTTGAAATTTAGAGTTCTGAATTTTGTATCAAAAAGAAACTTACACACTTCAGCTTTTATCTTATTTGTTACTTTTTCGAATGTTCATTTTTGCTCATACAGGGTGGTCAAAAACGCGAATTGTACTTTTTCCCAAAAATTCCAAATGCATCACCCTGTATATTTGTGCAAGTTTGGATTCAAATTTTTCCAAGATTTTCTTTGGTATAAAGTTTGATTCAGATAAAATCACTAGATTTTGAGTTATTAAGCTTTTAATAGAACGCCACACCCAAATTAAGGAAAAATATCACATCATCCATGGAAACAAAAGACAAACAGTAGGCTAATTCCATATTGCCACTAAGAGTACAGATTTGACGTAAAAACTAATACCAATATAACAACAACATAAACAAACAACTATCACTACTTAAGACCTAATCTACAAAAACTGCTCAAAAATATCTCCACCATGTTGAATACACAGCCGTAGTCTTAGGCTAAGTGACCGTTGCACATCCCTCAGCATGTGTTTCCTTATGTTTAGAAAAGCATCCTTAATCCTTTCCTTCATATTTTTCTGGGTAGATGTTGGATATCTATAAACCTCTTGCTTAACGTATCCCCATAGAAAAAAGTCAATCGGTGTCATCTCTGGTGATCTAGGAGGCCAAGGATTGTTACTCCAGGTGTACAAATACACAATTATGATAATGCGCATGTGCCCCGTCAAGTTGGAAGTACATATTCATCTGAGTTTGCAGGTTGACATCCTCCAAAGGTAAAGGCAAATGCTCGATCAGAAAATTCAAGTATTCTGTACCTGTTAATCTTTTGTCGAAAAAGAAAGGCCCGATAACTTGTCTGCCAATAACTCCTCCCCAAACATTCAAGCTCCATTTATTTTGGAAATATATTTGCCTATCCCAGTAAGGATTTTCCGTCGCATAACAGTGCATGTTATGCCTGTTGACGACACCTATGCTGTTAAAAGTTGCCTCATCGCCTGTACCATATTCACCATTTCTTCTTTAGAAGAATTCATTTTCAAAAACGTTTTTATTATAATGCTCACAAAGCTAATTTGGACAGATTGTAACTAATCAACAATTTGTTTTGTTTCCAAGGATGATGCGATGTTTTAGGGAATTAAGCCGTTCCATAAAAGACGTGCCAACAACCGAAAAAATAGCCGTAAAAACCCTTATGTGTCTAGTATCAAAGAAAGCTTATAAAAAAATGAATCCAAACTTGCACAAATATACAGGGTGATGCATTTGAAATGTTTGAGAAAAACTACAACTTGTGTTTGGGCAAAAATTAAAATTCTAAAAAGTAACAAATAAGATGCTGAGGTGTGTAAGTTTTTTCTGATAAAAAATTCAGCACTCCATATTCCAAAGTGGCGGACTGAGGGGTTGACGAAATGGAGGGTTTTTCTAGTCAAAACACCTTATATCTCAGTAGCTAATTACCAAAGCCCCATAGTATGTTATACCAATTTTCTTCTTTTGAATTGGTTAATTCAAATATGCAATAAAATTTGAGGCATTCCATTTGAATGGCCAATATTTTAGAAATGTGCCCTCAAATGTCGTGCATAACATCCCATAAATAGATTTTCCCAAAATGTATTTGTTTAAGAGTACTCGTAATATTCCGTCCACACATGGATGGGCCACCCGTTAAAAAAAGGCGGGTACAGCCTACCACAAAAACTCAGTATGCAATTTGTGGGCAAACATGTGATAACAAAGACATCTGTCAGCTATAAATCTTGATACATCTTCGCTGAAATGAGTAAAAAGTGATAAATTGTCCCTTCTTCTGGTGCTCGTCCGCATTTGACGTTGGTGATCATTCTGTGGACCATAATTTTGTTGCTTACAAAGTAAATTAATTGTTTTGAAGAAAACCAATCATGTTTTGTTCTCCGCTGTTCTCATCCTGAATACAATAGACTTCATGCAGATTAATTCCCTGTAGGATCCAATTTATGCTACCGTCCTTCAATTCACTGCTTTAGTCGTGTACTATAATTTATGCATGCTCGCCCATTAAACTGTATTATACAAAGTTGTTGTTTTCTAATGTGGGGTTGGAGGCTGAGTACCCTATTTATACAATGTTAAAGTATTCATGAATACTGCTATTAGAAGGTTAGGTGGGATGACTAATTTTCGAATATTAAAAGTTATAAAAATACGGGTGCTACGTTCAAGCAGAAAAAGAATCCATACTCGTATTTTTGTGTGCTCAAAATAACTAATCATTGATTAAACGTTCGTTTAGAACTGCTCTGAGGTTTCTCATATTTCAGTTAGAAAAAATGTTTCGCTTCACCAAGTGCATGCAATTGTTTTAAAAAATATGATTCATTCAAAATTACGACCTTGATGTGCCAAAAGCGCATTTGATCATTGCAATAAGTAAATCAGAATTTCAGGTGGCTTCCGATTTTATAATAAAAAAGTGACGAATTTTGACATGGACCTAACACCCTTCGGGTCAACGATTTTGCCGAAGCCCTATGTGTTGATAGAGACTTGGTAGTGCATTATATTTCTAAAGTCTCCAGGAGCACAACTTAGAAATAAGGAAGATACGAGTATTTCTCAAAATGGTCAATCTCACCATTTGTCCCAAGTTCAAAAAGAATGAATCCAAGAATTGACAACATGTACTATAAGCATTATTTCTCCAAAATGCACTTCAATTTGTCAACTATGCGATATTTACTTTTACTGGCAGATCAAAAATTTTGTTAAAAGCTACAGAACTGCGCACTTTCAGTCGAAAACAACACGAAATGTGATCTCGTGAACATTTACATACGACTTAGCACTAATTTTGTCAAAACATGATCAAATACCCATGGCTTGCATCGAAACCTCCTGAACAAAAAGATTTTTTCCAAAACGCAAATGAGGTATGTTTTTCGTTTGAGAAGTGTTTGTTCAAACTTTCTCTTGTTTCTTGATGCCGATGCAGTTAATTTATGCTCTTCTTATTTTCAAGACAATTACCATCCCATAACGTGTAGTGTGATAAGAGGTAATTAATGCAAATAATAACTGATTAATTCCTCAATTGCGTGTTATTGTTCAAAAATAACAGCAATAACGTAATTCTATTACTTACAATTCATATATGTGAGAAAATAAATACTTTTATAGAATCAGCTTGCAAAAAACCTTACAAGCTGACTATTCTTACATAACAATTTTCGCAAATTGGAAATTTTGAAAAATGGCGAAACTTACAAATTCGCGATAAGTATTTTCCTTGTTTCCGAGTTGTATAGTTTAGGACTTTAATTACGTATATATACGACACCAGCAAATCTCGGTGACCCAAAATGCTGTAGGTAGAGACCTTACCTTACAAAGTGTTGTAAGCTTGAAAAGCGGCAATGAAGAAATGTTATTTGTTTTCTGCATATCGCTTCCTAGAAAACCACGCCGAATAGAATAGCATTATAAGGTTAATAAAATAACAATGTAAGAGAATTTAACGATCTTGTAGTCATATTTGACACACTTTTCAGCTGCTGTAAATCAAAGCATAAAGGCTCTACTCATGTTGCAAAATGATACCAAACCTAAATACGCAAAAATTATTTGGAATCCCTGATATGTGACTCATTAGAAAAAATACAACGTATGTTTCCGAAATATCTCTCTTGCAGGATTGATGGTATTTGTCCAGAAATAGGTATTGCACAAGATGTGTTGTTAAACAGGCACGGTATGCTAACATTAGACCACAGAAGGCAGATGCTCTCGTTAGTATTAGTAAGTCGCCTGTGGCTTAATACCTCACCACAGACACTCCAACGTTTTACTTATCAACGAATACGAATGTGACTTCTATTAAGATCTTCTACGAATATCTTATGCAGTTTTTTGTATGTTATATTTCGTGTGTATTTCTGTATGTTTGTACTATGTAAACTTCTGCACTTCCACCAATAATTGGTTGCTACGTTCGTGGTGTAAATAAATAAATAAACAATGTGAGTCTATCCAAGTTTCATGCGAACAGAATATTCTGAGCACGAGGTTTTTTGGTTTAAAGTTAGATCCATATAGCTCTTAGACTAAACGTATTATCCCAACATAGGTGCACTTAGAATTGCATGCCATCTGAAATTACCCTTATGTCATCTAAGCAATATTCAATAACAATCTAGTGCTGCTGACGACAGCAATCCATTAGGTAATAATGGTATAAGCTATCTGAGGTTTATTTTATAACCTCCGAAGAAAAGAACTTTGTTGCTAAAGAGAATTGTTTTTGTTGTCCTCCTGAATATCTAATATATTTTACGTCAGTTTAAGTCTCCAACAAGATGAAGAACACCGAATCCTATCAAAACCTGATAGGCAGCCAGGAGAACCTTAGCGTAAGTGACTCTCCTGTGGGCGATGAGATTATAGATAGACCGCTGTCAACTATAGAAAAGACATTTCTTCTCCATGCAGACAGAGGAGACTGTGCTACAGTCCAGAAGTAAGATTCTTTATTTCTTAATACACTTCGCGTAACACAGATTTATGCTGATGCTGCCTGACCGAACGAGTACCTCTGGATAAACATATACTAAGTGACATATAAATCCGAACACCCAGTTTAAATGGTTTTATTTTAATAAAAGTTGGTGAATGTATTTATCTTAATGTAGATAACAAGTGAAAAAATTTTTAGCCTTATCAGTTGGACATTCCGGTTTTTATACTGCTTTTTTTTAATTCACTAACGCTCTAAAAATGAATATTTCAGCCGCAGTAAAGAATCAACGTTGGCGGATTTTGGTTCTTGACATCCTTTACGATCGGTTACGATGCCTAGAGTACGGAGACCTGTACGATTTCGTCAACTTAGTGAGTTTGATAGGGGCCGTATAGTGGGACTTCGGGAAACTTGACTTTCTTTTCGGGCAATTGCAGTTAGAGTGCAAAGAAGTGTAGACACTGTGGCTAGGTGTTGTCAGGCATGGCTTCGAGAAGGCCGTACGCAAAGAGCAAGGAGCACTGGACGCAGCCGTAGAACAACAGACCGTGAAGACCGCCGCCTAAGATTATTTGCCTTAAGGGGCCGTTTCTCCACTACCAGGTCCATTGCAAATGATTGGTTTGCAGAACATGGAAGACCTATTGGCATGCGAAGTGTTTATCGACGAATGAGAAGTTTTGGCTTGTTTTCATACCGGCCACACTGGGTCCTCCCTTTAACTCGAGAACACCGACGTAATCGCCTTGAGTGATGCAGACAACGGTCACTCTGGGATCAGGAATGGAACAGTATTGTCTTTAGTGACGAGTCTCGATTTTGTTTAGGCATGCACGATGGTCGTGCCAGGGTTAGAAGGCGACGTGGTGAAAGGAGGAATCCACAGTTTTTTGTTGAAAGACATGTTCATCACACTGTTGGAGTTATGGTTTGGGGTGCTATAGCTTATGGTTCCAGGTCACCTTTAATCTTCATCAGAGGTAACATGAACGCGCAGCGTTATATCCACGATGTTCTAGAACCCCAACTTTTACCCTATCTTGACACCCTGGCAGATCCAACTTTCCAACAAAATAATGCCCGACCACATGTTGCAAGAGTCACAATAGAGTTATTTCAACATAATGATGTCACATTGTTACCATGGCCACCAAGATCTTCTGACTTATCCCCAATTGAGCACGTGTGGGATATGATGGGTAGGAGATTGCTCAATTTGCAACGTCCTCCTCAGACTCTAGAAGCACTTCGAGAGGAGTTGGTGGTTGCCTGGAGTGAGATACCACAGGAGGACATTGACCACCTGATCAGAAGCATGCCTAGGCGCGTTGGAGAATGCGTAGCACATCAGGGTGCATCCACACATTATTAAAGGTCAAAGGGCTTTAAAGCAGTGCGATCATTTTGAAATTTTCATCATTTACTTATTATGCTTCATTAAGTACTTATACAAAATTATTATTTATTATTAAAATAAAACCATTTAAACTGAGTGTTCGGATTTATATGTCACTTAGTATAGTTTCCTTTACATTGTTTATGATGTTTGAGTTGTGTGATACGAGTATTAGCGATTCCTCACAGTATATATTCTTTGTAGGATAATTGATGAATACAGAAGTCAACCTGAAGAGTTCGACATCAACTGTGTAGACCCACTTAACAGGTCTGCCTTGATTGCTGCTATTGAAAACGAGAACATAGAATTGATAAAATTGTTATTGAAAGAAAATATAGAAGTAAAAGTGAGTGAATATCTAATAAAAATTCGCTCTAAGATCCGCTATACTGGTTTTGAATTCTGAAAACCATGTTGCTCCTTTTTTAGGACGGGGTATTGCATGCAATTAAAGAGGAATATGTGGAAGCCGTAGAACTGCTTCTTAACCATGAGGAAGAATTTCATAAACCTGGTCAACCATACGTAAGTTAAGGCTGTGTACCTTGCTCAAGCTTCAGCTATATTTGTGAAGATAATGCTATTGTGTCATTTTATAGTCCGTTTTGGAGATAATTTTGCAGACATTGACGAATTTAAATTTTTTAGAGTTGGGAACGAGTTGACAGATCAGCTGCCACATTTACAGCTGATATAACACCATTAATTCTTGCAGCACACAAGAATAATTATGAGATTATCAAGTTGCTTTTGGACAGAGGAGCTACGTTGCCCATGCCTCACGATGTGAGGTAGGTCAAGGACACACACTTTTTATATAAACGGCAATGGATTGCATACTATGTGTGGCATTTCAAAGATCTTTTCTGCATTTTTAATTGTACAAGCTGGAGAATCTTAAAATTTGACACTACATTTAATAATCTCATTTTTTAGATGTGGTTGTGACGAATGCGTATCCTCGAGCAAAACAGACTCTTTGAGACATTCCCAAGCGAGAATAAATGCTTACAGAGCTTTATCGTCGCCATCTTTGATATCTTTGTCATCAAATGATCCAATACTGACTGCTTTCGAACTGTCTTGGGATCTAAGGCGACTCAGCAGGATGGAAACTGAATTCAAAACCGAATATACCGTAAGTAATTGGGATCAAACAGATATGTATACAAATACAGGGCATTAACTAATCAACTGTTTCTAGGACGAAAAATCCCTATCAAGGGCGGTCCTGTTTCGTTTACAAGATGCGCGTCAATACTCTTTAGAAAAATTTGCTTGTACGTAAAATTGGTAACGGTTTTTAAAATTTGTTGAACTTCAGTAGCTTCAGACGTATCACCGTTTAGATTAAACTGAATAAGAAAATCAAGTGAAAAAACCCAAACCGCCCAGGAGAAAAGTTCAATAAATGTATATCTGGTGATCAATATGACGATGAAAATGTGTGGTTTTAACAGAGCATTCGACCTAGGTGACTTTACTTGAACCTTCGGAAAAACGCATATACAGCCTGCAAAAATCAAAAGTTACCCATTTTTGGCCTAACAAACAAGGTAAAAGATTGCTTTAAAATAAACTGATCTTAAAATGCTCTTCGTGGTCGTGTAGAGCTTTTGTTTAGACATTTTTATAAAAAAATTATATAATTTTTAACCGAGCTTTGAAGCATTTGATATATCGCATGGTAACCCAGTTGAAATTTAAAAAAAAAATATTGAATGAATTACTATATGTTTGCAGATTTTCTGGATTATTCTAAACCATAAATGCCTCCAATAAAGTTTCCCCAAAGTTGACCATTTTCGAGTTATAAGCGATTTAAAAAAAAAACAAAAACGGATACATTCAATGGTTAAGAACTTGGTCAAAAATTATATTTTGGTCGATTTCGATCCGTCCTTGTTTAGGAGGGAAAACTCATTTTTATGAAGATGAAAATCAAACAAACCAGAGCAAAATCATCCTTTTCTGCAATAAAAAGCCTACCAAAAGCTGGATAGGCTGGGCACATACAAATTTTGCCTGTCAAGTTCTAACACAGCCAAACGGATGGCAACCTTATGCCCAAGACTGAAAAAAACATGCGGGAATTGTCACCAAGAAGCTTTACAATAAAAATGCAGATCTCTAACATGTTGCGCCATCATTCTAAAAGCATCATCAGGCATCAATTGAATAGTCTGAAAGTGCTTCTGAAATTAAAGGAAAAATATGTTTACATTTTCATTGTTTCTCAGTGAGATACAAATTGTCAACGCCAAAGCAAAACATTTAAAAACAGGTTAGGTTTTTATCGTCGCGTTCGCGTGCACGTTTGCTAGAGCAGTTCGGGAGCATCACAATCCGGGTGCATACAACCCTCAATCCAAAAGCACTGGGAAGCAATTAAGGGAAGCGAGAAATAAATCGACTGGAACCCATTTTCTACGTTTTGTGCGGGGGTCCTTCAAATACGACAACTGGAAACCTGGCAAAATGGACCCTTTCTTGACGGGTCGGAATGGCGAGTTTTCGAAGATAAAGTTAGCAAATCTCTTATCGTGTTTTGCCGCAATAATATGGCTCAAAAATTTGGAAACTTCACATCAAAAGCGTAGCTAAAATTGGGCACTATTTTATTCTTAGATATTCACAAAACGATACAACAACATTCTTTTCTGCCTTCCTCATCATACAGAGGAATCTTTTCCGGAATTATTCCTATTCTATCACAATGCTCGATCAAAGTTTTAACTGAATCCACAGCGTCTATTATTTTATCAGTATCTACCACCGGTAAGATGCTAGGTGTTATACACACCGACAGAGCTGTTGGATCCATCTTGTTGACTTCGCTGTATTTGGCGACACTGTTGAAGAACTGCATCATGTATTTTAGTACTTGGATGTGGCTAGCGGGTAACAAAACTGTGGCAGCTAGTAAGGCTATTTCTCTGTCTTCTGTTACATTTGCTTCCAAGAAGACTGTATGGTACACTTTGGGGATAAGTGGTCGGGAAAGTTGTATCAAGTATTGTTTGATAATCGCGGCTGCGTCAGCAGGTTGAATCTGGGTATAATCTAAAGGGTCTCCCTTTTCGATCTTCCTGATAATTTGTTTAAAGTGTTGTACGTTACCTTGTAATCTAAACAGGAATTCTACGTGTCTGTTTTGTCTGATAAAGTGGCACAGGCCTTGGATGACGTCGGGAACAGGTGAAACTGACTCGCTGTGTGCTGGAATGAATCTGCAAGTTAGGACCAGATCATCGTTCTGGGTGGCATATCGCATTATGCCTGAGGTCTTTTGGATGCCATAACCGTTCAAAAATGTTATTATGCTTCGTCTCACGCCATGTCTAGCTTCGGGACTTTTGTTCATTATTTCACTACCAGATTTTGAGATGAGTTGACATTTTCCTTCAGGTTTTACCTAACCTTGCACTATGACGGTTCATGGTTATCCATTCTTGATTATTCAGGGTGATTTGGTTCTAAAGCAACTAGCAGAGAGAAAGGGGTTCACTATAGAAATGCTTTTGGTATTTCAAATCACGACGACTATCTGATGGATTAAAGATAATGGGTTGGAAATTCCTAGATTCGAAGCGAAAATGTGATTAAATACTTAGGAGTGTGGCCTGACCAACAGCAATGAAAACTGCAAAATATTGGAGACAAACTCCACTTTTTTAAGGATTCCGAAAAGCATCAATCGAAACTTTAATCCAACTAACCTGAACTGAAATTTAGATTTGTCTACTTTATATTTGAATCTAAAAGCTAAAAGGAAAGGTACTTTCACATTATAAGTAGTAACTTTACGATCTCATTTTAGAGCCTTGAGATTCTATGGAAGAAGCTACACCGAAAAAAAAATGAACATTAAATCAGTTGAAATATTCCCAAATCTTTTTTTGGATAATTATAGTGCCAATGAAAGAATAGCAGGAATTTTCATATTATCTTCAACTGGATATTTGCTTCTGGCCAAGAATTAATTGCTTTATTTGCATTAGACGATACAATAAAAAATAGGTTTTTAATTTTTTCACTCTTTATCATCATATCAAAAGTTAATTAAAATTAATGAGAGTAGACCTACTGAAGTCATATCAGATAAATGTTTTTCATAATAACATGGATCAATAGGTTTGGTTAAGTATATATTCTTAAAGCTAAAGCGGTTCAGATATCTGATAGAAACGAAAATTCTTCGTGATTCAACAAAACAGTTCCTGAAGAACATAAGTAAAGCAAAAAAAAAAGGAAAAGAGTACATCCTTTTATTTTCAATAAACCCAGCTCGATGAGATTTCAAAAGGCGAAAACGCCGACCCCCTCGCATATGAGCCAAGGCCCTTTCAATGTACTCTGGATAATCAAAAATGATTCAAGAAAAATACTTTTTCAGTGGTGCACTTCAGCATATTCGAATACGAAACTGTGGCAATTAATTTTTGTGTTCTTCCAAGAAATTGCCTTTTGGAAAACCCTGTAAGGACTTGTAGCAATACCGTCGTCACTTATCCTTCAATTCTGCCAACTTATTCTCGGTTTCACTGTTTGCATACTCAATCAATTATATGTCTTCTTAGGCAATGAGGGAGCAAGTCCAAAACTTCGCGACTTCTCTAGTAGAACACGCTAGGACATCAAATGAACTAGAAATCATGTTGAACTATGACCCAGAAGGTGAAACTTGGGTCACTGGTGAAAGACAAACTTTGGAAAGGCTTAAGCTTGCTATAAAGTACAAACAAAAAGCGGTAAGCCCAAACTAATATTGTGTATTATAATTTAATCGGTCAGAGTATAAACCTCGAAAGTCCCATTGAATAATAAAAAAATGAACATAATATAAATGGCGTCACTGACAAATAAACCAGTTTTAAAATACTTTTTTATGCTTAACCCAGTATTTGTGTTTTAGGAGATTGAAATTTTGAATAACATTTGCAGTTTATTAGTATTAACAGTAGAAAAATCCCAAAAACTGTAATATGGATTTACGTTGTTTTAGAAGGAAATAGGGTAAGCAGTATATATAACTTAAGCTAAATAATCATAGAATTCATATTTTTCATTACTTATTACCGAAAACTACACTTAAATATTACCTTATTGACATGCCTCATGTCTTCAGTTTGCATTTTTTAATATTTTTAAGGTATATAGAGGAAACCCAGCAACGTGAACATATTAGAAAATCGAATTTTCCATTTTACATGTGAAAAAATAGATAGACCTATTCATTCAACTTTCTTCAATAATCGATAATCGGTTGTAGAAAAACACACATGCTTACTTGACTACTAGGCCTCAAAATCAACAAAAAATTGTCATTGCAAGATATACTACCTTTATGAACAGATATTTAAAATGTTTAGAGTATGGTTTCAGGACTTTCTCAGTCATACAAATGAGAAAGCTGGGTCAATAATTTTGGTAGGGAACAAGAGAAATCTAAGACAAGTGATTTCGGGCAAAGCGGATAAAGCCGGTAACCTTATTTTGCAGTTAGTAAATTTAAAATTGATATATTGGTGCAGATAGCACGTACGTATGAAAATAAAGCAATATAAAGATATTGGTATTGTTTTTGAACTCATTCTAGTACCCGCAGTACAGTAATGCAAAAACCACGTAAGTCCCGGATCACTCAGCCTCACAAAACTATGCAACCAATAATGCGTAGTTTAGTTGAGTGATTCATCCATAGATGGACGTTCACAACAATCCTAGTTAGCGAACGTGGAATGACTGTTTGCGCCCTAAAAACTACCTAGTCTGCAAGTTGACATCTTATAGGTTTTCTTTGACGTTTCATAGGTTTTTTACATGATACCCGTGCCGGGCTTACGACGTTTTGCGCTGGACGTGTATTACGTGTTGTTGTTTGAAGGAGGTGGTATGTAGTCGCTTACGAGGTTTTTACCCAGAATATGTATCCATTCAATGAAGCGTTTCCACTAAAGGAAGCCTGTTGGTAAAAAAAATGGACTTGAATGGTTTTTGCTCTGACCGATTCAACTATATTTAGGTATTTACCTAGTTTTTAATGTTCCAAAATATATTAAAGTATGTAAAGATCATGAAAAGAGCTTCACAAGCCAAGACAATTATTTACAATGACGCACACTGGAGGAGGTATTAGCTTTTACCCAGACTCGATTGACCGTACATTAGTTATTTAAAATATGGTGGATGAGCATATTAAAACAAATCAATACTTCATTGAACATTCACCTTATTTTAAACTATACAGCACATCCTCTTATTGGGTACATACATGCATTCAGTATCTCATCAAAATTCTTTATTTTTCAAGATTTAATTTGTCATGTTCTGATAAGTAATGTTATCGATATAAAAGCATGCTGTACAAACCACCTTACAAGTTTGCTGGAAATAATGTCAAACTTCACTTTCCCAATAAGTTTCTCGGGATTCATGACTGTTAGTTATGATTTTTTTGTGAACTGATTTATATACATTTTCGTTTTTCTAATCGTAAGAATCTTTTGTAGTTCATAGCGCATCCAAATGTCCAACAACTATTGGCTTCAATCTGGTACGAGGGATTGCCAGGTTTTCGAAGGAAAAACATGATCGGACAAGGTATGCAAGTGGCCAAACTGGGAATCATGTTTCCAGTTTATTGCACCGTTTACATGATGTCACCGACTTCGCCAATGGGAGAATTCATGAAGAAACCGTTTGTTAAGTTCATTTGTCATTCGTCTTCTTACGCCTTCTTCCTAAGTAAGTCATTATTATTGTTTACTTTTGCACCGAAGAACATGTAAGCATCATTTTAAAGAGTCTGTTGTTTTGAACCTAGGTTGTAATGCCAAACCTAGGTTTAAAAGTAGCTCATCATTGATCGAACACCTAAGGCGTGCGATCACTAATAGCTTCCTCAGGCGAGGTATGTATAGGTATATTATTTGACTGTGTTGTCTGCCTACAGCTTTCCAGTATTTTCCCGAGTGCAGACGTATTCAAAGAAATATTTAGATATGCGAAGCTCAATTGTCAAACTGACATAATGCGTATATAACGTACATTAAACAGTGACTAATGGGCAAAGATACTACGGACCGCCCAGAGAGTTAAAGGACGAATAGGATATTTTTAAATATTACTCTTACTCTTTACCTAGGTTTTTCATTATCATTATTTATTTAGCGAGATAATAGCTACTGCTCGTGGAGACTCCTCGAATTAGTGAAAATGACAAATTTGATAGCGACTTACTGTTGTTAATGCAACCTCAACACGATTCTTTACTTTTTTGTTCCTTCTGAAATACTCTAAGAGGGAGTTAAGTGGATATACATGGAATATCACTTTTACTTCTTCAGTCAGAAAATAACTGACAAAAGATATTAAATGTAACAGACGTCTTTGTCTGGTACTTTGCGTCTGCATGAAATCTATTTTTTGAACTTTACGCTCATGAAAAGGTCAAATTGCATTTTTCATACAGTCATGTTTTTGGCAATAAGTTTGACCTAAAACCTGTAAGTTCGACATGTTATGTATCAAAGCATGTTAAACGTCGCTTAAGTGTCATTTCAAACCATTCAAAATTAGATTGCTTTATTTTGTTTTCCTTTTGTTGATATTAGATTTAACAATAAGCTTTATTCCAAGAAACCATCGAACTGGTTCTAGAAAAGGGAAAATGTTGGTGGCTTTTAGTTTTATTTTCCTTTCCATCCTTGTTTTCCTTCAGGTCACGCCTGTATCCACATGTGATGGGCATCTGTTTTTACTTTGGTGTTAAGCATAAGCAGAAACGTACGCCTCTCGGGTCACCAATCCTTATATTTCGGCTCATGTTCCTTTATTGTGTACATGTCCACGTTTGTCCTTTTTCGTATGGAATTGTGACGTAACCGCCAAAAATTGTGAAAAGAACTATGCTTCTGCTCTTAAACTTTTGATATCTGGATTGCAATATGAATTTTATCAGTTCCCATTTGCATAGATAAGTAATTATACTGAAAATGACTGATTATCAGCATAAATTGTATTTTTCAGTGCTGTTGGGCGCAGCATCACAAAGAATCGAAATCTTAGCCTTAGAATGGTTCGGTACGGATTGGGTACAAGACATGGTCAAGGAGTGGAAAAGAAAAGAACGAGGAGCTCTGTTCGGTATTGCTGAGTGTGGTGTTATTTTGTACGTCATAAGTAAGTAAAACTACCTTTCGATATCATCCATATCGCTAAGTGAAATGCTGGAGGATTCTAAACATTTCATTTCTATTAACAAAATATTTTAATTTTTTATATTGGTCGTCGTCATTTTTACTTCTTTTTATTAGAATAAATTTCATCCATTTGATTATAGGTTTAATTTGGGGCGAATTGAGATCACTTTGGTGTGACGGACTGGAGGAATACATCTCCGATCTTTGGAATATCGTGGACCTTATTACAAATATGTTTTATGTCCTTTGGCTGACATTGCGTATGGTTTCCTTCTACGTTTGTTGGGTAAGAAGCAAACAGAGCACTTTTGAGTGATCAAAACGATTCAGGGATTCATAGCTGCTTTTTTTTTTAGAGAGACGAAAGAGCAGGAAAACGCACTTGGTATCCAAGAGAGGAGTGGGATAGTTTTGAACCAATGTTATTGTCAGAAGGAGCTTTTGCAGCAGGAATGATTTTCAGGTAGGATATAAAATGTTTTAGGCTCGATAGATGTTTCACTCATCTTATATCTGCACCTACAATTTTTCAAGCAAAACGCCATTCTTCCTTTCGAAGATAAATCGAATTTGTCATGCCAGTTCCTTGCAGGACACTCTCTGATATTGCGCAATGAAGGCGAGACTTTATTAAGTGAAACGGACATCTTATGTTAAGGAATTAAGGAATTTTGCTACTCTTGACCAAGGCTTCGGTAATATCTAGAGTAATGATGCGATGTTCCCCAAATGATAGAATGGGATTAATGTATATATGTGTGACATGAAGTAAGAGTCACCGACGAGTCAGTAACATGGCAGGTATTTCAGAGCCTCCCTACTGATGTTGTTAGTCCTTCTGACATTATACAGGTTTCTTGTGTAATAATCCTGAGGACTATCTAGCTCAGTTATGTTGTCAAGTAGTAGGTTAGGTCTTTTGTCAGTTATTTGTTAGTTTTGTTTATCTTTTCATGTTTCGCGAACTTACTAGGATACTAGTGAATACAGGGTGATTCACAAATTGTGACCAAAAATGAAACATCATACACAGGACCGCATTTTAAGGGGAGTCTTCTATGTAACAGTTTTTCCTCAAGCGCTTCATTAAAAAGATACGGGGTGTTGAAGTTTAAAAATAAAAAACATATTTTTTAATATCCTTAAAACCGTCAACTGGAATAAACTTAAATTTGGTATTGTGGATTTGACTAAGTATTGTACACATTCAGAAGTCTTTACTTAAAATTAACGTGCACCAGTAACGGGGATACAGGGGATTAGAGGCATTATTTTTCCAAATAAAAATAGGACGCCACTGCTTTTTTCGAACTTAACCTCAAATTTGCTACAAGTAATTATTATTGTGTTTTTTCCTAGAGTGCATTGTTTAGATAATTAAAGCTTTATTTCAATAAATCTTTAAAGGTACCACAATTCTGACGGATACAAGTGCAAAATCTTTTCAATAAAGAAAAACGTATTTCCGCAAAATTTGGCTTGAATTTGATGAAACGCGTTATCTATTATTGCTTGTAACTGAACAACAGTATTAATTTGTCCAGCATATACTAGTTGTTTAAAAGCGCCCAACAAAAAGGAATCCAGGGGGTTCAAATCAGGAGACCTGGCAGGCCATCGATCGTTGTCTAAAATGATTATTTTTCATATTGCTAACGGAACATCATCTAACACATTTTCTATGTTATTCTCTAGAAAAACTAAGTATGAGTTTGCATTTACACGTTGTGGCAATACGTCCATAAATAGTTGGTCATTGAAAATGCCGTATCCAGACATTTCTAGAAAATCTGTGTTGAAACGAGTGGATTCTTTCAGAACGGGGATTTTCTAACTACTAAATACGTTCATTATTAGCAACTTCTAGTTCATTCCAGTTTACGGTTGTGGAGATGTTAAATAAAATTATTTTTTATTTTCAAACCTCAAGACCCGTATCCTCTTAATGAAATCCTTGATAAAAAAATGTTAATATAAATGTTAATAAATGTAAATTTTGTATTTGACCGAATAGAACATGAAAGAGCTGGAAGGGTTTCATTTGTGAAATGAGACAAAAACAGGTCATCCCACGAATGTGCCTATCTTTACTTCTGTGCAATTTCCATCTTGCTCCATTTTCCTAAGCCAACAAGTGGAAAGCGAACTTCCCGCAACTTCGCTGCTCGTTAGGCTGACTCCGGAGAGAACTTTCGGTACACATTCGCGTTTGAACTATGAGTTTCTTTGTGGTGGATGCTTTTCAAACAAAAGCAAGAAAAACGAACCGTCGGATGCTTTATTTACGATGGCAATTACAATCAATTCTGTTTCGGTGCCTCTACAAATTCAAACGAACAACGTTCTGTTCTAACGCACCCGAATAAAAGCGTAATAAATCTAGGTACAAAGGGTGAGTGGGAAGCATTGTGATATTCGGGGAAAGAAAAGTTGTAATTTGGACATTAAAAATGCTCATGTCGTGAAAGCATGTTTGGAGTCAAATACGAGACTTCTGGGACTTACAGTCAACCGATCTTAACGAAAAAGTATGAAACTGACTAGTTGGATTGATTATTTCCGCTACCATGTCATTTTTGATTTTTACCTTGCAAAAGGTCACCGAGGAGGCCGAAACGTTAGTAAAAAGTCAATACAACTTATGGTTGTGAAAGGCCATGGAAGCATAGAGATTTATAATAGAATAGGATCCCAGGTCTGCCAGGTATGACTTATTTTCTGAAAGACAAAATGTGACTCATTGGATAGCGTTTATATGAACCTTGAAAGCCTGAGTGTCCGCTAAGTTGGATAGTGGTCAGATTTGTAAGTGCAAGGTGAAAAAAGTTAAGTCAATTCAATTCGACCTCTGCAAGTAAGACTATTGTAACTCAGTATTTGTTGAACTGAGATACAGACAATAGAAGATGTTCTGATGGATTGCGTTGTCAGAAAAATGATGATCTCATCAAAAATGTGTTGTACATTGTAGTAATTCTTGTATAGAGAAGGTTATAAATGGTATTACAATACAAACCAAGCGAAAATGAAATTTTTTTTAAATAAATTTTGTTGACACTATAGTTTTCACTGGATCAATTTAAGAAAAAAGTACACTTGTTCTAAACTTAGTAGGATATTTATTGAAATATTACAGTATGTTTCAAACAAGTGGTCGAAAAGAACCCCTTTAATGCCAATCTGAGTCACTCAAATTATATTCATCTTCGAATTCTCCAATATCATCGTTCTCAACTTCTGTGTCTTCAGTACTGTTAATATTATGTGCTCTTTGTAATTTTTTTTCTTCCTTGGCTTTATAGAAAAATGAAAAGCAGGTAAGCCGCAGGAATGCTAGGAAGATCGTTTGCTTTTGATTTAGATAGGTCTAATAAACCATTTAATTTTATAGCATCTAATGGAAGCAAGCTTGTGTACAGCGTATTGTTTTGAGGTCTCATTCTGTGATAATCAATGTTACTATCGTGAAACAGACTGTGATGCGACAGATCCCAATGTATAATGTTCAGAAGAGGATGCTATGTTTGAACCTTTTTTGTGGTGTTAAAAGAAGTCTTCACTTTTTATGAACCCAACTTGTCTCAATTTAACGGTTCAACAACTGCAATTAGCTTCTTTGCATCTGCCAAAATTATTTTGATTCTTGAATTCATTTTAGTTTGCTTTGAAAACTGCTCTTCTCATACACCTAACTCTTCAAACGATTTCGCTATTAATTACCGTAACCATGACCGCCCTTATTGGGGGGAGGGAGGCAACTGTTCAAACTGGTAGCAAAACTAATATCTTCTATGTTGGGATGTTCTCACACACGCCACTCCTTACCCAAGGATTGGGTATCTAATTAAAAATATTTAATTTTGAAGCAGAATTCAGGGGGGGGGGGGCATGTGCCTCCCCTTGCCCCCCCCCCAATGGGCGCCCATGACCGTAACCTCAAACTATGCCGCGAAAATCATAGTAAGTCAGACAGTAGGTCTAACGGTAGGTTAGGCTTCCCGTGATTTTTTGCATCGAGACCAAAGTAACTCAATTTGATGTAGATTTTGCGGGAGCAACCGCCTCTATTATACTTACTATATGACGTAGAAGATTCACTGGTCGATTATAGTTGCTTGACTGAAGTGCCATACTCTTCCACCAAAGAGAACCTGATAAAGTCTATCGATACCATACAGTAAGTCAAAAGCAAGTGTTTTTGAGTTACTGTAGTCTTCGTTTGCAGTGGTCGAATTGTACTCGTACAAGACCGAAACGTCGTCGTCATTAAATAGTGTTTTTCATTTAGCGGTTAGACGAACATGGAGGAATAATAATTCCATCGCTACGTCGTAGTAGCCCATTGCCGTTTAAAGTGTTCCTTAGTTGCAACATGGATCCTTCATCTCATGTAATTTGACCGTATTCATCACTTTCTCTTAAAACCGGCAATGACCACCTTTAACCATCTACTTTAAAGTAACTCATTATATTTTTTCAGTTATAAACCTCTTATAAAATGTTAAGGTTTCACCGAATGACGTGACCTAACACTAGAAGCGTGACCGCGTCGTATAACGTAATTCTAGTTTTATGGTCCTTAATTGGGTAACTTTATTTAGTGCCGCACTTTAGCGTTATCTTTGTCAGGCATGCAAGCGTACATAACGTCGGGCAACCTTCACTAAGATAACACAAGAACACCTGAGAAGTAAAAATTCGTATATGTCCTGCTAAGACTAGGATTAAATATGTAACTTGAACAGTACAATAAGTGGGTGGTCTCTTTCATTTTTCATACTTAGATGGTCAATAATCACTAACGGTTTGAGAGTTTTGGTCAAACTACATAATTCAAAGTAAGATAATAAGATTTTTTCGTATTTGAATTTGTCGCACAATAGTTTAAAATATATATTTATGTACCTAAGGCGTAAAATGAGAGTTTGGGTTTCGTGGGGTATAGGTGCGACGTGCCATAACACCCATAACCACCTGAGACATATGGAAAATACAAATACAATTAAAGAATAGAATGGTACTTAGCGACCCGGTACTAGCAAAATATTTACCATGTTTCAGGCATCCTCGTCAAAGTAAATATTAAGAATACATAACTTGGTAACCTCGTAGTAGTACCCAACCGCCAAGATTTCAAAGCGCGCACGCAGAGAAGGAAAGCGGCACCGCGTCCCTTTCCCCTACCTTTCTCCCCTCTGGTCGCCTACAAGGGATGTCTTTTAAGCTTTGCATACAGAAACATAGTAGGCCGTGTGGATCGAACGTCAGTACTGAATCTTAATCTCACTCTTTAGTAAACTTAAATTCAAAGTTTCACAATAATACGTGCAGTGTTCTCACTACAGTGAATTTTTAAGTGTCGCCAAGTCATTAGAAAAATGGAACTCAACCGAGAACATTTTCGCGTCATAATTTATTTCAACTTTCAGTGACAATTATCGCAACAAGAATGCCTTGCTGAGT